GTTTCGTCGCAGCCTAAAGAATGTGTAACTCTAATCTCTACTCATGAACAGCACTTCTAATATAATTGTAATTGCTATAATTGCCACCATAAACTTGCATGTTGGCTGCACTTGCAGATGAACGTCTGTTTCCCAATCATCAATAGAGCATCCGCAATATACCTGCATGAGGCCCTGTCACACTGTTGCGCATAGCCCTAGCGTATGGCAGCGAATGGTAAATATCACGCATACGCCGTTATACGCTGGGGATAGGTTATACATAGGTTATGGACGTTTCATGCACGGTCCCATGCGCCGATGCAGAGCATTTTTTAAGCATGCTTGAAAATCGTGTGTGGACGTATAGTTTATACGATAAGTATAAGCTAATGTATTGTACTAATAGGTCGAGTACGCTAATCAGACGCAGCTATAGGTGAGTAGGTGCATGTACAGTACAGTACAGCCAACTGGTAGCGCATCAGTAACGAACGTCTAACGTATACGTGACGTATTTTTAACATCCCTAGACAGCTTAGTGTATGGCTGACGATTAAAAAACGCATTTACCGCACAATTTGCTATTTTTACAGACTTTTTCGTGCGTTCTATTGTTCTATAGGGTCCAACTGGATTGGCCCGAAGAACTGACGAATTTCAAGCTAAGATTCCTACAATTTAGACAACACAATCTTTTATTGCTTACAGCAGGATAATTGCCATAATTATAGTTGGCTGACTGAACTGAAAAGTTCGAATAAACAGCTATTATCAAAATAACATTGGCATTACACGCAATCTTTCGAAACTGGAAGAAACGAAGCATCTAAGACCAAAGATGAATTTAAACAGATACCTGCGTTCTTCTTAATGAAGCGAAAAAGTGCCTTGAATCCTTTAGCGTTTGATTTTGGATCTGTTTGAAATTTCACCAGCAATCTTGGACCAGAGGTGAATATGAAATCGGGGAGGTCGTTGCTGGACCAACGTTGGAAAGGAAGCCATTCTGATGAAATGCTCGAATCATAAAGTTGAAGAATGTCCTTGTGACCAAATTGTGAGTCAGGAATAAATTGAAGTCTGATGACATCATCAGATTGACCACTAATACTCTGTGTACTATCCAGGTTACCAGGGTATGCATTTGGATAATTCATGGTGCGAATATTTCCGTTAGTACCATCTTTTGACAGACTTAATGGCAATGCTAGAAGTTGGAAAATAATTGAAAACGTTAACAAGAATATATATTATTTACCAGATTGGAGGTCCGCATAGGGAAATACTTCCCAAGGTCTCAAACAGCCTGAGAGGGACGTTTTGCGGGAAATATTTCCTTATACGGATCGACTAAACTGGTAAATAATAGATTTATTTTTTTAAATTATTTTTTAAATTAGATTATTTTATATTTTTCTTGCGTTCTGAATTCATATTTTAGCGTTTCCTGCAATCTGATTGGCTACCCGAGCGGTCCGTATGAAGCCGTACGGACCGCGCGAGATTTGAAAGCACAGAGCCAACGCTAAAATATGAATTCGGACCGCAAGAAAAACTACAACATTATTTACCAGTTTAGTCGGTCCGTAAAGGGAAATATTTCCCTCGGTCTCAACTGAGCGTTTCTGAGACCTTGGGAAATATTTCCCTGTACGGACCTGGAATCTGCAGGTAAATAACATGTTGTGAGAATATAAACGTATTTATATTTGGGATAAGCAGCGATACTGAATTACCCACCTTCCTCGTCTTTAATTGAGACATATCTAGCGTGAAATCCTCCACCAATTAAATCAAAATTGCTGGTGAAGACAATATGTAGATCTCGCTCTCTTGAAATTACATTTAAAGATGACGTGCACCAATCTCCAAGAGCATGGATTTTTGAAGAAATACCATCATATATCGTAATCTTATCACATTCACAAAGTGCACAATCTTGCAGATTAAGCGTTGATGCAATAAGATAAACTTTGTACCCTGGATTAGCGATTATCGTCCATTCACACGACAGACCTCCCCAATAGTGATTAGGAAAACCTGGACTTTGTATTGAGCCTGAAGCAGCAACACGTTTTCCACTTCCTGGACAAACTAAAAGAAAAAGTAAGGTTTGGGAGCAAGTGGAGAGAGGTCTAGAAAATTTCTTATCCGGATTATGTTTTCGTCGAAAGGTCGCGTCCTGTCAAGGTCGTCAAAGGTCGCATTCTGCTCCGTTGCCCAAATATACGACTTGGGTTCCCATAAAATATAAACCGCTGGTTAATGCGGAACCGTCCGGAATTTGTCCTCCTCTTTTCTCTCAGAAGCAGTTTTCAAAGTTAATCCCTTAAATGTTCTTGATACCGAGTGGTTTTTGCCACTGATTTTTATAGTGGACCACAAAGCGTTTGTCGCCTTTATAATTCTAGAGTTCTTAGGTGAACCACCCAAGAACCCACTAGTAACATCAGAAAAGAATTAAAAAGCTATCTATCTTTCTAATGTATAATTCAAAGCACAAATACAACGGAATGTGGAAGGTGTCAAAAATTAAAACGAAATGATTCATGACAGAAATCATGCACACAATATTGTTCGGATATAACCAGCACTGAGCGATAATGGCTGCAAATAATTGAGATGTATACTTACTTTTTGATTCTGGAATAGCCATATAAGTAGCTTTAAAACCTTTAAAGTTCCAAAATATGTCAGTTTTCATCACAATGTACATGTTTTGACCACTGGAGAGAAGCTCGGCTGTATTTTTACACCACCTGACAGATGACCTGCTCAGTACCATTGTACCATCGTATATTTCAATATAGTCACATGCGCAATCTTTGCAGTCTTGAAATTCAATATTTTGTACGCTAAATCTGATAACAGATCCAGGTTCAGTTTGGATTAGCCAAGAGCATTTCATGTTACCTAAATAATGTTCGGGGTAAATTGGGCTGGCGATTGACTTTTCCATGGTTGTGCTTGCTCGAAGTATTCCATCCCCATCACAAACTACAAAAAGAGCCAAACAATTATTAACATAGTGAACAGAATATCGCGGATTTTTTTTACCACTTGCCTTCAGCCTTAGGAATTGACTCGTATTTTCCCTCAAATCCTTTGCTTCCTTTCCACGATTTCGAAGTAAATTCCACCATCAACTGGTTCGTAGTTGAAACCAAATCGACTGTTTTGGGTAACGAACATTGAGAAAGTTTTTCAATTATTTTTTTGGCAAATTTAGTGTCGCCATCGTAAACATCAATGTAGTCTTTCGACAATTCTGGAGTTTTACAAGACGGGAAGGAAACTGTAGCAATTGTTAATCTAATCACGCGGTTTATTGGAGCTTGAAGTGTCCAAGTACACTCAAAATTTCCTGGGTAATTCAGAGGATACGCATAGGTTTTTATTTCTCCTTTATTTTTTTTAGGTTCTGGGCAAACTATAAATAGAAAAGATAAAATTCAAGCAGAAGCGGAGCAGTCAACTATTACGAATACATGCAGCTACAATTTTTGATTATCTTCAATCTTGCGAAATCATCGAAATATGCATAAAGTTTTATAATTTTATGATATACGTTCTTTGAATTTTTATCTTTGAAACGTACTATTGTTGGCTCTGATTGGTTCATATTTAATTTCCAGTCCATCAGTTTCTGCAAACCGATTTGTATTATATGTGATGAGCACGTTATTTGAACTCGACACGAGATCTGGCTTTTCCTTTGTCCATTCACCAAGCTTTGTACTAGATTCTGTTTTACCATCGAATATCTTCAACAAACCGCATATTTCACAACCACCAAAATCAAGAATTTTCACAGTTATGCGAATAAGGTAGCCATCGTCGACTCTTAGTTGCCAGGAACAAGACAAAGTATTTGAAAGGGAAATGTATTTGGACTTGTAGTCGTAACTCTTCAGAGTACCATTAGAATTTTGTGATGTTGGGGTATTGGAACACACTAAATACGAATAATACGTTTACGTTTAGACTATTATATGATAAAATATAATGGCTGTGATAACGCCAATCGTGGTAGACATTAGATTATTGAAAAGTGGTATCTAATAAAAAAATATAACATATAATATAACAATTTTTCAATGTTACAAAATTTTTTGTCTGATTCTTACAAATCAGTTGAATTTAAAATGTCAGAACTATAAATAAGGAGTTTCCGAAACTGAAGCCATCACTGTGAAGAGATGCATATTTTAGACATTCACATTGTGTGTACGTATACCAGCCAAAAATTTTAGGTTGGTGGGAAGGGAATAAATTAAGTGAAAATATCCGGACTCATGCAATTGATATAAAAATTTCCGGATATCATTGATTTTAGCAAAAACTGCTTAATTTTTGATATATTTCGATCAGTAAAATTTGCCCAAATTATCTGGATTATATCCTATATATATGAATCTTTAAAGATTTCTCTACAAGCAGTTCCCGGCACAAGACGCGGTCGGTTCATGTTTGAACTCAAATTTTCAGTAGTTACTGAAACGTTCTATACATATAATCCAGCATATACATTACCTTTGTTTTCTTTAAGTTTTTTATATTTTGCTTCAAAGTTATGACCTAAGGTGTGGGATCCCGTCACGAATTTGATAAATAAGTAACTACCATCGGAGATTAAAAAATCTGGAATTTCAGCTTGTTTGCACCATGCTCCAAGTTTTACATCCGATGAAGATCTCCCATCATATACTTCTACACCTCCACAACCACAGTCTGAACATGATGATTGGAAACTTAATTTTGAAATCTCCAAAGCAACTTTGTTATGTTCCGGCGTTGCATCAACTAGCCATTCACACATTATGTTTCCGTACGCTGGGTATCGAACTCTCAGGTATGATTCGGTTCTGGAACACACTGCAAAAGAAGTGCATGAGACGTATGAATTATAAAGGGCTTTATATATTGAATGTCCTATAGATAACGTTCTAAAGAAACAGGTATAACAGCAAATATGGTATAACAGCTTGAAAATTTTATAGGCAGTTGTTATACCGCTATTTAGTATCTTTTACTATAGGCTTAGCTTATTTTACTTAAGCATTCTTTATATCTCTTATTCAATGTCAAACAAGGTATAAAATGAATTTAAAAATCTAAAATCTAACCGTCCATTTTGGAGACATTCTTATAAGATGCAGTAAATCCTTTATCTCCGCCTATTGCATCTGTGTGAAAAATAATCAGCATACGACGCCCTGTGGAAAACAAACGTATATCTCCTTTACAATATCTTCCCAAGCTTTTTGTTCCATCAGAGCCATCAAAGATCTCAAGGTAATCACAACTACAGCGGCTGCATTCCTCCAGTTCGAGATTTTCAGCTGTGAATTGAATGATTGTGTTGCTGTCATTGGATGTGAGAACCCAAGAACAGTTTAGATTCGGTGGATACGTTTTTCCATAATCGGGACTTTGAATAACTTGGTTTGAACATTCTAGATATTAAGTAGTAAAAATATTTGTGATAGGGAGCTTTTAATTAGATCAAAGGCAGTGGCGCCGCCAACTCGATAGGTGGGGAGGGGGAGGGGCATATTCATATATTCGTTTTGTACATTAGGTATTAGTTTCTTTTCAAATTGATTGTTTTTATGGTCAGTTAACAGGAGTACTGTCGGCGCCATTGTGGCGATTATTCGAAGCATTTATTTATAACCACTGTATGTAAACAATTCAAGTGGTAATACTGGAGAAGACACGTCGCCTAACGACGGTTGAAAAGGCATGCCCAGTTAGATTTGGACCACAAAGAAAACGGTGACATTCATAGAAGACAGTGGACACTTTCATCCTTAATTGGCTCTCTTGCAGTTGATTGCACAACCTCGTATCTCGGGTCGGTTAAATTGCGTTTACATTACGCAATACATTTGTTGTTGTTGCGACAAAGTTCTCTCCTCCCGCGAATAAACACCGCATCTCGAGTGCTTAAATTTTGATAAACGCCGTGGCGTTTACTCAAAAAATTACAGTATACTATGTTCCCCATGCTGGTTACGCCACAAATACCACAAATCCAAATTGATTTAGAAACTAGAGTACAACTAAAATAATAAATTTAACATCCGATGCAGTTTTTGTTGCAACTACCAATAAATTTGTGGCTTGGCAGATTGCATGCTATTTGATTGAAATTAGGTAAATTACGCGTCCAAGATGCAAAATTTTCTGGTGAATTGGTTTGAATGAGACATTTTTTTAGCAAATATTTGCATAATTTTCACGAATGTCTGTTTGAAAAGTGAAAACCACGCCATCTTAGATTTTTCTAGAAAGTCATTGCAAATGTATATTCTTTTCACTCCTAATCTGTAGATTATCGGAACCGCTGTTTTGTGTTTACTGAAGTGTTTAACGTACGTCTACTATGTACGATCATCTAAAATCATCAGTCAGTCAGATGATGATGATCACACGATAAAAAATGTAAAAGGCATATCTTTAGTCTGAATTGGAAGTATTCTTTTGTAACAATATTAATTCTAATTTTAACATTTAAATTTTACTTTAATTTTGCAACTTACCGCTACTTCCAACAGCACTTGAAGGACAGTGGTGAAGCAAAAGAAAAATAGCTACAAAGACAACAATTGCTACATGAATTCGATCACAAGTGATTTCTTGCGATCAAGGCGTTTCTATTGTAACTGCATGTATGAGTATAATACGGAGAGTATATAGTACAACTTTTTCCTGGGATTTTATGGGATTCGGAGTCAGTTCTGGTGGCTACAGAGAAGATCGATATTAACTTGAGACACAAAAACAGCGTCGCTCAAAGAAATCTGTTTTGATACATGCATACAGTCTGTGATTAGACAATATAGAAATATTTTTTGTGCATGCATGGCTGCCTTTGTTATGTAAGGCCTATTTTACGAATAGTTGTGAAATATCACTCATGTCGACAGCTTGGCGTAAGGATAGTGAGATTTAGCTACATAGAATACTAATGAATTTAGCTATATGTAGAATACTATATATATTTTGGTAGCGAATTGAAATTGAAAGCAAAATTCTTGAAATTTTTCCATAACATCGGATCAGGTAAAACAGTATTAAAATCAAAAGTAAAAGAATTGAATGGAGTTTTCATCAAGTATATATAAGTTTAAGTTTTGAAGAAAAATAGCCTCATGAAAAAATATTTCCAATAAAAATAAACTTGTGTTTGAGAAAGCGTATATGATATATTGGTCAGTATTGAAAGATTTCTTTGCACTTTTAGTCGCAAATAACTTGATCACTAACTTACCATTTAGAACGAGGACCAAACTGTCCATTTTAACCGATTATTTTGTCGAATAAACTTCTAGACGTTTCTTATCAAACAATTTCGTTCCTGGTCTTTGTTCTATCAACTTGCTTTCACGACAGTTTAAGTACGAAAAGCCCAGTAGGAGGTTGTTAGCATATCTTATAGCATATGATAATCATTTAGGTATATGGGTATAAATTAAGAAGTTTGACGAGGACATAGGGCGTGAAACTGTGAGTTTATTATTTAATCAATATAATCCAAAACTATAAACTTGTGAATTGAATTGTAATTGTACAGCAACTACTCTAAATTCCCAACACGTAGAGATTATGAAAGTGTAAGTGGTTACTTTTGCTCCGAATAGTATAGCTACATAATTTATATAATTACCCGGCTGAAATACCGATATACATATATACATATATACAGCTATATTGCTTGAAAGCGGTTTATTTTGTGACGCGTGCGCGTGAATGATATATTATATAAAAATGTCAATTGGGCTGGAACCAGTTGTATAAAACTCTAAACTAAAATGCATGCATGTAGTAAACGCATATATTCCTGATTGCGATTGATTTATGCATGTTCTTTGCACTATAGTTCCAAATATCATCAGCTCGGCCCGTTAGAGCTGTACGTGCAAGGATTCTAAAGCCCAGGTAAAACGTCGGCGCATGTTTTCACGTACTACTGACCCTAAAGATTGGTCTCCATTTCCTCTTTTTTCTATACTCTCAAAGTTAAGTTTCGTACTTTGTCCAATCAACCATTTGAGGAGCGTATAAAGTTGACTAATTATATTATAATGTTCCGATAAGTCTTTTTTAAGTCGGAGCTAGCGATAGTCGAGCGACAGCCTTTGTTGCATGAGCGACGTTTGACCCGGGCCGGATTCTTATAAAATGGCATTTTATTTATGTGCATGATTTCTTTTGTTTACTAAAAAATACGATGGATTAAGTTCATTAGGACCCGGCATATTTCATTTCGGTAATAGAACGTAAGCAATGCGACAAGCAAGAGGGTAATAATACAGCCTAGTATAATTCCAATAATAGCTCCAGCACCTGTAAAATTACGGAATAATTTAGTATCAATAATAATAATCGATTCAAACTTAGGATAGATGAAGCTGAAGATTGTCCTCTCTTCGTCAAAGAAATGAAATTTTCTGAATTTTTTTTCAGTACCATGCAAATAGCAGTTTATTTTCATTTCTTCACTAAAGGGACTCAGTTTCATGCCACTTAATTTGTTTGCTTCACTTTGTCTTTTTCTAGTCTAAAGAAAATTTTTTAGCGTCGTAGAAAATTTTTGATTTCACGGCATGCAATGCCAAACGACCCTTCCGGTAATTACGTCACAACTTTACCGTTTCCAGTTTAGAACCACCTTAAATGAAACGGATTTCTTTCACGAGCTATGTGCAAAGATGTACAACATCTTTCTTCAACACATGCATCAAAATAATTTTCATTTTGACCATTTTGTCTTATGACGTATTTTCACATTTATTGGTCAAAATGAAAAATTCTTTTGACGCACGTGTTGAAGAAGGATGTTTTACATCTTTGCACATAGCTCATGAGAGTAAAACTTGAAATTTGTTTCATTTAAGGTGGTTCTAAACTGGAAACGGTAAAGCTGTGACGTAATTAATGGAAGGGCGCATTAGATAGCAAAAAGCAACACATCATTTTTAAAATCTCTTTTAACAAAGTTGAATTTTTGAAATGTAGCTATATTGGATGCATCCTAAAATAATCATTCACTAGCGTTTGGGGATTAGGACGCGAACCAAGATATATTCAATGATGTCTGATATACCAACCTAATGAACTCTCTGATTTCGTGCCTTCTTTTGCATCTATAAAATTATATACGTAATTAGTTTTTATTCAACTGTGCAAACTTACTGTGTTATGTACTGTAGTCTGTAGAGTATATAAAAAATTATAAAATAATATATACCTGGTTTTAACATTAACTCATAATCAGCTGAAAACATTGGCCTTTCATTTGCATTCAAGTTAGAATCTACCCAAAGCATAACATAGGTCGACGAACTGCTGATGATGATCGTTTGAGAAATCATAGTTTCACAGAAACGACCGAGTGATGTATTCGTCGGATATGAGCCGTTAAAAACTTCAACAAAATGGTTGAAGCATGTGGAGTTATAATTACTGATAATAGAAGTGGTCCGGTATGTCAGGGTAAGACGAATGTTGTATTTCCTAGGCGCTTGTATCAACCATTGGCAGAAGAAGATTTGATGCTTTCCGTACTGATATCTCGGGCTTTTCATGTTGCCAGTACTCTTTGTTAGTGTCCCTGTCCCGTCACAGCCTAAAGAGAAATGTTTATTTCTAGTTTATTTCAAGTCTGTTTTATCGATGGAATATCGGTAATATCACCTGAATTAAGTCTGATTAATAATTAGTCAATTCACCTTATCGTTCTGGCTAGTGCATGTTCTAAAGGGTCCGAGGGGGATTGCTCGATCTGTCTTTGATTATATGTTTTTCGAAATGGTAAGCGTACTGATGTTTCCGTGTTTATTATATTGGCCGGGTGCCAAGGTAAATCAGGCTAGCAGGAGGTGGCGTATACATACAACGTGCATTTGGCGCCACGAAGGCGAATATCATAGCCGTATAGCGGGAGCCGTAGTCAAATCTAAAGTTCCCTATTATAAAAAGCGCGAAGAACGTGTGAATAAAAAAAAGTAGAATTCTAAGAAAGTAGAGTCCAAAATCAGACTTTTCTATGGGTATGAAAAGGAACGAAAAAAGATAGAAAGGATTGAACAATTGGCATTACACGATCTTGAATTTAATTATGAGGGGGGCGGATGTGTCAATCCTCCGAACTGAATCTTGACATGCTTGCAAGCTCAGCTTTGGACTGAAAATTAAAATTTCAAAAAAAACAACAGTTGTAAGATCATAGATGAACTCAGACAGATACGTAACCCGTATTCTTCTTAATAAAGCGAAATGATGCCTTGAATCCATTCGAGTCTGATTTTACGTCTGTTTGAAATTCTACTTGCAATCGTGGACCAGAAGTGAATATGAAATCGGGGAGGTCGTTGCTGGACCATCGTTGGAAAGGAAGCCACTCTGATGAGGGACCTGAATCGTAGAGATTCAGAATGTCCTTGTGACCAATTCGCGAATCAGGATCGAATTGAAGTCTGATGACATCATCAGATTGACCGTTAATACGCCGTATACAATTCATGTTGCCAGGGCATGGATTTGGATAATTCATGGTGTGAATATTTCCATTGGTGCCATCTTTTGACATACTCAATGGACATACTAGAAGTTTGAATATAGTGAAAAGTTAACAAGAATCATTGCATGAAAGGGATTCCATCTCTTCTGTGCATGTTCACCCATGCATGTTATTAGATACGAAAAGAGGCAATGTAAGAATCCTGGATATATATTGATGCATTTTGGATTTGCCACAATAATTACCCACCTTCCTCGTCTTTAATTGAGACATATTTAGCGTGAAATCCTCCACCAATAAAATCGAAATTGCTTGTGAAGACAATATGTAGATCTCGCTCTCTTGAAATCACATTTAAAGATGACGTGCACCAATCTCCAAGAGCTTTGCCATTTGAAGAATTACCGTCATACATCGTAATCTTATCACATTCACAACGTGCGCAATCTTGTAGATTAAGCGTTGATGCAATAAGATAAACTTTGTACCCTGGATTAGCGATTATCGTCCATTCACACGACAGACCTCCCGAATAGTGATTAGGGAAACCTGGACTTTGTATTGAACCTGAGGCAGAAACGCGTATTCCACTTCCTGGACAAACTAAAAGACAAAGTAAAGAAGGTTAAAGGAGCAAGTAGGGGATGGTAAGAATATTTCTCATCCAGATTCGGATTATGTCATGAATGATAGCAGGCATATAAACATCGTGTTAAATTAGGTTCTGTTGTTCTCATACGACTTAAGGCCTGGTTACATATGGTGCAATTTTTCTTGCAACTTGCAATGCTATTCTTCTTTTGACAGATGTAAATTTGGCAACTCCCGAACTTTTGTCAGCCTCTTCACTAATTTACAACTCTCAAAAGTAGAATTGCATTGAGAGTTGCAAGTAAAAGTGCACCGTGTAACATGGCCTTTAGGTTCCCGCAAGACCGACCATAAATGTGAGACCTCCCAAATTTGTCCTGTTTCCTCTGTGAAGCAGTTTCCCTAGTTTTCATCCTTTTAATTCCTTCACGTATTTGAGCTGGCCAATTTTCCAGCCACGATTTTTATGAAACGGACGGGCATTCATATAGCACCTGATATATTCATATATCATTATATGTATATATATATTCATATAGACGGGCATTCATATAGCACCTGATGCGTCATATAAAACCTTATGCCCCAACGTTTGGAACAGAAAAGCCAATACAAAGCTGTAGCTTTATCATCTAATTTAGAGCAAATATCCTGGAACCTGAGAAGGTGTTAGAAATAACAGGGAAATTATTCATTTTCAGAAATTATACACATGAACATATGATAATGTTCGGGAATAATTGATAATGTTCGGGAATAATGTTCGAGTTATGGCTGCAAAATTGAAACGTTATTCACCTCTTGATTCTGGAATAGCCTTATAAGTAGCTTTAAAACCTTTATAGGACCAAAATGTGTCAGTTTTCATCACAATGTACATATTTTGACCACTGGAGAGGAGCTCGGCTGTATTTTTACACCACCTGCCAGACGACTTGCTTTGATCTGTTGTACCATCGTATATTTCAATATAGTCACATGCGCAATCTTTGCAGTCTTGAAAATCAATATTTTGTACGCTAAATCTGATAACAGATCCGGGTTCAGTTTGGATTAGCCAAGAGCATTTCATGTTACCCAAATAATGTTTGGGGTAAATTGGGCTGGCGATTGACTTTTCCATGGTTGCGCTTGCTCGAAGTATTCCATCCCCATCACAAACTACAAAAAGAGCCAAACAATTACTAACACAGTGGACAGAATATCGCGTATTTTTTAACACTTGCCTTTATCCTTAGGAATTGACTCGTATGTTCCTTCAAATCCTTTACTTCCTTTCCACGATTTCGAGGTAAATTCCACCAACAACTGGTTCGTACTTGAAATCAAATCGACTGTTTTGGGTAACGAACACTGAGATAATTTTTCAATTATTTTTTTAGCGAATTTAGTGTCGCCATCGTAAACATCAATGTAGTCTTTCGACGATTCTGGAGTTTTACAAGACGGGAAGGAAACTGTAGCAATTGTTAATCTAATCTCGTGGTTTACTGGAGCTTGAAGTGTCCAAATACATTGAATATTTCCTGGGTAATTCAGAGGATATGCATAGGTTTTTATTTCTCCTCTATTTTCTTCAGGTTCTGGGCAAACTACAAATAGAAAGAGGAAAAATTAAAAGGAAAGGTAGATTAGTTAAATTTCTATTTCCTTCCAGCGTATTACAATGCACGTTTAAGCGGTTATGCGCGGACCATTAGTAACAAATTACATATCACTATCATCTTCAATCTTGTGAATACATCACATGCAATAATGTACATTCATGATAATCATATATATTCTATCAAATTATGAGTTATAAAACATACTATTGTTGGCTCTGATTGGTTCATATATAATTTCCAGTCCATCAGTTTCTGCAAACTTATTTGTAATGAATCTAACAGTTATGTAATTTGAACTCGACACGAGATCTGGTTTTTCCTTTGTCCATTCACCAAGCTTTGTACTAGATTCTGTTTGACCATCGAATATCTTCAACAAACCGCATGTTTCACAACCACCAAGATCAATAATTTTCACAGTTATGCGAATAAAGTAGCCATTGTCGACTCTTAGTTGCCAGAAACAAGACAAAGTATTTGAAAGGGAAATGTATTTGGACTTGTAGTCGTAACTCTTCAAAGTACCATTAGAATTTTGTGATGCGTGAACATTGGAACACACTAAATGCGAATACACGTAGACACTGTTATATAACGTAAATAATTAGGGGACTCGACATCGCCAACTGAAAGGCTGTTAGCAAAAGTAGAAAACTCTGCACAATATCCTTGGATCTCATAGTTATGTTCGCCTGCACTGACCAATTTTATTTGTGTTGCCGGGCGAAAGTCTATATTTAGGAAATTTTTTAAAATTTATCAAGTGATTAAAATCACTTGATAACTAAATATTTTAATGACACAAGCTTAACTTAACTTATGTCCATTACATCACAAACATTATACCTTTATTTTCTTTAAGTTTTTCATAATGCGCTTCAAAGTCATGACCCGAGGAGCGGTATTCCACGACGAATTTAATTAATAAATAACTGCCATCAGAAATTAAATATTTCGGAACCTCGGGATGTGTACACCAGGTTCCAAGTTTTACATCCGATGAAGATTTCCCATCATATACTTCTACACTTCCACAACCACAGTCTGAACATGCGGATTGAAAACTTAACTTCGAAATCTCTAAAGCAACTTTGCTGTGTCCTGGCGATGCCTTAACTAACCATTCACACATTATGTTTCCGTACGCTGGGTATTGAACTGTGATCAGTGAATTGGCTCTTGAACACACTGCCAAAAGAAGTGAGTCACATAAATTAGAGGCCATGCATAAATTAAGTAGCAATAAATTCTATAACAATTCATTTGTGATAACTAAACCGAGCTAGTCAGGCAAAACAGTCCATGATGCTATCAGGCCTTTTCGCGTTTATTCTTAATAATGTCAAACAAGTTTAAAAACGAATTTCAAATCTAACCGTCTGTTTTAGAGACATTCTTATGAGATGCAGTAAATCCTCTACCACTGCCTCTTTTATCTGTGTGAAATCGAATTAACATATTACTCCCAGTGGAGAACAAACGTATATCTCCTTTACAATATCTTCCCAAGCTTTTTGTCTCATCAGAGCCATCAAAGATCTCAAGGTAATCACAACTACAGCGGCTACATTCCTCCAGTTCGAGATTTTCAGCTGTAAATTGAATGATTGTGTTGCTGTCATTGGATGTCAGAATCCACGAGCATCTCAGATTCGGTGGATACTGTCGTCCATAATCGGGACTTTGAATAACTTTATTTGAACATTCTAGGAATGAAATAAGGGAAAACATAAACTATATGTATATAAAGGTCATGCAGAGCTTTTGTTGCGCGTTGTCAGTTCATTGAATACCATGCAATTGATCACTGCCCTACGTCACAAATTCAGTTTATCCCCTGTGAATGACTAGCTTAAGTGCATTAGCAAATTGCGTAATCGCTTTATTGCGATCTTTTAGGACATTATTCTCAATGTAAACATCATCTACAAATTTCGTTGACTTTTCTAGCCTTTTTTTAATTTCTCTAGTGAGGGGTGTTTTTATTGCATGAAAATAACTTTCCGCTATTTCAGTTGTTTATTTTGGCGTAATTATTAATTGTACTCTAGTACAATTAATGAAATAACTGTACTCCTCTTGGCCAATCAGCATCTAGTAATTTCGTCATGCTAACAATACGTTTTTTAATCACAATAGGTTAACGAGGAGAACAAGGAATTGGTCTTTGTACCACCTGGTATTCTACAACTTTTACAACTTACCGCTTATTCCATGAGCACTTAAAGGGCAGTGATGAAGATAAACAAGAATAACTACAAAGACAACGAAAGCAACTCGATGAGTTGGAGTGATTTGTTTGCCCATTGCCATTGGCTGTCGGGATATTCATTATCAGAATGTTATAATACAAGATATATGAGTATTGAGTAGACTGATACGGGAAGTGCATGCAATACAACTATTTTATTGAATTTTTTAAGATCACGTTACTCAGTAATCTGGCTACAGAGAATGATCGACTGTATATTAACTTTCTGTACAATGGCAACAAGAAAATTAATTTGATTGTTTACAGTTTTAACAGCCGGACTTTTGCATGCAGTCAGTGATTGTATATGCATGGCTGCCTTTGTTATTTAAAGGGCCCTTTTTTCACGAAAAAATTGTGGAATTATATGTCGACAGATCGCGGTACAGATAGTAAGAGAGAATACTAACAATTTCATTATATTATGGTAACGCATGGCTGTAATAATCGCACGCGAATTGATCATGAAACTGAAAGTAAATTAGTAAGTTAAACTGAAGTAAATTCTTGAAATGTTTGCACAACATGATCAGGTAAACGAGTATTAGAATCAAAAGTAAAAGAAATTATATAAGAAATGGATTTCTCATGAAGTTTTCCTGCGATCTCTAAACTATAAGTTTCAGTTTTAAAGGAAACTAGTCTAATTGAAAGAAAAATTTTCAAAACGTTGTTCGAGAAAACGTATATGGTGTTCGGAAATTTCTTTGCACTTTTATAGTCGCAAATGACATGATTAATAACTTACCATTTAGAACGAGGACGAGGCTGCCCATTTTAACCAACTATTTTGTCGAAAAAACCTCTACACGTTTCTTATCAAACAATTTCGTTTCTGATCTTTATTTAATTAAACTTGCTCTCACGACAGGCAGTTTAAATACGAAAAGCTCAGTAGGAGGTTGTAAGAATATGCTTAATATTCTAACACTACTTAACATGATGACATTCAAATCGACATGCGGAGAGACATTCTTTGCATGTCAGTGAATTGCGAAACTTCGCGCTTGTGTCGTGAGTGTTGATGAGGATGTAAGACGTGAAAGAGACAAACCTTTTGGGTATATAACAACGTTTGGGTGTTCTAGTACAGCACATCTTTTGGGAGTGGTAATCCAATAACATATATGTTAGGCCAACTGTGTGTGTGCTAGGCCAGCACACCTTTTGGGCGCATTTAATACCTGAATGCAACGTCATATGTTTTTCCACTAAGGCGCCTGGGTACGAGGCTGGTGTTATCCGGTTATCCGGGGCAGAGACGTTTTTTGGTGGCGCACGTCTTAGAGAATAAAATATTTTAATTCTTTTTTTATTCCATGAGAATTACGAGAGTTTATATATATAAGCTGAACATGGCATTAATTTGATGAATTTACCAATCACTCACTACATTATTTATAAATATAATCGATTTCCTGTTACAATTAAATATTTTACTGATAATTAGGTATAAATTGATTACTTTGCAATGTGAATGAAGGTTACTGATAAATATTTGAAACAGAGAATCCTTCCTTGTATGGCTTGCCTCTAATTAACTTGTTGAAACATTTTTCTAAATGCGACGACCCTCTCTCTGTGGCCAGGATTGGCGACAATGATTTTCATTGCTCGTCAGCCTCGTCTGTCCTGTCATAGCTAATATACGTAGCTATATATAGGGTTGATATTGTGGAGTTCGCTTCTATGCGCTATATTCACGATGATGATAGAGCCTTTGGCTTTGTGGATGATAGAAATGACATCGTTAAGTTCGCTGCATCACGTACCCATGCAGGAATACGTTTGAATGTCTACTTTCATGGTGCGTTCAATACGACCCTACGTTTTCTACGGTACACCTGCGAAATGGGAGAATTTGAGTGATTAGAGCGCCATGGTTGAGGCAAATGTTAGAGAAGAATTAGAGGAAAATTAGAGAAGAATTATTAAGAAATAAAATTAAATGTCAATCATCTCGTGGTTATTCCACGTGTAATGCACAAGCATCTCTACACTCTCTATGTAGAAAGGGCCGGAGTATAAAAATAACCACAGAGGAGTCAAATAACATAGAATATTTCTCAAAAGCAGAACTTGTAATCCAAATAAGCTGGACTTAGTGCAAATATATATGAGCTAAAACAAGAACCTTTGGTTACTCGAATTATATTATATAGGCTCATGTCAAGCACAGAGTTAACTAATATTCAACAATGTTGTTATTCTTTCATTTAAATACCTGTTTCATACTCTTGTCCCATTTTTGTCATTTATTGGAGCGGTGTCTTTCTTTTTGTGCCTTCAAAAAGAATAACATCTTTCGATCATTTTTCATCATTCATAGATTGCTCAGCCATGTCAGTGTTCATGGGCATTCGTGGGCATGAGGAATATCGATGTTGCTAAGAGTATAACTTTATAAGAGTTGTAACTTTATAGGGAGTAAACATGAAGGATATAACAAACGTATCCGTAGCCAATCTCAGGGTCTTCGCGTGACAGCAGGCCTTGAAGGGATCGGAGTTGATCATGCAATCGCCTTTCGATTTTCATGCTGGGGGTGAGTGTGGGTATAAGCGTAAATAATATGGGTTTCCGAGTTCCGAAAGAAAATGATGGGCATGATATAGAGAGGGCTATAGTGATTATTATCTAGGAGACGGATTGTATGTGTTAAATAATTATCTACAGTCAAACAACAATGACGAAAAAGATGCCCACCTTCTCCAGTAAAATATTGTTCCAACAACCACCAAGAGTATCAAGGCTGCAATGACTGGCAGGCCTATTATCATATGAATAATCGAGATTTCATTGCTGGAATGTTGTGCTTCCACCAACCCTGTTTTGTACGTATAAGGCGTTGAAAACTCTGTAGTTGACAATGGTTTAGGTGTAGCAATTACAACCTTATTCTTCGTTAAGATTTCTTTGGCTTCTCCTGGAGGTTTTATACCCGTACTGACTGGTGTAGTTAACGATGTTTCTGTACTTAGGTATTCAATCATATTTGATGATTTTCTGGTTGTAGTCGTTGTAGTCGGCATTGATTTAGATGTAGCAATGAAAACTGAATTAGTCTTCATCAAAATTTCTTTTGTTGCTGCGGGAGTTCTTATTTCTGCAGTGATTGGCGTGGTTAACGATGTCTTTGTACTTGAGTATGCTTTTGATGATTTTCTAGATGCAGTCGTTGGATTAGTTTCTTGTATTGCTGCATGTAGAAAAATGAAAATATGCAACCTGATTATTATAAGTTTCAAAATTCAAATTATAGTCTGGTATCAATTGTATTTAATCATTACTTTGACTGGCGTGGTTTTTAATTTTGTAAAAGTTCATTAAGGCGGTTTTCCACGAGGCTGATCGAATTATTCGATCGAGCGAAATGTTTCGCCTGATTTTCTTTTCAAGTGTCAGACTGATTCGACCGTATAGCGGCACAGAATACTTATCTGAGACAACTCCATTGTTCAGTTTTGCGTAAGTGTGATTCGTCATGATTCGTCACTCAGCAAGTACCGTAAATAGAAGCATTCAAAAAACAATGAGTTGTTTCGTGATAGCGGATTTGTTTGACCATGGATAGTAAAATCAGTCTTTTAACTATCCATGGTTTGACTAATGTCCTGTCACAATTAGAAAACCTCCATCTAGTTGAAAACCGCCTTAAACTAATATTTCTCCTCATGTATAAACTATACCTTCGTATTTCGCGTGAAATTCCAAACGTTTCTTCAAATCCTGAATGACGCATTTCGCGCCAGTATTGTTGCCAGATTTGAGGACAATGAAAACGCGATTGGTCACAGATTTCACCCAAGCTCCTGAAGTAGCATTCTCTCCACAAAACCTTGCTAAAAGTGCTGTTTCCTTTGCGCTTTTCCCTTCATAAATATCGAGGGAATTTTCTTTGCAGTTGGGAACAAAGAGTTTTTGAAAACTCAGTAAGATTTTTTGAGGCTTATTCACTTTTATTGACCAGGAACAGAACTGAAAATCGGGATAGGAATTGTTCAAAAAGTTTGGCGATGAAAATGATCCACTTTGATCCCTCAATTTGTGTTGGCAACCTATAATAAGAAACACGATATTATGAGTCGATTTATTCTCTCGCCCCACAAGTAATGTGTATTTAGATAAATATACATACATGTCATGGCAGTATAAATTTAGTATGAAAAATTTAGTATAAAATTTCTTATGAAAAAACATAATTATATCCACTTCATTTCAGTCATGTGTATGACTTTCATTTCGTTATATATATCCTGATAGGAAAACACAAACTCAAAGGCTTTAATATAGATAGAGTATAGCGTACCTTCATAATAGCAATAATATACTTTAGGCAAACTCTTCGATTTATCTGTAAAAACATGATGTCCACTGAATTCATCATAGTTGTTCTTATCCTCAGTGTCATATACGATATATTCCAAAGAGCTGACAGCCCCAACCACACGCTGACATTTTTGTGATCCGTACGGTAACAGATAGAATGGCTTTTTCGTTGGCAGTTGAATAGATTTGTGCCATTTTCCTTTTGTGTGACAGCAATAAAGCATTCTCGTTGATGGACCAAAGTACATGCCATCAGGAAGAGTTAAATACCGATGATATTTATTTTTATTGTTAGTCTGCTCATCGAACCAATGTATGAAACCCTTCGTCATGTTTGGTGGACAGTAGTTTGAGTTCCTGTAGATGCAGTAAGAACCTAAAATGCATAAAAGAAGCTATTTTTAGTCTGATTTAATTAACATCGAAGGAGGACAACAGGAACAAACTATGCACAAAATATTGATGATTCGAGCAGCGAGCGCCTATTGGCTTCATATACTAAAGAAAAAGTGGAACTGACTTCCTAAAGATTTAGAGTTGGGAATACATAAACATTAGACATATAGTTTGCCGTCTCGAAAACATCGGCATATGCTCTATATAACAAAAGTTATTTAAAACTATACCGACTCAATTTGAAGCCAAAATGTTACGGATTTCGGAAACGCTTTTTAAAACCTTTTATGTTGTACGTTTTACAAAATGAAAACACAATTAATGTCTTCATCTTCCGAAGCTATTAGTGCGTATAATGAAAAATCTGTCTTTCGACACCGTAATCAGCTTACCATTTGGCCATGGTTCCTGTACTTCATCTGCGTTAGAAATCGTGCAAAATTTTCTTTTTATATCATTCTTTCTCATTTCTGCGTCCATGTTAAAACTGGACGAGAATTTGCTGCCCTGTCGGGCGTCATTCTCTAAATCTTGATAACGCCATGATTCTTGCCATGTGCCTCTTCTGGTATGAGGGCATCCTGACTTGGGTTTTGGCAGAGTGTAGGCACCAAGCGGCCAGTTAACTATTCAGTAATAAAATTAACATGGAAAAATGAGTGAGTGAAAACTGAACTTATTTTTCATCCTTTCATACTTCAATTACTGAGGTATGTCCAATGAAGCCATAGCGTTTAGGTATTACTTAATGTAACACCGGAGTTTAGGAATTCTACTTTGGAGAAGTTTATAGGTTCGTTAGGAGTTTAGGACTGAGAATGTTGAGGAAAAAACTTGACAACGCGATTGGTCAACAGAATTTACCCATGTCGTATAGATGATGATTTCGTAAAAAAATCAAACGTTGCATAGACATTAACATTGCGTGAAGCCGTGAATTGTTATTCTATTGATATCCGACTCATCAAAATTAACCGCAATACTATAGTATATTTAATATTTACTTCCGTTTGTATGATTTGCAGTCGGTAGAGACGTCGACAACGTAAGTGGAATTACAACTCAATGACGCTGGTTTGTGTTACGGAAATATCTTTCTTTCTTTCTTTCTTAAATTTCATTTTACCACAAATAGAAACTTCACTGAGGAGGTCATTCTGCTGGGAATGCAGAATGAGAAGGAGGCTTGTAACATGCATCATTAGTACCTGATTTGCATGCATTTACACGTTCATTGAAGCTTTGGAATATATTGGTGTTATCACCTTATAAGATGCATGTGGAAATTATCTAACTAATACGAATATCATTATCATTGTATCACGAGAATGAACTTATAAAATTCCAATTCTGTTTTTATATTTTATTTCTTTTAAAATTGGCTACCAAACTGAGGTAAAAATTTTGGGAAGCAGCCAGATATAGTTTCAAACTTTCATTGGTTTGGCGATCTATATAGCCATAATACTGCCGCGCATGACTGGAATCACAAAAGGGAATTTAGAAACTGTTATTATATGTGTATAGTACTTTATTTAGTAAGTAAAAAAGGTTTAAATCGAAATAGCATGAGGGTAAATCAATGGTACATGGTCTGGAAATTCCCATGCAGTTAGGTCTAAAAAAATAGTATACTGTCAAAAGCAGTAGTAACACATAATGCGTGTTTACACCTATAGTAATTTCACATGCCACTTACCTGCTGAAGAAATAATAACATCAAATTTCAATGTCCAAGAGATGGTGAAAACAATGAGGATTTTTGTCGCCGCCATTACATGAGATTATCAGTAACCGTTCAAGTTAACTATTCCAATGTGTGTCAGGCGATAAGCAAAGCAACATGCATGTCCTGGGTAGATGAACAACTGAATGACATGATATTCACACCAGACGGTATATATTGACATGTTTGAACCTGATATTTGTAACTTGAGATGTCTTGAGAAAGGATAGGCCACAGTGTTTTCACGACGAAATCGGAATCATGCAGGTGCCCAACTGGTTTATTTCCTTAATCAAGTACACATTAGGCGGTATTATCCGCCCAAAAAAGGAAAGTGCTCCAATATTTCCTCAAAAATTTCAAAAATCTCCATTCCCAAAGCGTTTCGCTATGCCCGTCATGCCCATATATATACGTGTCAAAGTGGCAACGAAGACACCAGAACCATATTTTAATACTATAGTCCAACATAGGCAGATATATTATATACCCACACTAAGCCAAAGGCCGAGCCAAAAGCGATCTTGTTGTTCATTTATTTTTGTTTAAAAACATTAATGCTGAATGTCGTAATGCATGCAGACATTCCTCTGCATCATCGTTTCCTTTCTGGCAACATTTGGGTAATCATGATCCGAAATATATATTTATACATATAACAGTTTTTTTCCCGTTTTCGTTACTCTGCATGCACGCAGGAAAACGTAATGCGTATATAAGTAAATTTGTCAAAAGGTCATGCTATAATTAAAAGCATGAACTAGGCTTGTCGCTATTTCCGTAGGAGTTTAATCTCCCGTAGCTAAATTGCTTTCAGGCGGCCTGAATGCACTATGTGCGGACTGCGGAGTGCTGCAGTGCGGCCTGTGGAATGTTTACGAAAATGGGCGCGAGAGTTGGAAATGTAGAAGCGTTGAACATAGTCGATTATATATGCGCTATATACCCGCGGTTCTCTGCGAAACGCTAACCGAGTTTTCTGGGAATATACGTTATTAACTTCGAAGGTAAAAGTTAGGATTGTTTGGTAATAATCAATATCTAGCTCTAGCTAATGTTTCGAATTAAAAACTTGACTTGGGCGGAGCAGGGAAAACGTACGTGCGAATATGCGCTCGTGATAACGCACACAAGTGTGCATAGTAGACACTACAATATCATGAAACTATATCGTGTACGTAGACTAGCTGATTCAGCCCACGTCGGACTGTTGGCTTTTATAGTTAAACACGCGTATAAATTAAACTATACCGCATTGATGTTAACGTTAATTAAGAATTTCAATTCCAGGAAACCGTACATCGTGATACGATTGAGACAAATTTTCGGCATGCGGAATGATTGTTGTCGGCATGGAAGAATATGATTGCTTTTCGAAAATGCGGAGGCGGACCGTACTGGCGCAAATAATTCATATAATTACTTATCAATTTGCCTGTTGGCATACTTTACCGGCAATCAAACGGCTACTTTATTCACGATTTTTAAAAATGGAAAATATTTTATTCTTGAATGCTCTAGAAAGGAGTTAACTGACGCATATACTGAACCTTACGGTGAAATTAAGGTCGTTTACGTTATTACGTATGGTACTGGCCGTACTGCAAATCAACTGTTGTATAATAAGTTCATCTGTTCATGCCGTGCGGGGTGCTTACTGAAAAACGCAGCGTGCATTGACCGTCTTATCTAGATATTACAGATACACCAGTTCCGGCAATGTTAGCGGTCCCGCCTTGGCACCGAGTATTAAAAAAAAACGCAATTTGAATCCTCTGGAAAATATTGTCATTAGGGAGTCACCCCACTTTCGCGTTTTTTAAGTTACCAAATTGAGCGATTCGCTGTTTTCGAATCCAAAATATTACTTTCTGTTCATTTTTAAGTACACACTTTCACATTTACAAGGACACATTGGCCTTTTACAAATAAAAAAAGTGTGTACAAGGACACGGTGGTTCGGGGCAGGCAATATGCCGTGCTAATATATTTGTTCAAGCCGTCCAATGCAACAAACAAACAGACATAGGGTCAACATCGTCCCACCCTGACTGGTTTTTCGTCTGGACTCTTCCCAAAACGAGTCACTCGCGCGCATTCGAGTAAAGCACCGTCCATAAATCATAATGCGAGAGAAATTTAATCTATTTTTCATTCTTGTGGGATAATGGTTTTATACATATTTTCCATCTTAATCTGACAGGTTACCATTTACAGGTATTTATTCTACTGTTATGAAGGTCACCTTGGATATTTTGCTTGATTATATTATTATAGTTAATTTACATAAGACAGGACACCTGTGATTAAAGCTTTGACCTTTTCAAAATAATAAACAGTGGGTATATTTTTTGATATAATGGTTTGCATGATTATACGTTTATTTGATTCCTATTAACCTTCACTGCATGTGAAATACATCGCTGTAGTTCTTCGTACAGCCGAATATCCTAATGCTAATATGCTATGCCATGAAGATAACTATCAGAAAGTTTTCTACACACAGGCTATTTTCTATATAGCTGTTTATTGTATAAAAAAGTAAATGACATGCGCATATTATGCAAATCATCTTCGTGCGATGAAACGTGTGCATGTAAGTATTCCTCGGGGAAACGCAGAATCACCGCGACTGCACGTCTTCCCGAAGATGTAATAACGCTGTCGTTGACCTCTGAACGACGTGGGCTAACTGATGAAATTAATTTGATTTAAAAAATTCCATTTTCATGCGCAATTTTATTAAAATAACTTCAGGCTGTTTCTTGTCAACAAACACTTGTAACAAGTCATCAATTATAGCTTATTTTCACCCAAAATACATTTTACTATATCACGACTAAAATCCGAACTCAACTATAAGAAGGGCTGGAGTACTAAACTGCAACTACTTACTCAATGAGACACACGTCGTGATATAATCGTGATATAATCTAAGCCTCTGACAAAAGGCAACTCTTCTGTTTATTTCCTATAATCTACTAAGTAACTTAATATTATCATGCGTTTCAAAACGAATACTGATCTATGAAATTAATAATCCTTTTCATTGTCACTGTAAACAACTGAAACAAGTCTACATCGTTGGTATTGCATATGTTGGATCACAATCATTTTCATCAATTCCCTGGTAGATCGGATTGACTTCAATCACCTGCATATCGGCGTCATTCTCGTACGCTGAATTTTCTGCAACACCGAATCTGTAAACAACATTACGCCGGCATTATATATATATATATATAGACTATGTCTGACCTTTTCACAGTCCATAACATTGATCATTCGTTTGATAATTTATAGGAGAATAACGCAAACACGATATGTAAAACAGGCTGTCTATAGGATTAGCGCAGATAAATCAGATTCCAAACTATACTAGAAGGCATTCAGGGACACGAATGCGCAATTTTTAGGGGAGATTCTCTCCACTAATTATATACTATGTTCTGACCCCAAAATTTAACCTGTACTAAAACTCACCTAACCTACATGCTGTATTCACTTCTTTCCCTCCCTCTTCTCTTAGCATATTCACATCCAAAGAAAAATTAATTACTAGCCATTAAAATACTGTCTTAACTTTCTTACCCTTCCACAACAGCAGGATCATTCTGTGGTTGTTCTTCTTCTGTGTTAACATCTTTTTTATCTTTGTGATGTCTTTTAATTAAAAAATATTAATAATCAGTTTGAGAAGTGAAATAATAGCATACTTCGAAATTAGGGTTTCGAATAGACTATTCAAAAACTGACTGGACTGACGTGTGTACCACTTCGGTTCTTTTATAAATTCTTATAGATTGGCTGCCAAAGTTGACAAAATTTAAAACTGTTTTCTGACTGATCCTCACACTGACTCTGGTAAAGAGCCGTCGCGTGCGAAGGAAGTTATAGTGTCGGTTTTACTCACTGGTTTTACTGAGATACAGGAAAGATTTAAAAAAGCATGTAAACCGAGTATACGAACCTTCTCCAACAAATTATCGTTACTGCCACGAGCAGAAGTATCAGTAAGAGCAGGAGTGGTAAAAAAGTTACTAAATAAATCACCAAATTTCCAGTATGCCGTAAGTGACGGTTGTTATTCAAAGCTGCTGCTAAAATGTAAAAATTAAGAAGAAATTCCCTATGTGACTGAGCAAATTAACTGAATGAACTTAGTAAGAAGTTAGTTATTGTCGAACATGCAGCTGCAACTCGGCTGTCTCGGCATGAAAAGTTGACGTACCTGTGGGGAAAGATTCATACACAGCATAAAATTGTATACGCTTCGACAAATCTTCATTCCACAAAGAGTTGTTGCCGGATTTAAGAACAATGAATAAACGATTTGTCCTCGATGTCACTTTAGCCCCAGAAGTGGCATTAACCCCACAGAATGTTGCTAAATGTACTGTCTTTGAGGCATTATCACTTTGACCATCATAAACGTCAATCGAGTTTTCCTCACAGTTAGGAATATTTAGGGATAGAAATTCCAGGGAAATTCGTAGAGATGCATTAACTGTTAGTGACCAAGAACAGTACTGAAAATCTGGATAGAAACTGTTGATATAATTTGGAGATCCAAACGAACCAACGTCATTTTGGAAATAGTGTTGGCAACCTTCAAAATGACCAAAATACAACAGCATTTCTTAGCTATTTTCGTACGCAAAAGGGCAAATCATATTATAACAACTGTATTAGGCCCACACTAGACCACAGTTTCAAACTCAGTTTCTAAAACGAGACCATGCAGATGAGCATGTCGAAAATACAGCCTTAGATGAAGGAAACATACCTTCGTAATAGCAATAATACATTTTTGGCGAACTGCTGTTTTTGTCTGTGAATACATGATGTCCGTCAAAATCATCTCCATTAAAAATATCTTCAGTGTCATATACGATGTATTCCAAAGAACTGACAGCCCCAATTACACGTTGACAGTTCCGTGATCCATAAGGTAGAAGGTAGAATGGATTTTCAGTTGGCAATAGAATTGAGTCATACCATTTCCCTTTATTTTGACAACAGTAAAATAATCTGGTATTGTCACCAGAATCTAAATCGGGCAAATGGCCTTTCTCGTCATTTCCATTATTTTCATCCTCATCATCCCATATAATTGACCCTCCTACCATGTCATTTGGACAAAAACCCTGCTTTCTGTATATACAATAAGAACCTACAAAAATATTGTGAGATATTTGTTACCGCAAGTGCATTTAACATTTAAACAAGAAGTTGAATCAAATGTTTGTTTTAGATTAGGTAGGCCTAATTAACAGCATGTGAAAGAGATCCCTTGAGCTTTGAACTTTTGAAGCTCAAATGGTAGCTAAATGTTTCATTGTTACCGGATAATCATACCTCTTCCCCATGGGGTCCGCTGTAGGTTTTCCGATCCTTGAGTAAACTTAGTGCAAAATGCTCTGTCAATATATTCTCTCTTGACAATGCTTGCATTCATGTGAAAATGAGAGGAAAATTTACTGCGGGTAGTATTGCTGGATAATGCATCATCCTCAAGGTCCTGACGTAACCATCCTTCTTTCCAAGAATCCGGACAGCCTGATTTCGGTTTTGGAAGGCTGTAACTTCCCGATGGCCACGGGTCTGAAAGAGACAATAAGCCGAAGTCGGCATATGCATTGGTGGGGTTTGAGTTTACAGCAAACTACACCTGAAGGCCAAACTCGCGATCATGCAGAGTAGAAATGGCCTGGTAAACAGTCACATTATACTCCGGCTTTGAAGTATCAAGTTTAACACTTTCAGAGAGTATTCCTGCGTTAGAGATTGCATTTCTAACCGGAACAACTAATGCAAAAACTTCGGCACACTATAGTTGGTGGAGTTAGGAATTTTTGAATCTCCCGAACCTCGTGAGTTATTTTAGTTGACTCTGAGCAATGGCCATCCAGACAATCCATATCAAGGAGTCTTATACGCCATGATTTCAAATGTTGCTATGGCTTTCATACCCTATTCACTGATTATCACTTACAGATATTTGATATTTCGAAATGTAATATCCACTTATATCCAAAAATATCGCGCTTTTCCAAATTACGCAATGAATCATTTGCGAGCGAATTCATCTCTCTGCTTCGTTGTCCTTGTCCACGTCCGGATGGAAACGAGTCGCAGGCTCTATTATCTTTTTTATATACGTGCTTAAATGTGAAAAAAACTCTGTTTGACCATGAAATGAATTTTTCATATAAGAGATGTATGTATCAAGTGCATGTGAGATTGCTACAGTTTAAAAAATAGTTTGTTCGTAGAATCACGATCTCCTAACCCTCCCCGGTAGCTAAATTAAGAGGAGACTATTTTCAAAAATATGGAACAGACAACTATTAATTTCCAATACTCACCTTTTGAAGGAGAAATAATATCGCACCGCATCAAAAAAATGATAACAACAACGAGAAAATGAATATTCGTCATTATATCGACTTGTTCTTTATTCTTAATAATCTGAAATGATCAAAATTAGGCCAGCCGAATGTTGGCGTTACGAAGTGTTAGTCCCATTGCACGACTGCAGAAGTCCCATAGTCAGGGATCATTTTTCTTGACATATGAATTGCATTTTAGCTGTGCAAAGAAAGCTGTGTTGATGTGAAGAAAAATATCGACAGTGTAAATTATCTTCAACAATAAATATGCCAGATATTTGTGAAATATAATATAACTGCAATATAACTGGACATAAATGGCTGATACCATAGAGACAAGTTCACTTGTTTGTATTGCCTGAATTTGCTATAAGACGTTCACACTTTTGATAAGCCACATGCATAATATACAGTTTTAGATGACGTCATATGCCGGGGGGCGGAACGACGGGAGCCAATAAACGGAGGTTGGTTTTCTTAAAGAGCACGTAATTTACGTAGCCCAAAGAGTGTTTGAAAAAAAAGCTGCTGAACGTCTGCTTCTTCTAATCTTGTTTTCCCTTTGTTAGATTATTTCATTTCTGGGTTTTTATACCGAGCTGAGCTGTTAACCTTGGTGAGAAATGTGTACAACACACTATTTTTCATAGTGTGGTAAGTATACGTCCATAAAATTTAACAATTAAGACAATTAGCTTTCAAAGTGCGACCTTGCACGGTTAAGTACTGGATGCATATATTCCGGACACCATGCACGCACGCTGTTGTCTCTGCCTGCAGGGCACAGTTGTTTTTGTATGTTTCATTTCTTCTCTTCTCAAATGTTTCGAGATACGGCTGGACTTTGGCAACGCATCGAATACACAACTGCGCTTATATAAACAGCCTAATACTAACGTGTTTGCACCAGCGACCAAGCTCCTATATAGGTTACTGACGACCATAAAACAATATATCCAGCTAATTTGTCTCGTTTTCACAAAGATCGATGGTGAAAGATCATGATATTTTAATTACATAAATAACTATTAATTGCACATAAAACTAATTATAATTGAATTTTGTATATATCACGTTCAAAATTTAAACGGTTTTATTTGTTTGGTTCCTCATAGGTTAAATCAATATCATCATCAACTCCTTGATATAGAGGATTCCCCACGTTTACTTCAATCTCTGATGAGTAAAGAATATTTTCACTTGTTTCGTGCAACTCCGATGGTTCAATGTAGCTTTCATACGCCGGCTCATTCACTCCAGACTCGTAGACTGGTCTTGTGGTTGTTTTTGATTTGCCAATTCCAGTTGTCGGTGAATGATCCAAGTAACTAAAAATCAAATTATGTATATTTTTACATAGCTGATTAATAATGTTATAATAGAAATAATTGATAACATGTATATAGATATCAAGGTTCTTCAGTTCTGTACTTTGGTTGACTAAAGAGATGTAACACTGATCTATGTGGCTAAACGTTTTCAAACTGCACGGTCAAAATTTATAGAAAGAGATTTGCATTGCAGTCTATGGGGACGAGGACACTACTCTCTACGTGTAGGATATAATCAGGAAACTATCGTAGCAAACCAATGTACCTGAATCTTCTACGACAAAATACTGCTACCAGCACACCAGCTATACTCAGTATTGAGAGCAATGGTAAAATAACTGATAAATATATAAGTAAGCTATTCTCATTGCTCTTCTTTTGTAAATCCTTTCTTTCAACATCCAAAGAATTATTCATGGTCACTGTTGTTGGAGGTGATACGGTTGTTAGAGGTGATAAAGTTGTTTCAGGCGATAAAGTTGGTGCAGGTGGTAAGGTTGTTGCAGGTGATAAGGTTTTTGCAGGTGATAAGGTTGTTTTAGGTGGTAAGGTTGGTGCAGGTGGTAAGGTTTGTGCAGGTGGTAAGGTTTGTGCAGGTGGTAAGGTTGTTGCAGGTGATAAGGTTTGTGCAGGTCGTAAGGTTTGTGGAGGTGGTAAGGTTGTTGCAGGTGATAAGGTTGTTTTAGGTGATAAGGTTGGTGCAAGTGATAAGGTTTGTGCAGGTGATAAGGTTTGTGCAGGTGGTAAGGTTGTTGCAGGTGATAAAGTCGTTGCAAGTGATAACGGTGTTTCAGGTGATAACGTTGGTGCCGGTGGTAAGGTTGTTGCAGGTGGTAAGGTTGTTGCAGGTGGTAAGGTTGTTGCAGGTGGTAAGGTTGTCGGAGATGACACCGTCTTTGCTGTAAGGCAAAACATGGACTATATTTAGAAAAAGGTATCATAATGAGGAGACGCTATGGTGATCGTTAACAAGACTATTATAACAACCTAGTACAACAACCTAGAAATATTGCAACTTTTAAAGGCGAAATGATTCATTAAAAAAATTCACACTTAATTAATTGTTAAAATGTCAAATCACTTTAATATATCTTGAATATCAACCTTGATACCTTGATTTTAATTGCAACATGTTTAACACGTATAACATTTTTCCGTCTACCACTAAGATCAACTTTAAAAATACTAATTTATAACTAGTGCCCATAACTAATGATCATACGCAAGGCATGCAGTTTTTTAAATCTATCTGCAAGGGTACAGACAAGGTAAAATTGATGTAGCTACCTGGTAGGAACGATTCATATTTTGCAAAGAATCCAATCGTTTTCGCCAAATCCTTTCCATTCTTTCGTACCGTGTTGTTGCCAGATTTGAGGGAAATGCCCAAACGATTAGATGTTCCTATCACTTTCACTCCCGAAGTGGCATTCTCCCCACAAAATCTGGCTAAGGTTGTTGACTCATCTATAGCTCCGATCCATCGAAAATATCAAGATAATTTTCTTCACAGTCAGGAAGATAAAGAATGGGGAATGTTACAACAATTTGCAATGTTGTTTTAACTGAAACTGACCAGGAACAGAATTGAAAATCTGGGTAGGAGTTGCCTGGAAATCCGGGAGAACAAAACGAGCCATGGTCAGCATCATTTTTGATTTGGTGCTGACAACCTGTAGGAAAATAAACTAATGATAGATAAATACGCATTAACAAGATTTATGTATAGTCAATTAAGGTGGCTCACTAGAAATAAATTATGGAAAAGTATATTTTTCCCTCTGAAACGTTTATTTAGGAAATACCAGACCCCTGCGGGTTCAGTCCCGTATCAGACCTCGGTCTGATATTTCTAGTGTATAACGACGCCACGCTTGGTGTGAGTAAACGGTTATTATTGTCGTCACATATTGAGAATTGAAATGAAATAAGAAAATTGAGTATACCTTCATAGTAGCAGTAAAATATTTTTGGCAAACTTTTGGTTTCGTCACTGTACACATGATGGCCTTCAAATTTATCTCCATTTTCAAAATCTTCAGTGTCATATACGATGTATTCCAAAGAACTAACAGCCCCAATTACACGTTGACAGTTCCGTGATCCATAAGGCAATAAGTAAAATGGATTTTTATTTGGCAGTTCGATAGAAATATGCCATTCCCCTTCATTTTGGCAACAGTAGTATAGTTTTGTATTTGATAGTTTGGTGTTTAAATCAGGCAAAACACCTTTTTCTTCATTTAAATTACCAGCATCTTCATCATCCCAGACTATTGATCCTTCCACCATGAAATGAGGACAAATATGATGTTTTCGGTAAATACAGTAAGCACCTAAAACAGCAATGAATAATTTAATTGAATCAATTTACAATCGTAAAATTTCGTTAGCATCGTGGTAAATCCGCAAAAAGAAGTAAACTTCAGTATTCAATTAATGAAAAACTAACTTATACAAACTCTTAATTATTCTGCATGTAAAGGTACGTTTTACGTCAAGTTTAGTGCACAAACCCAAAGCTCAATGATATAACAAGAGGGAGACGGAATCGATATCACTGACATTTTTTTTCTTTTGGTGTGAATATTACTTATACCTTTAGGCCATAACAGATTCTTGTGTACGAATCTTGTGTTTTCAGATTTGGTGCAAAACGTTCTGTCAACGTACTCATGTCGGTTGTTCAGACTGGCATCCATTATCCATATGAAAAGATGAAGAAAATTTACTACGTCGTTTGTTTCGTTCATCGTCCTCAAGGTCTTGTCTTAACCATCCTTCTCTCCAAGAATCTACAGGACATCCTGAGATTGGTTTTGGAAGACTGAAACTTCCTGATGGCCAAACATCTAGATTTCGATTATTTGCAATAATTCAATATATAGTTAGACGACTGTGTTGACATGCATGCGGTATATAGTTTATGGCAACTCGCGTAGTAGAATATTTACCATTGGCATTGCTCATGCTGAGTTGTACAAATGGGCATAGATTTTTTAATTCTTTACTGCTGTAAACTCGTCAATTTTTATATGGCGTTTGGGAACCAAGTGCCTAGTGTGACAATTTTAACGAGAGCTATGTATTATTGCTTTATAAATAACGAGAGTTAGCATGTAATATCACTAATATGTATACACAAACACAAGAAAATATACGAGGCGAAGTTTTAGGTTTAGTACATTAATCCTATTTTCCATGCAGTTCATAATACCTTTTCTAGCATGAAGTATCGCACATCTCGTCACAAAAAATGTGACAGCAACAGCATAAACTTTGATCATCAAAATCATCTTTTTCTTTCGCTTTAAACTGATTAGAAGTCGAAGCTAAATCAGTATATAAAACTAACGGAAGGACATTTTGGTTTGGACATTTTTGTCAACTTTGACATGTTGAGTGCTTAATAATGTCAACATAATTGAAGTGCATATGACATTATTACCATTTTTTCACCAAAAATCGGCAAGAATGGAGCGATTCGAATTATATGTATCATTCCATGATCGCGTTAATACTTCCATGCAGTGATATTTTCGATCAAACATGGCAAAAATATCATAATGAACTTACAACTCTAACTCGTTTCCCGGCTGCGTATTGAAAATACTTTCGGAATGTTTGATCAAAATTATCCCCGGACGTATTTAAACAATCAAGGAATGAAAAATCAGCACTTCAAAATCGTTTGAAACTGAGCGTTACTTAAAGTTACTGAGAGTTACTTTAAAAGGTAATCGGAACTAAGTCAATACTTGTGTAGGTCTAGTTCAGTCGTTTACGAACTCTTCGCTCTGGAAAGATCATGCAGTTAAGCTTTTAATGGCAGTCATGCAGGTTTCGCTGATAGAGCATAGGCACAAATGTGTTTTAAGGAGATGTCTGGAGGGTAGTTCAGTAGTTTGTATTAATCTACTGTCAGTCTGTCAACCGAGACCGAATAAATGCATAAAATGGAAAAAGCTATACAATTTTCAGTTTTATGGCGAAAAAGTTTTCTCATGACTTCACAGGCGCTACGCACGTCAGTGTTTCAATTCAAAGGATTTTTTAAAAAACTGCCGGTTTAATCAGAAGCAGCTGCATGACCACAATGGGTTCTGTTGAGGTGGTACATGAATGACAGCACTCTACATATAAATTAAACATAACATTATAACATTTTTGTACCAATATACAAGATGCAGTGGATAAAAATCTAGCGATGTATAAAAAATATAATTAGCTCACAAAACGCATTCGACTAAATTTCTCGACTTTTATGTATGTATGGATACATGTTTTCTTTAGAGAGAGAAACATATTCTTGCCTCTCTACTTGGTTGGCTCTGCATAGATTGGATCGACATTGTCGTCATTGGCCTCAACACCAACCCCTTCATAAATAGGGTTCCACTCGAATAATTCCGTGTTGCCAGCAATGCCTGGTTCATAGAGAATATTGTCCGTGGAATTGCCCCCGGAATCATCCCCGTACGCTAAATTATCGTGAGAATCATAGGATGGATTTGTGGTGGTTTTCAAACTAGCAGCTGGTGGTGTATAGCCGTCATACCTACGGGAATATTCAGTGAATTAATTGAATGAAATGAAAGTGTGAACTGTGTGGTGCTGGTTGAAACTGAATCAGACATGCACTGATGCATTGTATTGAATGAATATTCAAGGCCAGTCGTATATATAAAAACATACTTTCATGCAGAAACACACTATATAATTTAGTAGCTATGCATGCAGTTACCTTTGCATGTCAGACTTGTTCTGCTTTTTCTCCTCTAGTTGAGCATGACCATCAGTGTTGTAATTTCCTTTGTCTCGTCTATAATATGTTCAATTACAACATGATTTCATTGTTACCCATCGACAGTAACACCGCCCATTGTCTTGCCCATTATATATATTATGTGTCAAAATCCCATATACAAATACTGTATCAGATATATATTTACGCAATGGACTAACCTTCTTCTACAATAAAGTATTCCTGCTATCACTCCCAACAGTAATAGTATTGCTAGAATTGCTAAAACTATTGCGTATACTTTTGATTTTTCGTTGCTAGTGTTTTGTATTCGCTTTTCTTTATTACTATTCTGAGTATTCTCAGTTGTTGGATTGGTAAACGATGGTGGATTGGTAAACGATGGTGGATTGGCTGTCTGTGATTCGCTAAATATCAGTGGTCGATTGGTGGATATTAATGGCCCACTGATGGTCATTGAGGGTTGATTGGACGAAATTGCTGGATTGGTGACAGTTGGTAGCTTAGTAAGTGTTGATAGTTTGGTAAAAATTGATGGCATTGATGTTGGAGGTATCGCAGTCTTGGCTAAAGGATAGAAAAATATGAACTGTATAGATATGAAAAATATGTATGCATTTTGAGTTTTAAAAGCAGATGCTTTTACTAATTATAATACCCTTTGCTGTATTGGGAGGGGTAAAAGGGGTGGACGCTTGGGCACGGAGACCCCGACTTCCAGCTCTGGGGGGAGGTGTCCATGTCATGCGATGACGTCATAGATTTTTTAACGATTTTACTTCTTCACCCTCGTAAGAGAGCCCCCCCCCCATGCGCGCCAATCCTACCATAAAAGTACAATATAGATAATTGCATGCATGCTGAGTTTCCTTCTAAAGAGATTTGCCAAAACAGACGAACCTGCAGGTAGAAATGCTGTGTAATCTGCATAAAATCGAATATGTTTTGGGAAATCTTTTTCGTTCTTCGCAGAGTTGTCTCCAGACTTAAGAACAATGTTTAAGTGATTTGCATTTGAAATCAACTTAGCTCCTGAAGTGGCATTCTCGCCACAAAATCTTGCTAAAAATTCTGATCCGTTATAAATATCCAAAGAATTGTGATTACAATCAGGAACGTGAAGGGTTTGAAACCTCAGTGAAATTCCTAGAGATACATTGACTGTAATTGACCAAGAACAGATCTGAAAATCTGGATAAATATCCGCGAAAGGAGATTGTGGAAATCCAAAAGAGCCATTATCATTTCGTAATTTGTATTGACAACCTGTAAAATAGTAAATAATCTTTGCAGGAAAACGTGTTGGAAGTCTATAACGTGCGGTAAATTTGCCTTCTATTTGCTCTGTTCTTTCAATAGAATTCATTTGACAGAGTCAGTTACCATTGACTTAGCGTTCAAAAAGGTAAACAGTTTCAATAAAAAATTCAAAGAAAAAATTATACCCACCTTTATAATAGCAATAATATATTCTCGGTAAGCTTTTCTTTTTATCAGAGAACACATGATGCCCTTTAAAATGATCTGCGTTTAAAAAATCTTCAGTGTCATATACGATGTATTCCAAAGAACTAACAGCTCCAATTACACGTTGACAGTTTCGTGAACCATAAGGTAAAAGATAGAAAGGCTTTCTAGTTGGCAATTGAATAGAGTTATACCATTTCCCTTTATTTTGACAGCAGTAGTATAATTGGGTATTTCCATAAAAAACATTCAAATCAGGGAGATAGCCTTTTCGATGATTGGCATTCAAATTGTCCTCGTCATCCCATAATATTGATCCGCCCACCATGCCGTTCGGGCAAAAGCCGTTTATTCTGTATATGCAATAAGAACCTAAAATAAAGGTAAGTAATGTGTCAATCAGTATTTTCTTTTTACTCCCCTAGGATTAAAAGAGAATAGTATGTATTTCGATTTCAGTCGTCATTGACAGCAACAAACGAAAAATACGTAATGACTTGCAATGGAGAGGATATAAGACCCGGTTTCAGACATCGAATTTTTCATGTGCCGAATCAAATGCAAATTAACTTAAACAATGACTTTAGGTCATCAACCATTAGGTTTGGCACATGAAAAGTCAGTCGACGTCCGAAACGGGCCTAATATTATAATCTAATTCATACCTTTCGGCCACGGGATGAGTTTATGCGTGTCGAAACTATTGTGAAACTTGGTGCAAAATCCTCTATCAATATGTCCGGGACCATGTTCTACTAGATATGCATCCATGTGAAAATTCGGAGAAAATTCACTTTTGATTGATTTTGCATCATCCTCAACGTCCTGACGTAACCATCCTTCTTTCCAAAATTTTGGGCAACCTGATTTTGGTTTAGGAAGGCTGTAACTTCCCGATGGCCAATGATCTAAATTGAAGTGTTAAATGCGAACTGAAATTTACATACTCCTGAATTTATATAACTCTCACATGCAACTGGTAACTTTACAATTTGTAGTTAGTTTTCCCACTAGAGCACCCGCAAAAAACATTTGCTAATTAATCTACGAGGTAAAATGTAAGGACGAATGCAAATACACTGTAATGTTTCGGCTGCCACATTCGTATATCATACTTCCGGTTTTAAATTGTGCGATATATCTCATTTTGTTTGCCATCATGGTCTTTTATAAATCTTAACTATACTAAAAAGTTTTGACAGGTTCAATGCAAATGCATTTGTTTTCTAAAGGACTTTTACACTTGTGATTTTTGCGACCTTTTGACTCTATCACATATATGCATATCTTTATAGAAAGGCATATCGATCCTCATATTTCTTTTGAAATTCAATCTTAAGGGCATACATTTGACTCATTTGACTGTTTTAAGTCATTTGCTTTAAAACTAATGGCTGCAATGTAAGTCTTCGCGCTGTCGTAATGTCGTATCTGTTCCACACGATTGAATCATAACAATTAAATCTCAGTACTGAGCTGATACAGACTTTAAGGAAGCACTACTTGAATTACTTGACAAAATTCAATTTCTACTGTCGATTCATTTTAGAGTCATATTTTGCTTTATTGACCAAAGATTTTACTTATTTTTTTTTATAAACTGCGCAAGCACATTCAGCAGATATATCATTTTGCGTCAGTGAATGTTATCGACCGGATCATCAGTATTGGCGTATAATGCTCACCTTCTGAAGCTAGAAGATTATCACATCTGAGAATCAATGTAATGCCAATAGCAACAACAGGAAAGGGGCAATAATTGATTTTCGGCATAGCTCTTTCATTAAAACTTGACTTCAGTGATGTTAAATCTGGTTTGCCAGGTGTTAAAACTTGTTGGTTAGCTGACTTGACTCCATATAATACCGTCGGTAATGTAGTTGCAATTGTTCTAAACAGTTCACTTTCGGTTCGCACAGGAAGTTTAACAGAACACATTTGATAAATTTACATATAAATAAGCCGAGGTATTCATCATAACAATTGTTGTCATTATAATAATAATAGATGTAGACAGTATTTATAAGTGGAGACTGGAGATTGCAATATTACTTGACCAATGGCATAGATTAATTTTTTAAATACGAGAGTTACAATGAGTTATAGTTCGCCGACGTACAGTTTTACAGATTATTTTACCTCAATCTTATTAGCTGACTGTATGTTATATCGTATCGATAACAATTAACAATGAAGCAAAATGACTGGCCGTCATTTGGAGAGCTATTTGCTAGAACAAAAAAGTATATACATACATGCAAGTTTTCTCCTTCAATTCTCTTCCTTCTATAAATTTAAAACAAATCCAGTGACGCCAACTGTTACTTTGCAGCATTTTGCAAACGACCCATCGCATAATCGCATTCTTTGATGATTATAAGAATATAGTGTAAAACTGATAATTTACGGTTGCAAATCATCAAGGAAATAGAAATACATATAAATTTACCTTGTCCGAGATTTCTGGAGATGTCATTAATGAACGTAGGCCCAAAATCATGTACCTACAAATTTCTACTTAATTAAATATTTTACAGTTCTACTTTATTGGTTCCGAATACGTTAAATCAACATCACTATCACCATCAATCCCTTGATATATAGGATTAGCCTCGAATATTTCATTTCCAGCGGACTCGTAGACTGCACAACCTGTTTCATTGCCAGATTCATAGAGAATATTTTCTGTTGCGTTGCGTATCTCGATTGTCCCAGGTTCCAGTTCATACAATGAATTCACGTTGGACTCATAAATTGGGTTTATGTTTGATTTGGAGGTAACGCGGCGTCCAGCTGATGATGTAGAACTCGTATAACTAAGAACACAATATTTTGCAAAAAAAACCTCATGTGTTGTACAAAAACGAAAAGTAAGCTATCTACTAGGAAAAATTTTCACTGATCTTTATTGCATGCAATTATATATTTTCCAATTCAATATTTCCGTTATATTACCTTTTTGAGGTAGGTGCAGTCTGCATATTTTCTATTCGCCCAGCAGATCGGTTAGCAATAACATCCAATTTCAGTTTACACCTATAAAAATATGAAGCCGGCTTCAATAAAACTCGTGCATCAAAGCGCTCGTAAAATACACCAGATTTTTTTTAAATATAATTTTTAAAGAAATGAAATCTAATGGATTCCAGATGGATGTTAGCTAATTCACACTTAGCAAAGGCAATACGGAAAATATAACTTAAATGTCACATTTGAGTGCGTAAATCAAAAAACTTGGAGAACCCCGTGCAACCCCTATTGTACATGCAATATACTACTTATTTGGATTGCATCTATTGTACATGCAATATACTACTTATTTGGATTGCATTTATATATAATGCCCGCCATGCATGTATACCTTACCTTCTCCGATAAAACACCGCCGCTAAGACTCCCAGTATTACGAGGATTGCAATACTCGGCAGAATCACCGATACATATATAACCGTGTTTCCACTGCTGCTGTTTTGTAATTCCTTTCTACCGCCATCGACGGTATTATTAATTGTCGCTGAAGAAGAAAACGAGTAACTTGACCTTGAAGAGACTATGACTGCACATGCATAAAAGTGAAATAAACAAACGAAAAAGCATTGTCAAGGCGAATTTTTCTGTCAGGGCTTAAGTTTATTTACGATTACATGACAACAACACTGGATGACATGAATGCCATCAATTTTTACCGGACAACTCAAACCGGGCTGGAATTGAGCCCGGGCTGAAACTCTTGTCATGTAATCGCGTGCGTGATTTTGTTAGGATTTTACAATAACCGGTTAGCCGGGCTGAAACTCATTTACTCAGCCCAGGCGGAAAACACTCCATGCATGTAATCAGCTCCTGAATGAGGAGAGGATGAGACTGAATGAGATGACGACGAACCTGTTGGTGCAAAGGCTTTATACTCCGCATAGAATCCTAGAGCTTTTGACGAGTCTGTTTCGCTACTAACGGTGTTGTTCCCAGATTTAAAGGTAATGAACAATTGATTTGTCTTCGAAGTCAATCTGGTTCCTGAAGTGGCATTTTCGCCACAATATCTTAATAAACGTGCTGATCCATTGGCCTGATCCATTCCATCATAAATATCCAAATAATTATTATTACAATCAGGAACGTGGAGGGTTGGAAATCTCAGTGAAATTCGAAGAGACCCGTTGACTGTAATTGACCAGAAACAGAGCTGAAAATCTGGATATGCACGGTTGAAATAATTTGAAGATGCAAACGATCCTTGATTACTGTGTAACTTGTGTTGACAACCTATAAAACGGTAGTAGGTAAATACTTGACGCTCGATGTTGTTTCATAGAAAATTGATAAAATTCGTCTAGGGGAAGAATGACAAAATTAGCACAAATATATCTACAAAGCTTTCTAAATTTTCGACTCTCACTATCTGATGAAATGATCTTTTTTAATTGTCTAAAAGTCCTGCATGCGTTGATAGCATAGCCGGTAGATAAGCATAGTGATGTAGTATTATAGTATAGAGATTATATAGTATCAAAGGTCTATGCCAGGATAGAAAATGAAACAGGATGGTATGCATTTATAAGTAAAACATGATTACTAACAAACAGGGTCTCAGAGACTAGTGTTCTCATTGGTGAGGTCTATGCCAGGATAGATAATGAAACATGATGGTAGGCATAAGCCAAACATATAGTTACTGACAAACAGGGTCCAGTTGTATAAAAGGCTAGTTAACTTTTAAATGTAGTTAAGGACATAGTTGGCCAATTTTCTGAGTACTTCTGAGTAAACTAGGACTTAATTATGCAAAATGCAGTTAAAGAATTTTATACAACCGCCAGAGCCCCTATACATTACCAAATATACCTGAGAGCCCCACAGACCTCAATCCGTTACATCACTGAACACTACACTATATTAACATACTTGCTATAATTCACTCAAATAGCATGGTCGCACCTTCATAATAGCAGTAGAATATTTTCGGCAGACTCGTGTTTCCTTCAGTAAACACACGATGCCCCCAAAAAAATAATGATTGATCTTTAGTGTCAAAAACGATGTATTCCAAAGAGCTAACAGCCCCTAGTACACGTTGGCAGTTTCGTGATCCATAAGGCAAAAGATAGAATGGCTTTTCAGTTGGCAATTGAATAGAGTTATACCATTTCCCTCTATTTTGACAACAGTAGAATAATGATGTATAATAAAAGACCGGATAATAATCGGGTGTAAAGCCTTTCGTGTCATTTTCAATATTTTGATCTTCGTCAAACGAGGCCATCGTTCCATTCGCCATGCCATCTGGACACGAGTCTTGTTTTCTGTATACACAGTAGAAACCTAAAAATTTAAAATATAGCTGAAGTTTAATGAACTATATCACAAGATCTAGACTTTACATTTAACTTTATTCATGCAGTTCACTGTTTTTTTCGCGCATTTTTTGCCTGGCCGATCGGTTGGATATTTTCCAACTTGATATTAAGTAAACTATTTGGAAATTTTGATTTATAGATTTCAAACCCAGGCTAATACATGCACTGTATACCAGTCGGCCGCTCTACCTTTTGACCTGTAAATTGCATATGTTTGCATAAAACGAGCAGGTTGCACCGTTGAACGGCCCTTCTAGGACGGCCCTTCTTGTTTAAAGGTGGGGAAGCAGAATTAGAAGTTTATGGTAGGAGGTTCGTAATATGAATACAAAATTTTACTTATTGAACCCTCTCTTTTTGTGGGGTTTCCGATAAAATTTTACAGTATTATACCTTTTGGCCATGGAATGTTTTCTTGCGAATCAGGATTTGCAGAGATTTTAGTGCAAAATTCTCTCTCAAGAAATACATTCCGGACTAGAGTAGCATTCATATGAAAATTTGAAGAAAATGAACTCTGCATTGCTTCGGAATGTTCGTCAAGATGTTGACGTAACCATCCTTCTTTCCACGAATTTGGACATCCTGATATTGGTTTTGGAAGGCTGTAACTTCCTGATGGCCACATGTCTGAGTAGAATTTTATAATATATTTAAATATCTTAATATCGGTGAACATATATAACCAGGAAGCAGCGTGGCAGCGTCTTTAAACAACTTAGCATCAAATGTGTTATAACAACTGCCTAAAATAGACAAAACACTTCTCGACGACACGTTTCGCCGACCAGAGGTAAACATAGGTAAGCATTTCACTGTGGTCAAGACAATAGAATCTGGGTCTGTGCAGTCATAAAGAGAACTTAGAATATTGATCGGAACTGATACAGAGAGTAAATACACATGCATGCATATATACATATACATCGCCTATATATAAGCCCCGTTTACACTACACTGAATTTATCGGCACGGCACGGCCAAAATTGGTACCCGTACCCAATTTCAGTATAAGTGTTCAGGCTACCAAAACAAAGGCCGAGAACAGATGAAATGGGCACAGGTACCCATTTTAGCCGTGCCGTGTCAATAAATCGAGTGTAGTGTAAACGGGGCTATAGACTGTTGTCCCAAAGACTTGTTTGCGATAATAATAGCTATATAAAATCTATTTATTTAAATATTGAACAACCAGGATGTGGTATGACAAGGCACAGTACCTATACTGGAATAGACAAAACTATAGACAAACGCCGTGACTTTTTTGTCTATTTTATAGGCAGTTGTTTCCCTACATTTGATAAAGTGATTTCAGCACTAGTACTTTCTAGGTCACATCGTTTTCTAAACTCTTCCCAGGCATCTATATAGCCTACCTACGCCTTTACGCATATCGAGAACGGGTCAAGTGTCTAAACATCGCAACCGATCTGCTTACCTTCGGAAGCACGAACCCAAATATCGCACCTCAATATCAATGACAATGTGGTAATAAATGCAATAAGAAATTTCAATATTGTCATCATTAATTCATACTATATTGCAAGTGAATTAGATGAAGACGGAGAAATTATCTTTGACTTTGATCTGAGTATAATATGTGTTATGAGGCTAATATATGTTGGGACATGTCTATCTTTGTAACAAGATATGACTGCTGCATGATATCGTGAGCAATAATTAATTGCTCTGTTTGAACTTTGAGCAGGAAGCTTAGCGACTCGACTTAATTTAGGATGCTATTATTGTATATCGCAATTGAATTTGACAAAGACAGTGTTTTTGTGTTGTGATCAGTAAAGGACAAATATATATTATTTTGTTTAACTTCGTAATAGGATAAGACCGCGTGATATCTAGTGTGTCTAATAACATTAAGCGTTTGCAGGATGATTATACAACATTAGAATAGTTCCATGCTTATCCCTGGGCAAATACTGATATAAAATGTCATGACAAACTAGCAACATAACACGTAGCGACTCATTTTTATCCCGAAACAGTACAACTTCGTACCCAGTGTCTTTCTTTTTGGGTAAACACCACTGACCAATACTATAAATTACAGGTCAGCAAAAAACACTGGTAATTTTAGTATGCCTCAGTTTCGTATGCGCTGATATAGAGCTATAGGTATTATAGTCAGTATAGGTACTACACTATGAAAGCATTAAATGTAAACACCAAAATAGTGAAAATACTACATATTTGTCAACGTTTGGAAAAATTACTTTCACGTGACCTGAAAGTTTAAACGAGTTTCAAATTCAATTCGATCAGCCTCAGTGGCGTAGCCAGCCTGAGGATTTTGTTCCGCTATGTAAATTTCGAGTTATTATAATTATTCCTGCCTTTAGAAATCTATTGTTTTCACAGTCAGTGAACAAAAATAGTGGCATAGCGGGACAAATCGACAGGCTGGCTACGCTACTGATCAGCCTACAGAGCAATGCAGCAGTTACAACGAAAATCTTTTCAAAATTAAAGTTTTTATACTTAAACTGAGCTTTAACGACCAGTAAGATCATTAAAATTAAAAGTGTAGACTATAGCAGAATATATATACTTTTACCAACTCTACTACAAGGTCTCCCAATTCAAACCAGACCTTTTATTGCGAAATGCGAGCGTGCGTTTAGTCATACCTTTGAGAATATATTCTCCCTACAACATTCTCCCTGTGTGTGTTAACTGTGTTTACCCCTTTTTTTCCGAGTCGCGCCATCTTTGTTACGCCTATACGCTTGTATTACGTCTTTTTGTCTCGCCGCGCGAAGCCCGTCAGACAGATTATTTCTGTTAATGACATGCATGTAAGTTACAAGACTTGCATGACGTTTTTACCGGTTGATTTTTTTTCCATACCATAATAATATTCAATTATTTTATGCAATTATAACGGGATATTGTTAAGTTTTGCATTATAAGTTCATTATTTTTGCCTCCTATTTTTGTTATTAAGTCAGTATACAATCTAAATATCTACTGTATAATTTTTACTTGTTTGGTTCCGAATACGTTAAATCAACATCACCATCACCATCAATCCCTTGATATATAGGATTCGCCTCGAATATTTCATTTCCAGCGGACTCGTAGACTGCGCAGTCCTTTTCATTGCCAGATTCATAGAGAATATTGTCTGTTGCGTTGCGCGTCTCGTTTGCCTCATTATCATCTCCATACAATGAATCAGCGCCAGGCTCATAAATTGGGTTTAATTTTGATTTCGAGGTAACACGGTGTCCATCTAACGTACGACACCTAAATGACATTACATGACACGGTGAAAGAAAAGAATCTCATTCAACGCAATTTTGTTTCAAAACTGAGGGAGTAGTAGATTGAGGGAGGCCTACCTATTTATTTCTTTAGTTATTCAGATTAGATGGTTAGACGTTTGTTGTAACGAATTAGAAAAAGAGTTATCTACTGGCCTAAAAAATGATTTCTGTATTGACCATTTCTCGGGACTTATAGAAAAGTTACCCAGTTATTTAGTTAAAGATATTTTCGTCATAATACTATAGTTAATAGTTATTACCTTTTCGAGGTTGGTCCAGATTGCATATTTTCTTTTCCCACCGGACTATCATCTAATTTCAGATTTCGTCTGTAAACAAATACAGCTTTAATAAAACCAACGCATTTATCAAGCATTTCAGAACTATAACAGATCTAATAATAATTTAATTCAAGAAACAAATAAAAAACAACACGCAAAATACAACAGTGAAGTTAAGAATTGGCGAAATATTTTAATTGTGCATTTATATCTCCTTCTTAACGAAATTGCCCTAGTTACGAGGTTTATCCCCTTCGTATAGCTACATGCCGTAAAACAAAAACTATATATACATGCAGTATTCACAGCAAAGCTATACATTAATACATATACACACGATGTACCAACCTTCGATAAAATACCACCGCTAAGACCCCCAGTATTGCCAATGTTGCAATGATTGGAAGTATTACAGATAAATATATAACCGTTTTTCCACTGCTGCTGTTTTTTGAATATTTTCCTCTTCCATCAAAACTTTTACTTATACTCACTGAAAGTGATGTCTTTGCTGAAACTTATAAATGTGTAAAACTATTAATCTTTTAAGCTTTTCCTGTATACGATTGATATAAGCAGCCGCATCATGGTAGTGAAAGTGGATTTATACGGCTAGAAGAGACATTTTACGTGTGTATGATTGTTGCGGCTTAAAAAAATATATAAAGAATATTTTTCCGACGAGCAACCAAATAATCCCAGAACACTGTTTTTAGTCACATAGACGTCCATTGAAGTCTAACTGCATTCATGATATTCAAAGAATTATCCAGTTAACATTTATTCGGCGGGAGAAAAAAATAATTCATTGGCTCATGCACTAGTAGAATTAAAAGTAATGGATCAGTTATAACAAACCTGTTGGTAGCAAAGATTCATACACTGCATAAAATCCGAGGGCTTTTTGTGAGTTTTTTTCGCCACTGACGGTGTTGTTTCCAGATTTGAAAACGATGTACAATTGACTTGTTATTGAAATCAATGTGGTTCCTGAAGTGGCATTCTCGCCACAAAACCTGGATAAAAGTGCTGATCCATTGGCAGTTTGTCCATCATAAATATCCAGATAATTATTATTACAATCAGGAACGTGGATGGTTTGGAATTTCAGTGAAATTGGCAGAGACCCGTTGACTGTAATTGACCAAGAACAGAATTGAAAATCTGGATATGCACCGTTGAAAAAATTTGAAGATGCAAACGTCCCATGATCACTTTGTAACTTGTGCTGACAACCTATACAACAGTGGTCAATACAATCTTGCATCAGGGCGTACTAGGTAAAACTTGAAGACCTTTCGAAACCCCATTTGATAACATCACTCCAGAGCATGCATTTCAGAGGTAATCTAGACATCACATGCAGGTATGGTTGTCATATACAACAATATTCTCCATTAGCAAAATGGGTTGTGTAAGGTTGTAGAGAGGCAATTTGTGTCACATAAGTTGAAATGATAAGCCGACAGTTTCAAAACGTTTTCTTTAGGACAACTTTTCATAGAATCGTTTATAAATAAAGAGATGGAAGCAGTAGGAAGTGACTTCGTAAACATCGCTAGCGTCACTTAAACAAATTTGTTGTGTCTGAAAGCCAAAAAGAGCACAAATTCATTGCATAGTTAAACATAGTTTGACCGTGAGTAGTTTAAAGCATCGTACCTTCATAATAGCAGTAGAATATTATCGGGGTACTTTTGTTCTCATTAGTGAACACGTGATGCCCCCTAAAATAATCTACATTGCCAGTATCTTCAGTGTCAAAAACGATGTATTCCAAAGAACTAACAGCTCCTACTACACGTTGACAGTTTCGTGATCCATACGGTAAAAGATAGAATGGCTTTCTAGTTGGCAATTGAATAGAATTATACCATTTCCCTTCAATTTGGCAACAGTAATATAACACTGTATTTTCAGAGCTATGGCCACTTATACTAAAATAGGGGATAACGCCCTCCACTCTATCGTTTCCAACATCGTCGTCCTCGTCATCCCACTGTATTGATCCTTTTACCATGTTATCCGGACATACATAGCGTTTTCTGTAGATACAGTAGGAACCTGAAATAAAATCATATATTCAAATATAAATCATATAATTTACATAGAGTTGCATACATGATATCTTCATCATTCGATCGAGAAATTGATATGGATTTCTTTTCAATCTATTACCAGAAGTGTCACCCGAGTTGGAACCTCAGATGTTTTTGTTCTCGCTGGTGTGACATCACGTATGTTGTCCTTCATCCATCTTCCAGCAAGTCACGAAGCCTTTTTCTGGCTCGCATATTTTTGCATGTGCAGAAATTAAACAACTCATGCACGTTGCATAGCTTAGTGGCCGTTCCACATCGCTCCATTAATTATTTACGTATATATCGACCATATTATACCTTTTTGCCATAGAATATTTTCTTGGGTATCGGGACTTGCGGATATTTTAGTGCAAAATTCTCTATCAAGAATTTTTTTTCGGACTAGAGTAGCATTCATATGAAAATTAGGAGAAAATGAACTCTGCATTAATTCTGTATCGTCTTCCAGATGCTGACGCAACCTTCCTTCTTTCCAAGAATTTGGACATCCTGATATTGGTTTTGGAAGGCTGTAACTTCCCGATGGCCACATGTCTGCAACAAAAATATTTGTAAACATACAGTATCTAAACAACCTGCATGAATATTTTATTATTTATAAGTATGGTATAATTTTATATGCATATGTATGTTTTTTAAATATATATATATATATATATATATATATATATATATATATATATATATATAATTATATATATATATATATATATATATATATATATATATGTAGCCACCCGACTGCACGCATGAGCTATGTTTTCACTCTATTCATCAGCAATTATTCAGCATATTTCTGTGGTCAATGCATTATGATATGAATACATGTCACATGTATTATAACACATGTCAGACCAGCCAAGACAGAATAATAAAAAACCTGAAAACTTGGCCCGGATTACGGGGCCCCTTAATTATGCTCCCTCAAACCATCATTATAATCAAAGAATCAAAATTATCTGGGAGCAGTCAGAGAGACATTGCACCTCATTAAATTAGAAATGAAATTGCGGCACTACAAGATTTAAATTGTCTTTCAGCATTTTCGGACGTGTAAGTACGTATACTGACAATTAGTCAAAGTATACAAACATCTCCCCAAATTCTAATGCAATAACCAAGCTATGTCTATGCTTACCTTCGGAAGCAGAAAGCCAGACATTGCACATCATTATCACTGCCGTGATAAAAACAATAAAAAAATTCACTATCGTCATTATTAATTCATATGATGACGCCGTAATCTGCTTTATGAAGGATTGAAGGTAATATACTTTAGAATGTGTTTAGCTTTGCAACCCGATATGACTGCGGGATATTCAGTAATTAAACTTTCAGTAATTCATGTTTGAACAAGAAGGTAAACTTTGCAGGATGATTTAATTATATACGGATATTAATAGTTGCATGCCTATAGCTACGAGCAAATGCTGAAAAACGATATTATAATGACATGACCAACTAGCAACATAACATGTAGCGACCTATCAGTTTTTTATCTTGCTGAAACAGTACAACTTCGTGATCAGTGTCTTTTGTCGTGGGAAAACACCATTAATTTTAGTATGTCCCAGTTTTGTATACACACTTACTGCTATGGACTTTTTCTTGTAATTATAGTAAAAAAGACAGCATTTACTGCATGAAACAACGATGTCTTTATGTCGTATGATCTACACCTGGGGCATCCATATACCCATGATTCAGTTCAGGCGAGGTGACGTATGCGACATTATCTGATGATCGAGATAAACTCGAGTCATCCCACAATTTTGCCGTTACGTAGTATGGATTCCGCGTCTCTTTACAAGACGACACCCTCTCTGGTGGTTCTACTGTTCCTGTCATTTCCAACGATATCGTTGATGGAACGTGGAATCTGAAATAAGTATTCTATTTCCTTATGACGTCATAACTTGTAATCAGAAAGGAAATAATATACCTAGTGTACCTGCTCTTAGGCATCTTACTCCTGGTCTCAATTTTAGACCTATAAGTAAAAAAATGAGCCGAAAACTGAGTAGGAACAAAATAATCACTGCATACCGGAAAGACTGGATATTCAATTATAAAACGCATTATAATTATACCTGCGGTAACCAATGGCAACTGCAACGCCAATTAAAATCAATAGTAGAAAAGAAAATGTTAGAGCAATTGCCTGGACATTGTGCGGTGTTCGACGTGGAGTTTGAAATACTTCTAAAAATGGAATCCATGCAGTGAAACAATATACTTCTCGATTACAGTATCAATATGCATTTCCATGAAGGTTTGTGCACCAATAGCGTTATTTTTTGTTAAATTTACTTTTGTAAGGCATCCCTGAAGCATTATTGTGTGCTGGACATACTTATGGATCAACCTCAAGTAAGGAATAAGAAGGAGTCGAAAAGGTCAGTTTAACCCAGCTAAAGCAAAGGAAACCTCGCAACGAGGCTCGGCCGGCTAATGCATGTTGGTATATCATTCAACACTGTTTCAAGTTGTGAAAACCCTGCACTGTATAGACAACGGTTGGAAAAGAAATTTGAATGAACGCACGAATTCTATTTTAGTAGAGAAAAGGGTGGAATATGAAAAAGGAACAAATGATAATATTAAACTTACTTTGCGGACCATACTGGGCTTTGAAACCAAAACTGTAGTTACCAGTGTGTGCAGATAAATTTCCTGACTGTAAAACTATGTAAATATTTTTTCCACTTGAAACCACCTCGACATCTTTAGGTGTCGTTAACCCACAGTGTGTCTCAATCACTGGCGTCGCATCGCTCGCTCCATCGTAGATGGTTAAGAGGTTTTCTTTACAATCAGTAATATATAATGATGTCAGGTTTAGAGAAACAACAAATGATTCTTCTACAGTCAATAACCAGGAACATGATTGGTAGCTTGGAAAAACTGATGAATTGAAATTACCACGGGTTTCATTAAGACGCTTATATCGGCAACCTTAAAAGGAAAAAAAATGTTTCCGAGATGATTTGCACGGCACAGATTATAGCACAGCAGAGCAAGTATTTAAGAAAAAAAATGTTAACGAGAAGATTTGCACGGCACAGATTATAGCACGGCAGAGCAAGTATTTAAGGCCCAAGGAATTGATGTTAATCAATCAATCGAATTGTTGTTCACCAAGGACTTATTTGAGGGGGCGAGGAGGGAAATTTGCAAAGGGCAGCCAGGCTCAGGGTGGTTGAGGTGTTGACATAATACATTGCATAAAAAGGGAAGAAAACCGTGCACATCGGAAGTGGACCCCCCAAACTTTGCGCTGGACAAATTGGGGGTCCTGCCCGTCCTGGTGTCAATTAATATTGCAAGATAATGGCGAGATAGGGCGAGTTAGAGCGATTAAGGTCACACAATAAGTGTAAACGTGATGATTTGGCTTGGTCTACCTACTTTCATAATAGCAATAATAAACCTTTGGCATTCCTCTAAGTTCGTCAGTAAGGATATGATGACCGACGAACTCGTCTTGATTGTTATTGTTCTCGGTATCATATGTTATATATTCCAATGTTGCATGCGCCCATTTAACGCGCTGACATTCTTTAAAATTCTGTAAACGTGATTTATATGGCAACAGATAAAAAGGTGACGTATTTGGTAGCTCTATGACGTCATGCCAGCTACTTTGATTTTGGCAGCAGTAAAAGATTTTTGTATTATCATCATATTTGCCTTCGGGTAAACTACCAAGGTTCTGATTCAAGTTTCCTTCGGATTCACTTTTGTCATCCCATTTTATGTATCCATTCACCATTCCCGATGGACACGTGCCACCGTATTGGTAGATACAGTATGAACCTACAAAAAATACAACAAGAAACAGTTCGTAGAAAAATTGTGATTGATTTGTGTGAATAACAAACTGTTTAATTTTTTTCCCCACTTTTATGCAGCATCCATATTCGCCTATTCGGCAAAGTTTACATGCATTGGTGGAACTTCTGACTGTAAAATTGTCTCTATAAAAAGGGCAGATACTTGCTGATATGACGCTAGTCCCCCCCCCCCCCGCAGATCAAATCTCACGGAAATGAAACTCGCAATGACGATTACCTTTCGGCCACTTCTTTGTCGTTAAAATTTTACCATCTTGTCTTTTTATGCAGAATGCTCTCGACAGCAGAGACGGCGAAAGTGCCGCCAACATGTGAAAGGATTTTGAAAATTCACTTTTCTTTTCCATGTTCTGTAGCCTCCAACCTTGATCCCAAACAAACTGATCAGTTGCAGGGCAACCAGATTTTGGTCTTGGGAGACCAAACGTTCCTTCAGGCCAAATAACTATAAAAATACACATGAATTAAATGGATCTTTGTCAATACACCGATACTGTATTGGCAACACACTTTTTTTTATGGACGACGTAACAGTGCACCATATTCTTCAACAAAAAAGTGCAACTTTGTCTATTTTAATGGCCAATGTTGCATTTGTTCAAAAAATAATCGAATTTATAATTAGTCTTAGGAATGTTTGACACTAGAAATGTTTGAAAAACAACTGGAGCATCATGGATGCCTTTCATCGTATGCTCTAAACAGGTGAAAATGTCAGCTTACCTTCATTTGTTTTGTGGCTTACTGTTGTTCTGATACGAGTGGTAGATATCAAAATTGTCACAAAATTAAATGTCTGGAAATGGGACATATTTGAAGTATATAAACCGCGGTTATAGACACATGCAGAGTGCAGAGGATATATGCCAAGCCAGAGTTTGGTGTATATTTCGAGAACCGAAATTAATATGATAGCTCAGAGACATTTCCTCAGTTCAACAGCAAAGCCAAAGGATGTGCAAATACGAATGTTTCCGTCAGAAATCGATGTTATCAATCATCTTAAGTTTGTTTAATAAACTAAAATAAGCAACGCTGAATGTTTTTTATTCGCGAAAGCTGCTAACATATCAATAATGTCATAATAAGAAGGAAATTTAGTTTTTGCTTAAATGGTGTTGACCTTTTGTTGTCGGTATGCGTCGATGTGAAATGAAAATACAGGTTTCATTATGACTTTGGAATTTAATTTCCTTTTTTCCGGTATACAAATGAAGATGGAATAAAATAAAAAATGGATCGACCATCGTCCTGGGCCTAAGATGGCGAACATCAATTAAGGCAGCAAAATATTTTCTCCAAAACATTTTATATTTAATATCATAAAAAATATTTGTCAAGGCACTAAAATTACTTGCCTAAATTCTAATTAAATATCGCCTAAATAAATAAATCACAGAGTAAGTAAAATTCTATACTACAAACTCTATCATCTCTATCACTTTTTAACGCATATAAAAAATGATTATAAGAATAGATCAGTGTACAGCATTTTAAAAAGTGGGTTGAGTAAGTTTTACAGTATTCAATTATTACAATATTCAAAATTACTATCAATAGAATATATATGCACCTCCAAGATAACCATGAAACTTGTAAATTGGATCATATAGTTCTGTTTTACAGTATAATGCATTATATAAAAACTCACCCTAACCCTGATCCTACCCTAACCCTGACCCCACTCTAACCCTGATCCCACCCTAACCCTGACCCCACCCTAATCCTACAATGCAACGTTCACGATAAATAGCGACAACGTCGACTAAGATATAAATGTCATTTTGCTGTGTACTGCACTACAGACGAGTGAAAACGCGAAGGTTCATTTTGATTTCTCGGTTGATCAAACAATGACTCAGCAATGTGTGCAGCACCTCACGGACATGGTTGTTACTGTCAACAATGTTGTCTTAACTCGTTGATAACCATGCATACAGGTGCAGCATGATATAGTTTTTAGTTCAGTTTAAAACAACCGGGAAAACATATATCATATGCGTCTTCACCTGTGTACTGCGTTTTACGTGGTAAAATACTACATTACTTCAAATGACATGCTCAATTATGTTTGACTCCAATACCTGACAAAAACTGTACCTTCTTGAACTGAGAGGCTCCGTGGAATGATACTAAACTCGAGGCTCGTCGTAAACTATCCCCTTTTTCTGCTCGTTCGGCTCGGCATATTCATGTGAAACTAATGTCACGCCACCCACATCATACAACGGATTATTACTTTGAGCTGCACCGGCTCCATTTTTGACCAGCGGTTCGTTCGTAGCATCCACTGAACAATACAGAGCAACAGGTTCTTGCCCTTCTGCTGCTTCGTAAATGGGATTTTTACTCTCCTTACAGACTTTGCGGGAACTTCCAATCCAAATTCTCTCTTGTGGTGAAGGATTAGCATAACTACAGAAAATGGTGGTGCAATTATTTGTTTGTTTATAGGTTTATTTATAGTTTAAGTTTAGATTTTCTCGAGGAATGGAAGAGGATATCTTGCAGTATTATAAGTGGGAAATAAAGCAGCAGACAAAAGCAAACAATGTATGTTTTTTAGTTTCGATCAAAAAGCGGAATAGATGGGTAGCAAAACTCGGAATTAGAATAATGTGCATGGGCACTTACTGCACTGAATCCTCATCATTTGTTGAAACATTCGTCCTATGCAAAGAATGTAAGTATTATTAAAAATGATGTAATACCATGAGTGTAATGATGAATATCACGAATACTATGTCGCGTGCATAATTTCCAGACCTCATTTCGAGGTAACTCTTTGTTATTCGGTTTTCGTAAGTGGGACAAAGACAAAGGTGAAAAACAGCTGCAATTCGATTACAGTTCACTTGGTTTTATTTGATTTGTTTTGTGCATTTTGTTGTTGTTACGCATTTTAATTATAATGAACCGGATAATAGAAAGTACATAAAACAAGTTACAAAAGTATTAAAAGGGTACTGCATGCTTACCTCAAGCTGTACGCTCGATTCATATGCAATTCACCTGATGTCTCAGCATTTTTCTTTCTCCTAAAATCCACTCGTGCTTAATATTTTTTGACGCTTAAATTTCCTTCATTAAAATTTTACTGTAATATTATGAGCACTTCTACAACACACTAATCACGGGTATCAAAGTTATGGGAATTTCCGAAATTGCCCAGGTAATCAAGCGGTTTAACTACCTGAAATATGACCAGGAGCAGCGTCTTCAAACAACAGAGTTATACTAACTCTCCTGACGAAGGCCCTGAGGTCGAAACGTCGAGAAGTGTTTTGTCTATTTTAGGCAGTTGTTATACCACATTTGATGCTATGTTACCTGAAAATGACTAAAAGCCAGTTCCTAACGTTCAAAACAGAGACTATACCGGCAGTTAAACGATTTGAAGTAATGAAATTGAATGTATATCTCACCTTCTGAGAAAGACGAAGAGGCCAACCAACAATAATATAAAAATCACGCTGACAACAATAGCAACGATGATATAAGTAGTCTGGTTGTCTTCATTTTGCTTTGCCAAATCTCTGTCAGGTGTTTGTGTGGTCACATTGGAAATATGAGACGTACGTGTTAGTTCAAATTTCGTGATCTTTTCTACACAAACAAAGGACATGTTTCACGATAAATTAATAAGGTGAACATCATGATAAAAACCATGATATATTTTAAAATTAGCTGTTAGATGTGACGTCATAATTTTTATACCAAACACACTTTGTAATTACTCAGAAACAAGGGGGTTCGGAACCAATAATGAAACCAATAATGGAACCAATCCTTTCAAAATTCAAATGAAAGTTATTTCAAATGAAAAATATATATTCAAATGAAATTTATACCAAACACACTTTGTAATTACTCAGAAACGGAACCAATAATGAAACCAATAATGGAACCAATCCTTTCAAAATTCAAATGAAAGTTATTTCAAATGAAAAATATATATTCAAATGAAATTTATACCGAACACACTTTGTAATTACTCAGAAACAAGGGGGTTCGGAACCAATAATGAAATCAAGAATGGAACCAATCCTTTCAAAATTCAAATGAAAGTCACTTTTACCATTAGAAAGTTTTTTTGCCAAAATCATTTAAAAATATCAAGTTACTTATCTCTACCTGTTGGTTTAAGTTGTCGAGCGTAGTGAAAAATAAACTGAGTGCTATGAGTGGAGGATTCTCCGAAGGTTAATACAATGTAGATCACATTTGAGGATGATACAAGAGTGCCATTCTTGATGGTATCATTGGAGTTTGGATAGCGAATAAGCTCCGGTGTATTCTCATTACTACCATCATAAACTTTGATGAAATCATCATCTTTAATACTTATCGAAGTAGATTTTAAGTTTACTAAATACGCCTCGTCAACAGTAACCAACCAGGAACAATTGGAATAGCGGGGATAGTGTTCGGGGGCATTAATCTCCGGTGATCTTATATAATCAGCCATTCCAATAATTTCATCACGACACCCTTAATGATACAAAAAATCCAATACATACATGACACTAATGATACTTAGAAAACGAACACAATTTAAAGATTTTTAGGTTTAATTTGCCAGGGGACGTTTATTCGAAAGGCGTTTAGCTTAATCGGCGGGTAATGCAGAGCTTAAAAATACATATGATATAAAAATACAAACTCATACATCTTGTGATTTGTGACCTACATGCATTAAATATGTACTTCAATTAAAAATTGAATTATTAGTATCGAAATATCACAGATCAGTAAAAGTAGATAACAATATTTATTACCTGTCATGTGTTCAGCATTGTATTGGGCGTCAAATTTGAAACCATTGTTATTCCACGGATTTCCAGAATTGGACACGATGAATAAATTATTTGCTGACGACTTTATCTTCAGTTCTATTGTTGCGTTTGAACCACAGTATGTTCCAATTAACGGAGCTGTGTCGTTCTTACCATCGTACACTCTCAGAAATGTACCATCACAACTTGGTATGGTTATTTCTTTAAAGTTTAATGATATAATGTATGTATCAAGAATCGTTATTAACCAGGAGCAATATTGTGAGCGTTTGTCAAACTTGGTTACTGGTGCTGAATGTGATTGAAATGAATCGCTAGGAATCTTGGGGTCAGTCAAATAACGACGACAATCTGAAAAACAAAGAAATTGGCTAAAACAAAAACACGGAGGCTGAGAAGGTTATGTCCACCTTCATTCCACCCACGTCCCACAAGTCATGTAGACTTGCACGTATATCCAAACACATGTGATGTGTGAATCCAGTTTAATGTATGCCAGTCAGAAACATTAAAATCAGTCGGCTGTTTGTATCATGAAGGCAACACATGCATGCGTAGGGAAAGAGATAAGCCAATGGTGCTGGAACCATAAGGTTATTAGTTTAATGTGGACTCTGAAAATTTAGTGTATTATACAAATGTCAAATAATTCAATGTACCTTCATAATAACAATAGTATATTTTTTGTCTATATTTCCGGAACGCATGTTTTCCTCCTGCATTGTCCGCATTGTTCTGATGATTTGTATCAAATACGATATACTCCAAGTAACTAAATGCCCACTTGACCATCTGACACACGGGGTTGGCAGTAGAGCTGGATGTAAGTAAGTAAAATGGTTGACTAACTGGCAGCTCAATTGAATTATACCATTGACCCTTCGTTTGACAACAATAATAAATTTTTGTATTTCCGTCATAGGAACCAAACGGCAGTGATCCACCATGACTATTTCCATTTCTGTAATCTTCATCATCCCAGTAAATCCAACCGTCGTCCATACCCTCCGGACACGATGAGCCTTTTTTGTAAATACAATAACTACCTGTCAAAAAAGTAACATATTTTACATTAACTCCGTGAAGTGAAAGCAATTAATAATTAAATGTCGGTTGCCCGCGATAGCTTTCTTTATTACACAGTACCAATATTTGTGATTATATTTCTTATAGGTTTCGCAGTAATGCATGGTTATGATAAAGATTATGTATAAGGTAATTCTATATATACATTGGATTATGGGTTCCTATCTGCTCAATCACATGTGGCGGTCTATGTTTCTAGAATAGTAATATAACTCCAGTTTACTGAAAATATAAACCTTTTGGCCAGTTTCTTTTTGGTGTTCCAGTCTTTGCTTTCATGCAGAATGTTCTCTTTATATCCTTTTTATCTCCAATAAATTTAACGAGCATATGTGATCCTGCAGATACTCTGGACCGTGTGCGGGATGGCGAGTCTTCCATATCTTGTAATCTCCAGCCAGTTTTCCATACGCTCTTTGCCGTACTCGGGCATCCTGTTTTTGGCGAAGGGAGACCATAACTGCCACTAGGCCACTCTGTAAACATGAATATGGGTGTACTGCTCAGATAAAAAATCAAGGGTTTTAGCCTTTTAATTTAATTATTTCGTATTGGTAGCCTGTGCACAGACGCAACGCTCCCACGTTGGGTGAGCACATCGATAACAGATACATTGATTAGCGGGAGCTTACAGATTAGCGGAAAGCTCGTCAGACGACGCATGAGCACATGTATTCCACGGATATTTCTCTCTATGCATCGTCTGTAAAGGAATTGCATAGTTTAAACGAAATCCAGATAACGCTAAAGATGCCACAATTTCGCCTTGCAGAAAACCGCCTTCAGGTTTTATGCATATCTAAATGTTCGACTTTGGTACCAATTTAAGGTTTGACGTTGTGTAGACTAGTTGATACGTATAAAAAATACGCGGAAAGAGCGACCTTCGGTGTCATTCAGATGACAACCTTGACCTTGAAATAAACAACGCACCTAGAGCCCTAGGTAAAGACATTTCGTTTTTATTTAACGTCAATTTCACGGGAAAAATATACTAAGCTATATATCTCATAAATTTCGTATTTCCACAAGTAGGTCAAATAAATCAGCATAAACTAACAGGTCTTATTGTTTGGCTTATATGACTTGTTGTTTGTCAGATTTGCATAGTTCTTGGTTTCATATATTTGCAAACCATGCAAATGCAATATTTTCTATCATTATTACTTTTGCGTCTGGTACGTAAATCAATTTCTGCTAAATCAATTTATCCTTTTAGGTGAAGAAGAATATAAAATGTAAAAAAAATTGAGAGGAGGATTAAATTGTGAAAGCAGCTGCTTTCCAAACTTTGATTATCATCAGCTTTTTGCATTCCAAAATTGAATTGACTGCCCCTTAGCAATCATACATAAACAGTCCTGGCAAGAAGAGTCAGTGAGCCAGTATACTTAGCAGTTACCATGGATACTAAATTAACAAAGATTGGTAATCTTGGTCTTAAAAGGAGGGCCTTGATTAGACTCTAAACACAACACAGTCACTGCTACTTATCTAATGGTGTATTATATAAGACTCATAATACACCCTTGTACTCCATAAAAGTTTAAATTGAAATAAACAATTAACCCATTCAAAATATTTTCAAACTATACACCTTTCTGGGTAATAGAATTGCCGTAGAAATAGTTTGAGGTAATTATTGAGTTAGCATAGTTATATTATAATAGTATGGGTGAATAAAAGCTTTAAATGGTTGTTGGATTGACAAAATGAGCTTTAGAAGTATAATTTAAATTCAACAGCTTCATTTAAAGCACATGCTTCTGATTAGTACCATTTGCTTTTTGGCAATGTTCAAGCACTGGCAATACCGCACATGAAAAGTTGCATGAGCATAAAACATCTAGGTCTTTGTTGAATGAATTATGTCATCCAGGTTCAGTCTTTACCTCAGGCTAAATAGTGCTCAAAAATCATTTAAGATAGGGCATTGATTTTCTTGTTCTTCTAGTCTAACATTTGTTTTATAATCAATTCATTGATACAATTCACAACATTAAATGGCTGTAATAATTCACAGTATGTGTTTATATTTGAGATAAAGGTATACATTTTTATGTATTTTAATACAACCAGCGGGTTTAATAAATTAATACTCAGTATTTGTACGTGTTAGTATTAACCAATACTATTCGTGCTGAGGTAAAGTCAAAACATACCTGTATATTGAGATGAACTCTGACAATCACTTCTCGTTACAAACAGCCCTGCTAAAAGCAACAATATCATGATTATTTATCCAACTAAGATAGTGGAAAACAAGGTCACGCGGAAATTAAAGCGACAATAAACGTCATAGAAAATTTTACTTACCATATCAGAGGTCCTATGATTACGATTCAAAATAGGAAGTGATAATGTGAAATGTTTACGTAAATACTTCCGGTGTCACAGGAAAAATACCCCGCCCGGTCAAATTTTCCTGGGTTTGGGTACTTGTCGATTTTGTCCTTTTCGTTTGAAATTTTTTTCTCCCCCTTCTTGAAAGCTGAACTTAAACCTGACTGATCAACCGTATTGATTTTTTTCCGTATTGATTTTTTCTGCCGTTCTGCAAAGATTGAGCGAGAAACTCTCCAAGCTGTAGCAAGTAGGTCGGAGTATTTGACTGGGAAATTTTCTGACTTGAAAATTATGGCTATGCTTATCCAGGACCCGTTAGGTCTCAATTAGACCCATTTATTAAAGATGGAAAAAGAAGGGCCGTAGCTGGAAGCCCTGAATGATTTATTTTGTACGCTATTGTTCTTGCACTATATATATAACCCCCCCCCCAATTAAGCGGTCTAGCTACGGCCTTGCCAAAGTCGGCTACTTTTAGGAAGCGGATTGAATCCTGTTATAATAAAAGTGAATCTATTGTGAGGACGAAAATCGGAAAAAAAACGGAATCTGACGAATTAAATGCATCGCGTCTGTCTTATTACTGCTCCAATCAGTCCAGACTGAGCTTGATCATAGCTGGATGGAGACTCTTTAGCCTTTAGGGCTGTCATAGCTTTTTGGGGCTACAGTATCTAAACCTCTGACGCAGATCACTCAGGTCTCACTCAATTTCCTGAGATACTGAATATTTATTCTCGTGAGTCGTGAGTCTATATCAGTTCTAGCATGAAAACGGGTTAAGTAAATTTAAGACGCTGGTAGCGTAGAATTGACAATTGTTACCAATCAGCAACTCTGAATATCAATATTGCTAGTCTATATGGGCATGTGGTTGTACATAAATGTGGACGTATATGCAAAGTATGCGATTTCTGGTGTTGTGTCATGTGACGATCATTTGTTGACATTTGAGTATTTGATAATTTTGATTCGGCTCAATTGTTTCCCTGAAGTAAATCTACAGTACTTACAAACCCAGACGGCCAGACTACATTTATGGCATTTTTACGAGATAGATCAATCTTTTGTATTCCAAACACCACTCTAGATCACAATGAAAGACTGACAATTAGTGGAATTTGTATACCAACATCAATTGTAGGTTTTACTGGAGCAGCTTTGCAATTGAAATATTTATGGCAATATCGTGATAGACAACGAAGAAGACCTTCAGCAGATCCACGTATAATTTTCTATTTAGCGTTATCCGATTTATTAACATGTCTAGGTAAGAAATTTTCAACAATTTTCACCCTCCTTCATAGGAATTCGGCCTCGTTCCCATTTAGACGTTAGTGTCGTGAACATATCAGGGTGGTTGATGTGATAGAGCATTTCTATGTGTAAAAGTCACTAGAAGAGTCAACGATCACCGATTTGAATCAGTGATTTGATCATTTGAATACAGAAAAAGAGACAAATTTACAACCCGGACTATTTTTCATCGGTGAAATGATTTGTTCACGACAATCACGACTAAATGGAACCAGACGTACATTACTTCGGAGTTAAACTGTATATTGCTCACATATAATATGCCATGGATTATTACAACTACAAGAAACAGCAAACTGTACAAGTTTACCTAAATCTAAATTTTGGAAATCTACTTAGTATTTATATGTATGTATATCTAACATGAAGGATGCATTATCAGTTCAGATTACAGTTCGTATCGATAAAAATTCAATTTGTTTCCTTTTCCTTGTTTATTTGCATTCGACCAGTAACCTTCTTTGACCTTTGAAACTTTTTGCATTGACTTTGACAATTTTAATATTCTTATATAGGTCCGTTTGCCCTATACCGTTTTTATTTCAAATCCAGTGCTGTACCGCCTGTATGAGGCCCCGCTCTATACAAAACCTATACTACTTTACCAGAAATAGTACAACGAAACTGGAATAATATTAATCAGAAAGGCGCGGGTTTTCACTAGGCCGAATCAGTTTTCGGTTGAACGAAATTTTTCGATTGATTTTCTTTTCAATTGTGACGGGGTAAGGGAATCAGCTATGGTCGAATCCTCGCACTGACTGGAAAGAAAACCAGGCGAAAAATTTCAGTCGTTCAATCGGAGGAAAACCACCATAATACTGTCACCGTTCTGTGTTGACAATCATTCTTATTTAATAGTTTGTTGTAACAGACTAATTTTCCCACCCTCAGTCTAATTCTTTTCTCACGAACATGCGACCAAGCGCACATATCTAAATGCATGCATGAGTACCAGAGTTACCAGGGCGCCTGATGAGTACCGAGTTCTGAATATTATCATCATACGATGACGTCACGCATATATAATAGCACAGTTTTGAAAACAGCAAAAATAATTATGAACTTATGCCTTATGGTCTTGTGCTTGCACAGAAACGGCAGAAAATGACACGCGAACACCGCACTAAATGAAAAAAGAATCGTCAAGGCTGTTAACCACCGTGTATATTCAAAACTGTTCGTAAGGCCTACGTTGTTTTTATATAGGGTTGTTATCGTTAGGGGTATTGTTGATCGTACTGGAAGAACCAGTTAAAAATAGCAAGGGTTATCGACCAAAGTCCGAACATGTAATCGTTTATGAATCGATAGGTACTTCTGTAGAGGCAAGTGGAATATTTTCGTTTTCCCCTTAAATTTTCAATCAGGGTTTAAGCTTTAACCTGCCCCTTGCCTCTTTAGGTAGTTGCACTTTTTGGATTTCTTGCCAGCGTTGTATGGACATTTTCATTTGCCCTGGATATGAGCTTTCAGTTGTATGGAATTAATTGGTATGTAACAGGGGCGGATCCAGCATTTTTGCTGACTGATGCGATGTTAGAACCCGTACTGAACACCTCTATGGGGTTTATATTTCGGTATATTCGACTATGCAAAAGTCAAATATACCATATCTCAGTATATCGAAACTTATACTATATATATTCCGGTATATTGGACCATGGTCGAATGTACCGGAATATGGTATATTCGACCATGGTCGAGTATACCGGGAAAATTTGTATTCGACCATATTCTAGTATACCGGAATATGGTATATACTAAGGTCGAATTCTGGTATATTCGACCATGCCAAGGTTAAGATTAAGTATTTATAGAGGAAATCTTATGGAGAGTTAAACCCTAATGGAGTCAAGGATTAGAGCCGCTTCCTGCAGCAAAATCAAAGAAAAGAAAATTCACTTTTTATCAAAGTGTGACTGTCAGGCAGCATTATTTTCGCGCACTTTAAACATTTTATTTCTTTTAGTCCTATGGTGGTTTATCATATTTTGTCATGGTGTATACCAATAGATATTATTGTTGTTGTCCAGTCTATAAGTTATGGAATCTGGAAAACAGAGTAAGTTTTTGATCACCTGGCGTGATATAACATATTACAAAAGTAGCCGGCCATGCATGTTGGTTGGTGAGCTGTACAAACCCTGTGAACTTGATGATGTCTCATTTGCCATGAAACACAAACTAATTTAACTTGCCAACAAAAATGGCGGAAGCCGGAACTCGAAAGGTCCCAAATTTACAAGCTATGTCAGTTGCCAGTGCTCAATAAACAGCCACTTTGACAAATTGGTGTATATATTAGCGAACTTGACCTGCATGAGTACGAGCTCTGAGAAACCCGATGCGAAAAACCTTGTCGTCTGAGACATTTCACACCTACACTGAAATTGTCACGGTAATATAACAACCATTTGAAAAATATGATTTATGGAGCTGTGCTTAGTTGATCTTCAGTGTCACGAAACCTGCTGATTCAATTGACGACACTATCTGGTTTTTTTTTACTTTTATGAAGCACGTTGGCTTATAGACATTTAGAACTGAGATGTTGACCGTAACTTTGACTGAAGTCAAAGTTTGGAATTCTTTTGTGCTGCTTAAATGTGGCGTGATGAATTTTTGAAATTGGTTTGTTTTACATTGTTTTAATGATTGCAGATGTGAAGGAATCCTGGGAAGACGATCAAGATTAATTGTGTCTTATTTACCAGTCATGGTGGTAATAGTTGTAAATCCTATCTTATTCATAATTACATATCAAAAAGGTGACAAACTATGATATTTTTGATGCATTAATATACAATATATATATATATATATATATATATATATATATATATATATATATATATATATATATATATATATATATATATATATATATATATATATACACCCATTTGCAAAAACGTTGGCCGGAGATAGATATATAGATAGATACTCGAAGTCTAATTAGAATTGTATATGATTACATTTGCATGGGATTTCTATAATATTACACAACATATGCAATTCTAATTAGATTTCGGGTATCTATCTATATATCTATCTGCGGCCAACGTTTTTGCAAACGGGTGTATATATATATATATATATATATATATATATATATATATATATATATATATATATATATATATATATTTAATCAATATATATACTGTAAACGTTATATATATATATGAATGTTTTTCAGTTAAGAAATTACTGCGATGTACCGGTAGTTTTACAGTTGAAGATAGGCAAGTTCTACATGCTTGCAAATGGAAGTTGTTTTGGATGGTGGCGACGTTTACAATATGGTATTTTATATGATCGTGTGAATTTTATCTTTATGGATGTGCTCTTGTGTCGTAGGCGTAGTGCATGCGTGAGCTGTAAGCATATTATCCTTGCATGGCTGCATCAGCCTGCATGCATATCGAAAGTGGCATACTTCAAAGGATACTGTCTGTATGTTAACACCTTTTACCTTTTCTTTTTAGTTGGTTTCCAAATGTCATTTCAGCGACATATGATCTGTTCACTGTAGGGTTTTCTAACGAAGATAAAATGACGAAAATTGATGTATTGTGGTATTTAGAGGTTAGATAACGCAGCAGTAAAGTCGTCTGATCTAGTTTTTGACGAATTGTAAGATCGAAATGGGCCTTTTCGGCTCCGTTCATGCAGTTCTCTTTGTATCGCAAGTAGTATCGCAAGTTGATACTTCATAGTCCACATGTTAATGAATATAGTGCTGTCTACGAAGAGATAACTATAGACCTGCAAAACACTACTAGTGTTTAGCTATAGTTTAAACAGCAATAGCCGAATTCAACGGTTTCCTGTCCAAACATTCCCATCTCCCGCCCTTTTCTAAATCTTAATTGCTTTCGTTACAGGCGTTGTTGAACCCTCTACAAGGTATAATGAACTATTTTGTGTATCGGCACTCGTTCAGGGTATCACCAAATGACTCAACATTAAGCCCAAGACGTCTTCCGCGTGTGGCACACGTGAATAGTGCACTTGAAAGTTGTCTTTCAACTTCGTCAGTGCAACAAGAAAATTCACTACTACATTCAGGAACAACGATAAATCAAACAAAACCGCATACGAAATCAAAACATAATTATGTTGCTAGATTACTGGGAGAGTATAATGTTAAAAAAGAACAATTCTGATGGTCAGTGATGTCCAATCGGGGATAATTCAAAGAATTCATCACGAAACCACACACTCTCACAAGTAATTTCTGGAGTAGCAATCGCAAGGGAAGTCGCAAAACAAATCAAACGTGATTACGTGACTGGTTTATTCATGATAGCCGGGTAGTGCCAATAAATATATAATATATATAGATTTGATTATATATACCTTCTGTTATGAAAAAAGGACAAGGATACAAATTATTGAACTTTAATATAATTAGAAATATCAAAGTTTTCTCACGACAATGCTTGGCAATTGAGAAAATGGCAGGCTTTTATGCGTGACTGAAATGAAATTACGTGCTATAGTATTCCAGTAAATATTTAGTTGCAAACATAATTTTCCTGCTCGAGTTGAAATATTTTAATAAAAAATTTATAAATTTATGAATTATTCTTGATAAATTTATAAACTTGATTGCGTTTTTTACTTAGATTTCCAGCCGGCAGTTTTTGACAAAAATAACAAAAAAAGTTCGGACCTTGTTTTGAATCATTATGCTTAAAAGGTAGACATAATATATTCGCACGCCCTCAAACAACCGCCTCCAGGTAAATGACAGGATTTAACAGGTTTAAACTCCATTCCTAGTGTTGGCAGGGAATAGTTGTTTATCATTGCGATCCTCATCCTATACAGGCCTTGCATAGCTTTCAACTAGATTTATTTTTGTTATGTTACGAATTACGAAACCGCGTAAGACCATGCCCAGAGGTTTGGATTTCGTGGCGAAAGTTCTGTCGAGCCCGCGCGTTAATGCTGCAAAAATCAAGTTCAAAGATGAAAGATGCATGGGTCTTGGCCCGTTTAATGTTAAGACGGCACATGACTGCAAATTGATTGGTTTTTCTTACTAAGTGATATATGATACCATACAAATGTCACATGCATGGTAATGGTAGACTTTGGCATTTGGCAAGTTACAATCAGTGTTAGAGGGCAGGGCTCAAACTTCAAAGTGAAACTGTGAAAGACAGTCGTAAAGGATCCCATCAAGATAAAACCAACGAAGTCTAACGAGTTCAGGATAAAAAACTGTGAAGTAAGCGTTTATTTCGTTTATATATGAAGTGCATGATTATAAACTAGCAATATTTGATGAGAACTACATAGACATGGTACATAGGCACAGGTGAAATATCACTGTTGACGTATACAAACAGCCTTTACGAACAGCAGATCTAGCTTTCGAGGAATTAACGATGGGAGAAGAATACTAATTTTTACTGGTCTTCGCAGGATAAACGTTTTAAATAAAAAACAGTTCCTTGTCGAAATTACCTTCAGGGAGTTTTTTAGTATATTAGCAGGTAACAAGACACTTGCTTGTCTATACTGCCACCTATGCATATTTTGTAAAACGTTAGTTTCGAAATGTCTTCAAACATTTTAAGTTCTATTCCGTTCCGGCTTATATATATTCACTTCTTTCATATAGAGAAAATGATTTTGCACAATATCTTTTAGTTTTCAACAACAGATGTGTCCTTTGTTGCAACATAAGCTTAATTCATAAGGGAAACGAGTCTTTAAAGTCATGAGTTTTCCCTAATCAATAGCAGGCCCACACAGCGCGCTGACGTTGAGCGGAGTTAATTAAACAGTTTAAACTCATTGCGAGGTTGACCGTATATAGTAATGCAATCTTGTTCCCGAGCTGAGAAAACGAGATTGATGGTAATAATCATTTCATCCTACAATCCAAATTTCAGACGGAAATCCAAGGGAACTGGAACGAACTATTTCGTGTTTTAATATTTCATTTAGAACCAAATAACAAGATGATTCTATCTTGTTTGTTATCCTGCTTCACTCTTAATGTTTCAAGCGCAGATAAGTTATCTAAGTATATATATTCAGTTCACTCGCATCTTTTGTGCGCATTTGTAAATTCATCGTCCTAAACAACTTGCATTCACCATGGTCATGGAAATAACAGTTACCTTGACCTTACATACGCGACCAACGTTAAAGTGACTTAATTGGCACTTCAGCTTCCCCTGCGCGTTTAGAATTTTGTTTAAAATATTGTCTTCATAAGTTAAATAATAGTATTCCAAAACCTCGACGCGTAGTTGATCCAGTTTGATTAACACACAGTTTAAATTGATATTAATTTATTTTGAACTTTTGAATATCATTTTTTACTGAAAAGGGTTGGATGTTTAAATTTTTTAGATATGAAAATTTCTCAAATTTGCCTACTGGCGTTTTGCTTCTTGTGTGGAGTGAAAACTACTTTTTCCTCGGCCGTCTGTGAAAAATCCTCCTCCTCTGACCTGTGCAAGCAATTATGCGGGATGGGGGAATGCAGATGCAACACGACCAGTGAATCGTATAAAAGCTGTGATCAAACATGCAATACAGTGTATTGTTTCGACGCCCTTAATATCATCTGTGTCGCTGAAGAAAGCTGCACTCAGGTTTGCCAGCCCGGTTTATGTAATATGACTTGCCACGCCGAGCATTGCGACCAGAGAGCGGATAATGGTGTGAAGGTGATGTCTTGTTCCACTGGTAATGGGTGTAACCAGACTTGTGAGGATGGTAAATGTGAGATGATGCATTGCGAGGCTGAAAATTGTGCTCAAATATGTAGTAAAGGCGGTTGTTCGATGAAATGTACCGAGTCTGTCAAAGTGTGCTCCCAGAGTTGTGTAGCTAACGAGAAATGTGTGCTCGAGTGTCGTGCTGAGGTTTGCCATCAACAATGTAGCGGTCCTGGACCTTGCATTATTGTGAATGGCAAATCCTCCCGCGTTTGTGCGAGTTTTCTACTACTGGCATTTGCTTTCCTGTCTCTTATTTTGCAGTGAACATACAGCGTTTGACTTCTTGGTTGCACCAGAACTATATTATATTATTAGAGAAATTATTGTACATTCATTGTTGTAGTTTTTCTAAAAATTAGCAATTCCCGTTGCCTGTGGTCACTGCATGGTGTTTAAAATGATATGTCTGGGAGAAAGAAAATAAAGATGGGATAAAAGTACCCAAGAATAGCTGTGCCGTGAATTGGCCGTGGAAAACTTTAGATCTTTTTTCTAGGTTGTTAGTTGTTACCTGAGTAACCTTCCAACTAGTTCGGTCCAATTTACATTCATGATGGTGTCTGAGATCTCGGTCATCACTTCCATTCTTCCGGAAAGTGATTTGGCATTCTCAGTATTGCAGTATTATAACTGCAGTGATTTATCTTGGTGCTTTGTTTGAGATTCCGACAAACTTTAAGTCTAGAATCGTGTAAATTTAGCACCGGAACCAACGCTAAATTTAGGTAGAAATCCCCCCCTGGGCGTTGTATAGTGAAAGATGGGTTGCACAGGAAGGGATGCGCTTTGCTACGTACCAGTTCACGTGACTCACAGCCACAGGACATGTATTGAGTGTAAAAGTAAAACATGTTATATAATGCTGATTGTCACCAAAATGACATTTTCATATTATAGGAATTACGATTGCAGGTATACAAATTGATAGCATGCACAGCACCGTATATTAACTGTTTAAAAAATCAGAACTCTGTAGGTTCCGTTTTAGTTTGGTTTTCGACTGTTCGGAGAACGCTTTTTAAACGAATCATTCATCAGATGAATATTTGGTCCATATTCATTGTTATTCATTTGAATTATTCAATTATTATTTCAATTTACACTACATGCATCCACTCGCTTTCGTCAGTTAATTCGGCAGTTATAATATGCCATTTTCTATAAACCAATTTCTACATGATCATGTCATCATCATAAACAACTCGCGTGTATCGTATCAAAAATGATTAACGTTCATGACGCTCATTGCAAGCTCATATACTGGTATAACTATCTTGAATTTAAAGAATTACAATGACGTGAATTAAAGCAGAGAGAGAACGAAAAAGTGTTATCGCTAAAGCCAATACATTTCGTGTCGCTGAATTAAACAATTAATCAGAGTTTTGAAGAAGAAACCCGCGGTAGAAGCTCTTCAAGCTTAAGACCTAGTATTGGATTTCCAGAGACTTTTAATTGCCCACGGAAATATGCCTAGAAAATGAAGTATTAACACGATAAAAGAAAATGTAAATATTGCACCCGTTGTACGAATCGATGATGTCTGCATTTAAAAAGCTCGCTCACACTCATTGAGTGTGACAAAGAAATTCTGTTATTACTGATCAATAAGATGGTTCCATCTTAACCAATGGAAAGATTTAAGGAAAAAAACAATGAAAACCAAGTGCTTATTGGAGTAGAATTACTGCCATGGAAACGTTATGAGGTGGTTGAGACCCCCACTCAATGAGTTTGAATGAGCTTTTAGTATACAGGTGTATGTATACAAAAGTATTAACATTATCAAACTATACGAGACCATCTATTTCATTACACATTCAGTTTGTCTTTCTTGCAAATATCAAAGGAATTTTTTGCAAAAACTTTGGATATAGCACATATGATATTGCTGGAAGATGAGAGCATGGCTGTTCTGCATGAAACTGAATTCTGTTTTAGAATGTTTTCATATCTACAGTATCCATCTTACATGGACTCAATATTTGGGATTCTTGTCAAAATATACTCACAGTTTGAGGATTCAACGAACCAGTGCCAAATTTATAAAAGTCTTCATCTTTCATTGTGATGGTACAATCAGCTTTGTCTGAACGCACGAAAAACAGAATTTTCACTGGATTATAATTATGAGCGAATTTACATTTTCAACAAGGATCTTCATGCATTCATGCAACTAGTCTTATTAGAGTTGTACGTAAAGATCGATAATTTAAAAATATATAGTCCGCACTAATAGTGAAAAATGTGATCAATTGTTATAACTGTAGCGTACTTACATGACGCATATACTTAAGAAATTACATGCAGTTAAAGCGTACCTGTTATATCGCCATACTTTAGGGAACCATTTCCATTCTTAAGATCCGCTGTCCACTTCCCTGTCTTTCCATTGGGACCATCAGTTATTTCGAATGAAAAGACAGCTTTAATTTTCTTAACAATTTCAGCCCCTTCCTATGTAAACACATGCACATACCTTCTATCAATCACCTGTTTACTTTAATGGCTTGCATCTTTCGAATAAAAGGGCATGTTTTTTCGGAACAAAACAGACAGCCCGAAATAAAGGGGTCATCTTGAAGCCTTTTTCATTCATTTTAGTCTCATTATTTTAGTTTGCTTGTCAAGATCGTATAATAATTCAATAATAATCCAACCATGCCTCTTATTCATCATCATAAACTATAACAAGACTATTTCGAGTATATTTACGGTCGATTATATTCTATAACTGATAAATGTATAACAACCAATAATCGTGCATTCTATAAGTTTTTTCAAGTGATACTCGACGTTGCTAACCTTCTGAAGTCTTTCTGACATAAATTTGAACACAACGGCAGACTTGAAATCACTTTCTTTAATGCCTGTTTCAGCATTGCCGTGATACCTACAGGATGGACAACATCTTAGACGGTAAAATAGCAACTATTAATCAGTTCCATCACTTTGAATCTCACAAAATTTACTTGAAAACAATTTTTGAGAGGACAGGTGACACTACGTCAGGTCGCATTAACAGGACTATTAAGTATACTAACCTAGGAAAGGCCATTCTATAGAACGCTACCACAACAGCTCCACCCAAGCCAAGGTTATGTTGTAGAGCAATGACGGCACCTGGAACCTGACGCTTTCCACATTCACCTCGTAACTGAGAGCATAATTCAGTACATTGCGCGAGACCTGAGAATTGATCATCCTTAATTCATTAGTTATTATTCTGTTTCAAAATATTGGTGGTCTGCCTTGAATAACCATTTAAAGCGACCAATGACAATTTTGCAAGTGTTATATTCGAAATAGTATTCTTTATAGCTTAGCATCGTACATTTCTTTTGGGACACGCTGTATGTATACTGTACCTGTAGCGCCCAGAGGATGTCCTTTTGAAATCAAGCCGCCACTTGGGTTTACAACGTGTTTTCCTCCATATGTATTATTGCCACTGTCGACAAACTCGCCGCCTTTTCCTAGAAACATTAAGGAAAGAAAAATTCGTTACCTAATGCACAATTCCAGCTAAAAGATTATGATTCTTGTATTATGTTACTCCTTAAAAAATCTTCGCATATACAAAGGGAAAAAACTTTCTCTTCTATTGGTGCATGTACAGAAACAGGGCAACGATTCTGAGTAGCGACGCCTTGTGATCATTTGGTTTACAATAATAATTATAACAATACTGACAAAGAAATCACATACCTTCTGGGCACAGTCCTAGTGCTTCATACGTTATCAGTTCGTTGGTAGAAAAACAGTCGTGAAGTTCAACAACTTGGGCTTCTGTTGGTTGTATGCCTGAATATTAAATAATGATGAATATGGGAAAAAGTACTCTACGCAGTGGAGCTTATTCTATATAAGAAGCAGATGCATGCATGAAAGTATTCATATTCCATCAGGTCACATGAGACGCATTAAACTATAAACAAAATAAGGAAACAACTATTATATTCTTTTTGTGCATGATAAAAGATGCAACTGAAAGAGGGGATATACGGTACTGGTAACAAATTCGCTGTTCTTGGATTCTAGTCACCACTTCTTTGTTGTTGATAATAAAATTTATGTAGAAGAGGTAAAAATTGGACCACATTACCTGTTTTATCGTATAATTTTTTAGCAGCTGTTTTTGTCATATCATATCCAACCTAGAGTAGAGATGAGATGAAATACAAAATATTATGAACTGGTGAAACAAACATGGTAGAAATATGTGTCGCCGTATTTCAACTTGTATTTCTTACGAGTCAAGTAATCTTCTGCTTCCAGGAGCATCAGCCGTTTGGAAAATGACATAACGCTTGCTACTTGCTACGCTTGCATAGCTATACTTCTACTCGTTCAAGAAGTTCACATATAGAAAACTTAAAGTTTGTGACCTGTATATTGAGCTCTGTATTATATCGGCCCAAAAACGTTAATTTAAGTTATTTATCTAATCTTTACCATTTTAATGCAGCTTTTTTCATCAAACGTGCTTGATAGATCTGTCGCCATTTCCATGCCAAGTATTTCTACACATCGTGAACGGATGGAAGGATTTTGTTTGACGAACTCTTCATTGCATATCACTGCTGCGGCGGCTCCATCACTTGTCGGGCTAATTAAATCAACGATACGTACATACTTGATCGCAACTATTCATTTAAGGCCAATATATGTTACACGGTGCACTTTTCTTGCAACTTGCAATGCAATTCTACTTTTAAGAGATGTAATAATGTAAAGAGTTCTCAAAATGAAAGTGTAAGAAGGGCCATAAAGTGTAATAAAGACAAAAGTTCGGTAGTTGCAAAATTTACATCTCTCAAAAGAAGAATTGCATTGCAAGTTGCAAGAAAAATTGCACCGTGTAACAGGGCCTTTAACGGGTAACATCGATCACTATTTTAATGTTCATTAGTATTAAAGCTTATTCTGTGCAGTACTTACCAACACTGTAGTTTTGTTAACGGCTCGTACACCATACGAGAATTCATGATTTCTTTTAACGTGTACTCTTTTTGAAACTGTGATAACCTAATAAAAAATTAGAATTAGCTAGGATTTTTCATTCATGTCATATTTGAAGCAACGTGATATTACAACCAAATGAAGATCGAAAACATGTACAAGGGAGCTAGGGGATGTCAAAACCTTGTTCCCTCGTTCTCTCAGGCCCACTGAGTGCCCAGGCCTGTATCGTTCGAATACTTACGGATTGTTTACGGAATGTTTATGATTCTTATATGCAATCTTTGCAAAGTGTTCTGGTCTTGTTCCTGTAAATAACGAACGATTCTTGAGAATTGTCGTACTCAAAATAGTATATTAGAATAGAAAAGCATCGTTACTGAGCAACACCGTGCTATCGTAAAAAAAGTAAGCAACAGCGTTCGACATGTTTCATTCGATAAATTACAAAGTAAAACATATTCTGAAGATTAATTTATATCTTGCCAAGATATTTCGGTTTTTCACAACAATCGATATATTACAATAAACTTATTCTTGTTTTCTTTTAATATATCTTTCTTTCTCAGTGTATTTTGGGTTTCAAGATGTCAATCTTTTGTTTCTCATTCTCACTGCGGATAAACAACAAAACTTGCCATATTTTTCCATATGTTCTCTTCCAGCATTGCCGAACATTTGAGGTGTAACAGGTGCTGCTGCTATACCATGAGCCTCTGCCATCACACCAATGTGCTTCTCGACTGGAATTGCTCGGTCAGAGTACTATGAGAAATATAGGAACTTTTTTATTTCTATATCATTTGTAGTAGGACAGCAGGATTTCTACAAGGACAGGGACCAGTAATTATTATATTCATTGTAGTGGAGTGAACAGTTGATGAATTGAAACAGTCATAATGCTTATTAACATACTTGGGTGATACATGTACAGTGACCAACAACAGTCAGTTTATATATGGTATACCGTGATAAGATATTGGTAGAATAAAAGTACAATTTGTTTCATAGACATAATCATCAGATAGGGTATAGTAATTTAATCAAACATACTTTCCCCTGAAGAGAACCCTTCTCCATTTTTTCAAATCCCAGCGCTAATACACAATTAGCAACACCTAAATATATTAGGATTTGACATATTAAAGGCATTATGAAAATGGCATGGCAAATATGAGATTTAGTTAGAGATATACTCATCATTATGTTGATTGATGCAAATTAATGAAATTGGTTATGGTAAGGAATCCTTTAAACTATAATATGCTACTATCCATGTAAATATTTCAAGTTCTACTAATAATATCACACCTTTACTTTACCTCCTTCAACAAGTTGTTTTGCAAGAAACAATGCAGAAGAACCAGTGGCACAGGCATTGTTCACCTGAAAAATTCAAAGCAATAAAAATAATGCTCAAGAAAGGACTTCAGCACACCCATCAATTAATTAACTTAAAATTAAAAAAGAACTCTTCTAGCCAGACAACAATTTCCTCTCAAACTGTTATATACAGTATAAATAACACAACACCACACAATTAACCGCAGTACTTCCCCTGACAAAAAACCTAATCTTTGCTGCAAGTATATGCATCAGTTAATAAATACTTACATTATACACTGGCACTCCAGTCATTCCCAATTCATACACAGCTCTTTGTCCACAAGTAGAGTCACCTATAGATGTAGGTATTTAGAGAGATTTGTTAAACCCATATTGATTTGCAAAATATAATATATGGCCTTTATCATACCATAGACGTAACCACACACAACTTGTTCAACATCTGTGTATGGAATTGCAGCATCCTTCAGGGCTTTCGTAGCTGGAAAATAATTAATTTCAAATGCAATTATACAACCAATTGATATGTTGCATATGTTGTATATGATGTTGGACAATATATTGCACCTGCTTCTTTGGCAAAATCAGGATAATCCTTATCACCTGAAGCAGGTTTCTCAAACTAGAGCAAAAAGAAAAATTTGTAGTGGATTAATTACCACATGGAAAATTAAACACAGTGATTATTTATTGGAAGTGAAGTTTAACAAACTCTACTCCCACCCTCTCTACACATCCCCTCCCCCCATATGCTCCTGCAATCCTAATGCAAGACCCTTGAGTTTTAATGTAACAACATGCAGTTAATAACCGAGTCAAAGGCACAAAGGTAGTAAACAGTAAGCTACAGAACAAAAACAAGACATATAAAGCCAATTACAGGAAAAGGTTAGCTGCAAAGTACACACAAAGTCCAAGGATATAATTTTGCATGCCTCAGTCCTGTCGTGTTCTGGAATTATATTCACGTATTTGTATTTATACTCACTTTTGTCATTCCAACCCCAGCGACGAATACTCTTTGTTTTCCCATGGTACAATATGAATGGCGAGAAAACCAACTATTTAAATTCCTAATCTTTGCTATAAATCGTACTGGCTGATTCAACTGCGTACATATTGAGCAATATACAATTCTTTGTCATTCGATCGTTCCTACGATTTAAAGCCCTTGTTATCCCACACACGCCCACTCGTTACCTCCATGTACCTTTATGTACCAACATAAATCCCCTCACGGTTACCGTCGAAAAACAGCTAACCACGTTAGGATTTGTGCCCCAAGGGAAGCCCCAAAGAAAGCTAGAGAGGTCTCTGGAGGAGGCTAGGATTTGTGTGACTGCAGTGCTCCCAAATTCATCCCAGCACGCGCACTCCCCAAAATGTTTTTATGCACTTTTAGCATAAAATGCAGTGCAGACCGAGCACTGACTGTCAATCTGCTGTCAATTCACTGACATTTGTTTGACTGGGGAGTGCGAAATGTCAAATTTCGGCCAGTCGGTTGGCCACCATCTAAATCAATGAAATTTAGTTTTCGTACATGATACTTGTAAGTCATAAAAGTATTAGACATTATCCAGGTGCCAATTAGAATTTGGATTAAATTCTAATGGTGCCATTTGAACCAAGTTTGAAACTCTCCAAGGTACTTCCAAAGATGATATAAAATTATGTCTTAGGGGCTGATTACATGAGCCCTGTTACCCGAGATTCAACGAAGCGTGAGATGACTTTGAGGTGTTGAAATAAGTCTTTATGACACCAAACAAGCACATGCTATTGTTGTGGTGATTATATGACTGTCAGGATCATGTTATTTGCTCATTTCAATACCTCAAAATCATCTCACGCTTCGTTGAATCTCGGGTAACCGGGCTCATGTAAACAGCCCCTTAGTCTACTGCGCTTCTCGCACAATGCTTTTGATATTGTTGAAAAGTCGTCTCTGAGTCGTTTTCTTTACTTCATAGAAAATCTGTTCTGTTTGTATGCTGTATTGTTGCTTTTGTTGCGAGTAGTGTTCCAAGGGTATTTCTATTAAGACTTGTTGGCTAGAGTCTGGAGGTACAGTTTCATTCGAAAATCGAAACATAAATAAAATTGATAAAATGTTGCTATTTTTGATCACCGAAATTGGAATTGAAAGATGCTGATTGATCAACTCGTACGTCCGAAAGTAATTTTGCATGCTGGGCCAGCTGGGAAAAACCATACCATAATATACTATTTTTTTTTCAAACCGCGTTACACTGCATGCAAAATGTCCGATCCATATTGCAGTAGAGAACTTCTCCTTAATTTTATTCGTTTTAAACCTCATTTTATGGAACAATCATACAAATTGACGTAATAAAATTTAATAAATTTTAAATATCGAATAACCGGAAGTTATTTTCTCAGAGCTTCCGGTTTCGAGGCATAACATCAGTATCTAATGGGAGTTGATTAGCCAATGAGATATTTAGGCGCCAAAGTTTAGTAAATGGTTAAATCCCTTTCGTGACTCGTGAGGTAGCTTTAAAAATGGCGGACTTCCTCAAGAAGGAAAGCGGTATAAAAAGCGCAGCAGAGCAAGATAATTCATCCTCAAAATCGCAAGACAATGATGTTAAAGTAGACCAAGAAAACATGGAAACAATAACTGAAAATTGTCCGAAGAATTATGCTGACTCTGTTAGTGTTTGGTCGCCACCAAATACCCCGCCAAATAAATACGCCTTTCCACGTTTCCCATCATTGAGTCCACAATACCCTCGTCGTATGAGCGACGTTGACGTGAAAGAAGCTAAAGTGACTCCACCAAGAGGCCGACCGAAAGCTGAGATGATAAATCATTTGATTGTCGAAGGAGCTCAGTCTTGTTCGCCGATACGATGCGATATTTGTGGTCGTGTTTTCCCGCGCGAGAAGTCACTACAAGCACACAAGCGTACACACAGTGGTGACCGTCCGTATACCTGTGATTTTCCCAACTGTGATAAGGCTTTCGTTCAAAGTGGCCAGTTAAAGACACATCAAAGATTACACACTGGTGAGAAACCGTTTATCTGTACCGTAGAGAGCTGCGACTCACGATTTACCCACGCAAACCGCCATTGTCCAACTCATCCTAAAGCTGGTCTCGTACGTAAGGATTGTGATGATATTCCTCTGAAGAGAACATTGCTAAGCGAAATCCAAAACCAGGAACCTAACAAGCATACCAAGGAGGTATTAATGTGGTTAAATAAGTACGAACGTGAAAGGCAGAACAAAAGTCCGGGATCTTTAAAGTGTAAGAAGGAGAGACGTGAGCTAGACCGAGATCGAGAAAGAAACCAACTCGGCATTTCTGAACGAAGAAGAGCAAGAGTAGAGGCTAGAAAGAGAATAGCTGAACAAAAGGAACGTTGGTTTGGTGCTTTAGCACTTGTCGAACTTGCAGAACTCACGGCAAATGCAATGCCGGTTCATAAATCATTGAACTTCCATTTCCCTCGTGAGGATATTAACCACGTGGAATTAATATGAGTTAATACAGAGCACTTGCATGGATAGATTTATTCACTGCTTTTATTTTTCAAATGTGTGGCACTTGTACTTATTCACAAAGTGATAAGTTAAAGTCGATATTTATTCACCTTTTTAGATATTTTAGCTCACTAGAAGCATGCTTTAATACATAACATGATCATTTGTAGTCATACACCTTGTATATTATAGATTCAAATTTAATAATTAACATGAATTTAAATACTGGCTTGAATTACACATATTTATGCAAATATGCCACCATTTTCAAATTACCAGTTTTGTCATGCAATCATTATATTTAGTACAATATTTTTATTAAAAAGTGCAATTTTTGAGGGGTAATACAATTCTAGGGGTAACATATTCTACATTTCCGAATTTCCTAAAAGAAATTAGGACCATTTTCAATGCTTCACTGATTTAATCTGTTTCATTTATTATTCTTGTTTACCTTTTTTCCATGTTTATCAAACTAGCAAGCAAATTATTATTTTCACATATTTGTTTTGTCACAATGTGTTCCACACAGTTAATTTCTACAGCAAATACTTCTAGGCACCTTTCCACAGGTTATAGTGAGTTACCCTCATTTGCTGGAAGGGAAGGTGAAAGATAATGTCCCTGAAGATGTTTCATTGCATGCAATCTAGGAAAAAATGATGTGATGCAAAGTGCAAACAGAATGCCACATGGTCTATAATAAAAAGATGTCAGACATACAATTTACTTGAATGCACTTGATACCTTGATAAAGTTGTTACTAGGATGATTCAAATTTATTAATCACCAATTACTGCCCAGCAATTATTCTTTGAATGCCTTACAAATTAGGTTGGGGGGGGGGGGGGTGAAGCTGAATTCCATATGCTCTGAAGTCGGCCTGACAAATCTTACAAATGGTCTTAATTTGCTCAGATTGATAAAATAGAAAAAAAAAGGTGCTTTCAATTTCATAAAAGAACACCGCCATACTTGTTCTTGCCTCGAAAGCGTTCTCCCCCTGATTCACTTTCCGCGCCTTCTCCAGACTTTCTTAAAGTCCAGTCCCTCCTGTCAATTTTTGGAATGGTCAGTGTGGCCCTGTCTGTAAATTTCTTAAACAATTCGAGGGAAAAACCCCAAGAATTTTAGGTCACTTATCGCTATACGCAGAGAAAATTTGATTTTCGGTGAATGCGATTTTCTCTCTATATATATAAATAATAAATTTTATTATATGGCAAGCGCTTGTTTTGGTTAATTCTGCAATTTGATTGGCTGCTGACAGGTCCGGATTTCCCCGTATTGCCCACGGGCAATACGCAATTCTTATTGCCCTGTGAAAACAAGGCAAAACTCACGGCAAAAACTAACTAAATTTAAACTGAAAAACAGATTAAATTCTTAAACGGAAAATAATGAATTTGAAATAAAAATAATAAATTTATATTTTACAAAATAGAGCGGTTTTTTTCACTTTAGGCCGATGTTTTGGTGTCGTGTGCCCGGATGAGATTGATCATTAAAATTACTCATAAAGAATTAATCATTACAATGTCTGCATGAAATATGCCATATAATAAAACACTTACTAACTTCGACTGTTCGGTCTGTACGGTAAAATATCAAACCTCGGTCTTGGTGTATTGACCTCGCTATCGCTCGGTCAATACAGCACGACCCCTCGGTTTGATATTTTACCGTACAGACCTCACTCTCAGTCAGTAAGTTCTTGTTTTGGTTAATTCTGCAATTTGATTGGCTGCTGACAGGTCCGGATTTCCCCGTATTGCCCACGGGCAATACGCAATTCTTATTGCCCTGTGAAAACAAGGCAAAACTCACGGCAAAAACTAACTAAATTTAAACTGAAAAACAGATTAAATTCTTAAACGGAAAATAATGAATTTGAAATAAAAATAATAAATTTATATTTTACAAAATATAGAGCGGTTTTTTTCACTTTAGGCCGATGTTTTGGTGTCGTGTGCCCGGATGAGATTGATCATTAAAATTACTCATAAAGAATTAATCATTACAATGTCTGCATGAAATATGCCATATAATAAAACACTTACTAACTTCGACTGTTCGGTCTGTACGGTAAAATATCAAACCTCGGTCTTGGTGTATTGACCTCGCTATCGCTCGGTCAATACAGCACGACCCCTCGGTTTGATATTTTACCGTACAGACCTCACTCTCAGTCAGTAAGTTCTTGTTTTGGTTAATTCTGCAATTTGATTGGCTGCTGACAGGTCCGGATTTCCCCGTATTGCCCACGGGCAATACGCAATTCTTATTGCCCTGTGAAAACAAGGCAAAACTCACGGCAAAAACTAACTAAATTTAAACTGAAAAACAGATTAAATTCTTAAACGGAAAATAATGAATTTGAAATAAAAATAATAAATTTATATTTTACAAAATAGAGCGGTTTTTTTCACTTTAGGCCGATGTTTTGGTGTCGTGTGCCCGGATGAGATTGATCATTAAAATTACTCATAAAGAATTAATCATTACAATGTCTGCATGAAATATGCCATATAATAAAACACTTACTAACTTCGACTGTTCGGTCTGTACGGTAAAATATCAAACCTCGGTCTTGGTGTATTGACCTCGCTATCGCTCGGTCAATACAGCACGACCCCTCGGTTTGATATTTTACCGTACAGACCTCACTCTCAGTCAGTAAGTTCTTAATATATACACTACGCTACGCAAAGGTGTGGATTAAAGTGCTTTAATTTATATTGTATAATTTCAGACGTGTCATGATTGTCTCTTAGGGTTTTTGAAATTGTTCTGAACTATTTTTGATACGATAGCATTTAAACAAAAACATGGCAGCTTACCATGTAGAAATGCATGAAGAAGGATCGACACACATTCCAACAATTTAAAGCCTTCAAATGAGTTGTTTCAATTGCTGAAGGTATTCAAGGTACCCTATATACAACCATCAACGTTCTACCTGTTGCTTATATAAGACATATTGTCACGTGTTAAAAACTTATGCCCCCAAGCATAGGCCAGCTATCGTCCAGAGTTTGTGCACGCCTTGGGAGAACCCGCTCCCTATTTTTGCACATACATCATTAAAAGTTTGGTATGTGAGAACTGGGGACAAGATAAGGGCTGTAGTTGATATAGTTGTATTCAGGGTACATTAATATTATAAAGTATTACCACTGCTAACACGACAACGTTTTCACCCAAAAGACCTTCTCATAATGACGTTAACGCGGAAAGCCAGGTGTTGGTGTTACACGGAATCAAACTTCGTGTGAAACCAGGGTTCTGCGTTCAATGTCATTATAAAAAAGGTCTTTGTGCAACACTGAACACTGCAAAAAAACACATGTCTGGTTATCATTGTATACTATAGTGTGTCTGTCCGAAAGCACCAACTTAACCGTATGAGATATATACCCAACTATAAGCTATACTTATTTCACTTCTCGGATTCCACCGAACTAATCTTTATACGCTTCTTTATGTACAGTGTGCAACAATAACCAAGCATATGCTCGTATTTATCCAGTTGTAAAAAAGGAGAGAGGACAACTCGCTGTCAGCCGCTTCTCCACAAGGGTGTGGCACGAAAACGGAACAAAAATTGACGCTAATGTTGTCAGTCGAAAGTCGACTAGTTTGTGTACTTCTGCATTTTCAATATTCCAGTACTATTTTGTTATATGATCGAGAAAGGAAATTTGGTTGCGTCTAATGCAATTGAAACAATAGATGAGCCTGACGAGGTTTATCATCTCATTTTCAATTGTTGCAAATGCATTCGACGCGACAGATAAACTAGGCCTAAAAAACTGCTGTTTCGTTTCGTTTTTTGGAAACACCCTGGGTGCGCAGTGCAGGTGAAGTTTGAAATCACAGCATTTACGAATATATAAAAAGAACACTATGGCCAATTCGCAAACGCGTGGATTTAAGAAAATGGACGTAAACGCGGAATAAAAATGGGGTTAGCACTAATAAAAGCTCTCTCCGTCTCTTAACTTCCCTCTATTAATTTGCTTCTTTTTTCGAGCCTATCCACCGTACAACCGGTCGACCTCTTTCTAATTTTCTCGGGAGCAAAAGAAACGCACGAGTTCACAATTGACCACGGTGTTCCCATGTTTTGAAATTACAAGTAAAATTCTCACGAAGGCTTGTTCCACCATAACATAATGTAAACTGATACTAAAAGAATACCTAGTCTAATAATCTATAAAATTCTTACCATGCTGGTGTTGTATTAGTTCATTATACTGTACATATATTTGCAATTATTCATAATAAATTACATTCTTTCAGACAGCTACCTTGGATCTGCCATGTATTTTCCTAAAGAAAGTATTATTAATACCAGAAAGATCGATCGTTAAAAGAGGGGAGTGTAACGAAATTATGCGAGGAAATTCTGACGAAATTTTATATGAAACTCAAAAGAAAGAAACAAGCTTATTCATATTTTCAGTTCTCCTACCACAATTTTTGCTGTGCCTACCAGGTTCAAAATATCTACGTCAAAATACTACCCTCGCTGTATTTCAAAGATTACCTACTCGATCCAACTACATACAGTACATACCTGTTACAATCTTTCTTTTTACCAAGGATAGTTTATAATTATCCGTATTAAGTTGAAAATCAATTTTCGATAGAGTTGAGCCATTACATTGAAATTGCACGGCAATTGTCTGCGCGGTACTGGGTCCGTCTTTAAGATCGAATCGAGCTCTTAGGGAATTAGAACCTGAAAACAAGGCAGCCATAAGTATGAAAATTTATCATTAGTCAGAAAAAAGGCAAGTTTATTGAATGAATTGAGACGAATGCTACAAATTAGACATCATGGCTCTCCTATTACAGGTGATCGGAACATGGTTGTTACAGGTGATCGGAACCGTACGTACCTTGGCCCTCGGAATTATTTGATAATTCTTGAATTTGCCAGAGTGCTTTGTTATGTTCTTTAGACCTACAATAGGGTAAATTAGTTGTAATCTCGATTTCTCAAACAATATCTCCAGTCACAACACAAACTAAGAACAAACAAATATACCATTTGGCCATCGGCTTGGACTGCATAATTTCGACTCCTCCGTTAACAGGTACGACAACAGAGACATTATGGAGAGGTGAAGCAACAGATAAACACGATGGTGAATATTGGTAATCTAATCTGACATCTGTAGTCTTCTCTTCACATTTCCAATAACAACTTAAAGCCAGCGGAAGCAATGGTATATTATGTTGAACCTAAGAAGAGAAATGCGTAATTGACACATGTAATTAGACCATTGCTTGTCGAGAAACGACCAAATGAAACTAGGGTGTAAAGTGGAAATCAAGTTCCTTCAGCGCATCGGTTCTGCTCATAAAATAGAGGACCCTAGAGCTATAAAATTTCAGAAATTTCGCATGTTTACAATTTTTTTGCACATGCATAAGCTCTAAGATACGTTCATTTAGAAACGTAACAGTATTAGATATTAACACAGCCATTGTATTTCAACAAGTATAGAAGTTTAAAATTGAAACAAACCGTTTGTTTACATACGGATCTGACTTTCACTTTAAGAGTATTAATTTCGAGTGGAATTTTAAGGGCTTTCGAGTATGAATTTAAAAATTATCCTTAATCGCGTGAAGCGCCATAAAATCTTAATTGATTCACACTCACTAAATGAAACTAGGCTGAACTATACAAGTAAAAACAAAACCATCCAAACTCGTGATGTTCCATACATGCATGTTTACCTGATATTTAAGAATATCAATATTATAGTAAGGTGCTTGCCCTTGCTCGGCCAGTTTCTTCAAATGCGCCGTCAAAGCAGGCATTTTGAATTTAAAATATTTCGCATCTCTATCTTCTGCTGGTTCGTCACTAGAGAAGAACGAACACAAAGTACTAGGTCAGGTACACATTCGAGTTTTCCTAACATATGACCAGGGTGAGAGGCCGGAATGTATAGTGAAGAAAATTCAAAATATGTGTACCTCGCGATAAGAGATTTGTTTGGCAAAACATTTTCCAACAATCCTGATCCAGTAATGGCAAAAGTTAGTACAGGAGGTTCATCCCTTGATGATAAAGATGTGATCGCACTTGCTGGAAATGAGACTGTCACATCACCTGTTACACTGTGCCTATAAAAAGGATAAAAAATACTTAGTATAAAAACTCTTTTTTTTATAACCTTTGGAATATAGTCCGAATCGTTTCCTATTTCATAGGTATGTGCATCTTGACATACGCTGTTCAAAAACGCACAATGTTTGATACAGACAGGCGTGTCTTTGTTACTTACCTTGACGTATCTTTTCCCTTAAAGTGAGCGTGAACAGTCTCCACTAATGCGACGGCAACTGGAATAATTTCTTCATTCTTTTTAGTCACTTGACTGCCTGCGGACGCATTTACCTATCAAGAAGATCAAATTCAGCAATAAACTTTTTCAGCTGTAATATATATGAAGAAAATAATATCTTTAGCAGCTTCGGTAAGGATAAATCGTATTCGAATTATTCATGATTTTTGTTGCATATTTTTAATAATCGAACTACAATTTATCACATGCACAAGAACAATCCTATTTCGTACCATCGTAGGCTGTAAAATACTTCCCATGCCACGAACGGAAACAACGGGTGAAGTACTTCCACGTGCAGCTCGTTGTGTACTAGGACTGTTTATTCTATCCCATATGGTCTTTGTTGGTCCTCCAGGATCCTCCGCAGCGCCAGATATGCGGGCATAAACATCAGCGGATGTAGTAGGTAACGACTCGGTACTTGGTGTTGGAGAGGCATATGTTCTTGTTGGATCAAAATTTTGTTTTAGTGAAAGAGCACCAGAAGATAGTTCATTACCTGTACCACTAAGACGAGGCTATAATGAATTCAAAACATATCAAATTAAAGCATACAGCCAATTCAGTCTTGGTTGCCAAGGGCAACAGGCAAGGGTCGAATACGAGAACGAAAGGCTTTCTGAGAATTCAGGCTGCAAGGAAGGTCGAGGTGTCCAATTTACAATTTTACAAAGGCGTATTGCATGTACCTTGGGTCTTGGTCGTGAGGCAGGAATATTCAAGCTACCAGCAGATGTGGCCCTCGGTATATCGGATCGTCGAGGAGCGAGGAAAGAAAGAGTTTCTGGTGGCGATTGTATTGATTCATCAGCTTCCTTTTCTATTTCATTGCGAAAAAATAGATCGAGTGGACATCGTAGTTCGTATACATAAATATGAAGTGAAATGTCCTAGATTGGTTGTGACTTGTGAACGCTGCTTACATTCAAAGTGGCCGATGAAACTGAATTTACATATATGTACAATAATCAAAGATTGTCTCAAAACACCCAAATGAAGATTGAAGAGGTATACTGTACTGTATATAATTCGTCTTCAATGCAGCTTGGTGCAAAATATAACTATAGTATATATGCATTTTATAGCTTACAAAAACGTATTCTTAACCAGTCAATGTGGTAAGTCTAGGAATGTACTGTATAGCATATACACCATCCATAGGGGCATTGTCTTACCTGTGTGAGTAGAAGTGTCCGTCAGAGATCCAGTACTTCCGAAAGATGCCATTGCCAAAGTTGATTTCTTAGGAGGCAATGCTGGTGAAGATTCGTTTGAATGATTGATACTGATGCCTGATATTCGCTTTTTAGGAGCCAGCTCCGGTGGGTTATCATCGCTGTCTGCTGAAATTGGTTTCCCTAATTCAATGACTACAAAGTAAAGATAAGAACCCAATTTATATAGGAAATTGGGGGGGGGGAAGGCAATTTACTTATAACAGACCGAGTGTAATTTATCTATGTACCTTGAATACTAAGAGACGAACTATAATGACCTAGATAACTAGCATCCGCTAAGGTGCTTACCTGGAGCGCTATTTGTTGAAGGAGAATTGATTGTAGAAGCATTTGGATGTTGATTTGGTTGTGAACTTGATGTTGGCGTTGTTGTTGGTGATGTCGGTATCACGGACGCGCTGCTGATTGCTGGCTGACTGAAGTCAATTGAAAGAAGATCTTCTTGAGATTTGGATCTAAAATGTATCGATTGAAAAACCTTAGTCTTTTACTAATAGAACTATTATGTTCCTACCAAAAGATTACGAAGAATCGAAACTAATATTGGGATACATGATTCTATATTATGGCGGCTATCACTCACAGTTTAACAGAAGACTGAACACTTGAGCCATTAAGGAATGTTGATTTTGGAAAATCACCATCTGTATAAAAATACAACCTTTGATTTGTAACAGTTAATATACATTAGCATGAACTGTTTCAACTATGTATGGAAAAACGAACTTCCAGCATTAGCCGCATGTTTTATGTGTAAATATCGACACAGCCTGAGCATCAGATTAAGACATTTTTCATCATTATAATCATAACGAATCGTGAATTCACTGCAAACACGACTTAGTGTTGTAAAAGTATTTACATTACATTTCATTACATTTTATCTTTTACCTGCTGACAATGGTTCAGTTTTCTTTTGCTAAAAGAAGATATAGGTATAAATGTGTATAAACATATAAATGTACTGTACATCTGTTCTCTATATTACTAAATAAACAGTTCTCCTGGTAATACTTGCTCATACCGGTGGGATTGGAAGAGTGAGCTGAATTGATCGAAACTCGTCCAAGCTCGCTGTGGTCTTTTCAGCCGGTGGTTTAATCGTGATTTTTATTTTCTTAGGTTCGTCATCTGAAACAGCATAAATCATTTGAGACCGGGGCAAATGCCCTTCCCCATTTTAACTCTCATAAAACTCACCGTCATCGGAGTCAGAACTGGAACTTTCGTTGGATTTGTGACGTAGATGGTGTTAAGGTTAATGACATTTTGCAAAATCGGCACAATATAACCTGTTTAGCATTCTGTTATTCAGCGCCTTATCAACGGGTAAATGGGATTTGCAATATACTGCGTACAGTATATCTCAGAATACTGTACCTTGAACCAAAGAGTATCAAAGGTGCATGTCACCAGCACTCCTGGCATTCATACTGTACTTTGCAAGTGCACATTTTTTATGCAACATTCTCATAAAGGATATTGTCTGTATCCTTCGGGATTATCCTGTATCCCTCTTCGTCCACTTCTACCTTGTCATCGCTCTAGGATAGAAATATTACTCCTATAAAGGCGTACTTATCAAACTAGTTATATAATCTAATCCCAGCCCATTTCGTGTTTTCATAATGGTCAGACAACTGAACTCACATTATCTTATATACACACAGAAAGACTGCCTATTTCTAGCGGTTTGGAACAGTTTCTATCCCCGTATTTCCCGAGAAATTATAACCTGCAGATATATCACTCCAATGATGTAGAATTAGCAGGTATGTTTAAGCAATAATTTTTAGTATAAAGGCCCGTTTACACTTGCGATTTTTGCTGCGATTTTATGCACGATTTTCTTCTTTTGATAGATGTGAACGAGTAATTAGTTACGAATGCTTTGATGTATAAGAACTCTTATTTAAACATCAGTAACTAATTCACTCGTTCACATCTATCAAAAGAAGAAAATCGCACATAAAATCGAAGCGAAATTTTTGGCCTGTTCTTCACCACAAGCGGATCAAAGGTAGCATTTCTTTGTTTTAAAGTCATTAGTTCCAGTCGAGGGATCAAGAAACAATTATATATGTACACTTAACATATTTCGCTACGATATGGGTGCAGTGAAAAGTGGCTTAAGGATCGATATAATTTGTTTTGAAGAACCAATATTGTTATATTGATCGATTATATAGCACGTCGCCATGACAATTTATTGATATCATATACAATACCTACCCCTGGTAAGGCTTCAGGGGGATTAGTATCCGGACTTGCCTCGCTGCGATGGAGAAAAAATTGCAAAAATTACAAAATTGAATCAAAATTCATCTAAACTTCACTATATATATACACAAATCGTCATTATTGCAGGGTTAATTATGCTTGCACAAAATGCACAGAACTGTAAATGTGAAAATTTTCAATTGTACACGCTGTACACGTGTCTCTATAACAATTGGCGTAAATGCGATGTTGACACAAATTCAGAAGTTACATCACTGTGAATTACATTAGAGAGCTCTATATTTATAGAAGGTAGTTCGGCCACGTGGCCCACTAACTTACATGGTTCCATTAGGAGTTTGTAGTTTTTCCTTCTCTTTCTTTCTCTTAGGCTTTTTTTCTTTCTTTTCCTTATCTTTTTCTTTATCCTTTTCTTTCTTTTTTTTACGAAATGGTGCCTTAGAAGTTTTATCTATAATTTGCACGCATAGTTAAATCCTAGTTAACTCAGAAATACACGACTTTGATACAGCTGTTTATTGTGAGAATTCACTTGGCCAAGTGGTGCACAATTCAGTTTATATAGATTATTCTGTGGATAGATTTGATAATTACCTGACACAGATTGTGATCTATTATTAAGATTTGGTGACTCCTCTATACCAAGGTCAACAAGTGATCCCGTGGCAGCAAACTCTTCAAAGAATATTTCAACTAGAAAGTGTTATATACTGTATGAGTATATTAAAGGAGTATAATGAATAGTTCAAACGTAGTAATATTTCTAACTTTCACCAACATTAACAGTTCGGGCCCCAAATTTACCAAGGATTCTTTGTATCATTCGGATCATATTGTATTGAATCGTATAGTTACAGTTACTAGCGTCGTGGCATTGTATACAATAATATTGAACAGTAGGTGTGTCTATAGAATATTGGAACAGAACTTATCACATCCACAGTCACAACACGGCCGTACAATTAGACGCTTGATAAGTGAAGTGCATTATTGTGTGTATATTCCTGTTCTGCTTAGTATCTTGATTTCTTTTGACATAAACATTTCACCACAAGTTATTGAGTCAAGCAACGGTACAACTATTACATAGCTCGGTCCTAATAATAATTATATGTAAATTTCAATTCAAATATTTCATCTATGCTAAAACTCTGTAGTCATAACTTCGATAAATGACTGTAATGAATGAGAAGCTACCTGGCACTATTTTACCAGTTCCTTTGTCTTTTACAAATTGATCCAGCAACTTGTCGCTTGTCAACTCTTTAACCTGAGTTCTAAAATGAGCGATAACCTAGAACAAAATAATATTTACTTATTCAGTAAGATATGCACCAGTTACAAGACATTGTATGTCCATCTATGATGGATGCAGTGTCATTCCCAAGTGATTACCTCATGAACTTCTCCCTGGCCTTTTTCAAGAGTTCCAATATACGAAATCAAATGTTCCGACATACATTTCAAGTGATTCATTTCTATTTCTTCAAATTTCTAAAACAAGTAGATTTTCCGTTTTGTGAGGACATTTGAAATCACGAAATAGTATTAATCACCCACGCTCATTGATGTACCTTTGACGTCTCAATCATTTTAGCATGAAACAATTTCCTAACTTCCTCCCGTTTCTCAACCAAAGATTTGTACTCCTCTCCTGTGAACACGAAAATGCCAATCAGAATGCATGTAACCTTTAAGTTAGTGAAGCTATGAATACTATGCCATTATTTTGCGACTAATTTCGGTTGTTTTGCCAGGTCATTGTTTCGTTACCATTCTTTGTGTTTCTTTTATCGAGTCAATTGTTAGTTTACTACCTCTCGATATAGTTATGACAAGAATACGTCTTGAAAACCTCGCTCTTAAATTCGATAACAGAATTTTTGAAAGGGAAAATATGGTTGGCAAAAGAGCTTGAAAGAAGGGTTCCCAGTAAAAAAATCAACATTATCATATACCTGCGCGGATTTTCTTCTGCTCTGCCTAGGGAGAAGCAGAACATTTTTTTATCAAACGTGGATATTTTGATTCGGACTTTGATGACCAGATTACACAGCCAACATATTGCTCACACACTATTGCGAGTCACAATATTCAACATGATTGTTATGTATTTAATAAAAAGCCGAAAAACTGTAATTTTTAAAACTGAGATTGGTACACACCTTTTCAATGTCTTTAGCATTCGTTGTTTCTTTCTTGACACGTTCAAATTCCTGACATCTTGAGTAGTATGTGTCTTTGGCCTGTTCCACATTTAGAAGAAAAAATATTAATGAACTGAAAACATTTGCAATAGGAAATGCCCAAACAAGGTTGATGTATGTTCTTATGAGAATTGAAACTACAATGTGCAAGGACCTATGCAAGGACATCACCCCCAATGTTTAAAAGAAGACATTATTAATCTATACCCCTGCATACATCCTGTAAGTACATTGCATGTTAGTCTATTTAAGTAGCCAGTTATGTTAAGACAGCTGTGTTCACACACGGTACTCACAAAGTATAGCTCTACAATTCACAGTACTGAAAGAACATAGAGTACAGACCTTAATAACTGCTGCAGTTTTGGTTTGAATTGATTGAACAACTTCTAATGTTGCATTTAAGTCATCTTTCAACTATATAAAACAATATCAAGTTAAATAAATGTCATTACCAGTACATTACACTGGAGTAAACCTGTTGTATGGATGAGATATGTCATAATAGTCTGAATATTTCTATGCATTTGCCAAAATTAACATTATTTGCCAAATTTATGCTACATATGCCAATTTGACCACTAGAAAAGCACTAGGTATAAAGCCATGTGTTTATACAAACGGTCTGTAAGAGAGTTTCTTAGAGAAAATGGAGCAAAATAAACTATGAAATCTGTACTAAATATGGTGCAAGGGAAAATACTGATAGTTGTCCACTTAATGAGATACTGTAGAATATAACCATCAAACAATAATTACCTACGTAATTAAAACTGTTTCGCTTCTCTACTTACAGATTTCTGGTTTTCTTTTTGTAATTCACCATAATCTCGGATCACTTTCATTAAATCATGAAGCTCTTGGACAGCCTTAGAAAATGAATTTGCCAATATTTCTGTAGACTTCTTAACAATATTCCAACATGGCTCAAACGTACTATAAGAAGAAAAAACACAGGAATAAGTATATAGCACAAGTACATGTTTATTGCAATTTACTGTATTTGCACAAGCTAGAATATATATATTGGATTTTGAGTATGGCATTGATGAGGCTCTGTATAACCAGAATGTGAATATGAGATTACATGTCCAAATTTCTTGTATCTCATTTCAACATTGATGAGGATTGTATTGTACTCCTATAGCATATCAAAATTGGTTAGGTTACTACATATATGCTGCTTTAACTCTTCAGATTTAATGAAGTGTTGTATCATTACAGGCCACACTTCAAATATACAAGTATCTAGCTACATTCCATCTCATTTAAAATGGAAGACAAATTATATTACCATCAGTTATAAAGGTGCATTGTCTTGAAATGAATGGGGGAATTTTACTTTCACCCAGCTACAAAATTTGGTGTTCTCGAGATGAAACAAAAGTCTTCCCATTAAATATTGGCTAGTCTACACCAGTCTACACTGTATGATGCAATCATGTTTGAAGATTTAGCATGCTCGTCAAAGGGGAATAGGCCAGAAGAAGTGAATATCTAACTTTAAAATCTTGTAGTTATGCTGGATTGTAATTCTAAATTTCTCTAATGTCAGTCCTATGTATACCAGTGGATTAGGAAAGAAGGTAGGAAACTATCCTGAAGAATAAGGAGGAAAATGACTGGAATCAAGGAACTAATAAAGTTGCAAAATAAGTTGTTAATAAATATACCTTAGACACAAAAAATATATGGCAATGATTATTTCGGACTAGGCTTAACAAAAAGTATTCAAATTTAGTATGAATGTGCTGTGAATCAAATTCAAATCTGCTGTGAATGTTGCAGTAGATGTACATGGCTACTACCGCTTTTTGAAACACTGGTCATATAAAACATAAACCTAAAGTCATAACATTATAACCATTATAACCTAAACTTCATTCTCAGCTCAGCTACATTGATTTATGTTGTTGCATGCTTCAGTTGTTCTGTAATAGTAAATTGTCTATAGATTGATCAATCAAGTTCAAGACTACTATTTACCAAACAAATCATTGCACTTGGTGAAAAACGCTATACTATGTCACTTAAATAATTTTGAATATGATTAGAATTCGAAATCTATTCAAAATATAAGAATATAGTACATATGTGTATAATTATTACCCCAGGGATATGCCCGTGTTTGTTGCTTTGCAAATTTTCCCCAATGATTTTGCATAGCCTTCTTCGATGGCAGCTCTAAATATAAAATTCAAAACAATATGAAAATCTTAATAGAATTTACAATACAAACTTATGCGGAACGCTTCCAGCAGAGAGTAAACAAATATTTTGTGTGGTTTGTAAATTAAGGAAGGTTTTTAATATTTTCATTGCCTGACCTGTCACGGATGAAATCTGCCAACTCTCGACTAGCATTAATGCCATGCTTCATAGTATGATATAGAACATCGTATCCATTATTCTTCTCTCCCTAAAAAGACACGGATGTATAAAAGCAGGAGTGAAAATGATAATTCCACAAACGATAACACAGTACAAGAAACAACATTTACAGCAAGTCAGTGAGGAATCTATTTGAAAGTCTCACATAAATGAAGTATATTCAGAAAATTACCCAAAAGTTATCCTCAAAATAAACCATGACTAGCTCGCCCGCTTTACAAGCACTTTATAGCAACAGTTGTTCAATAACTTGGGACATCTCGCAATCGTCAAACTCGGAAGACATGTTTTGGCTACACAGAATATTTGCTCATGCGCAATATCGACCGACATTGGGGAAGCATATATACATATGACGTCAGGTTCGGAGAAGACTGCATGAGTTTTCCACTAGCGATACAACCTCTGGCGATATTTTTTGCGCGAAGCGACTTATTCTCCTGTCTTTGGGCAATTTGTTCCAGATGGTTGCAGTTGAGAGCTCTGAAACAAAAGTAAAATGTCGCTTCGTGCGAAAAAATATCGCTAGTGGAAAACCGGCTTTAAAGGAACATTCAGTCGGAAAAAGGGGCGGGGTTCTGGCCTACTTGATCACACAAACACGGATCTGTGAGAAAGCAGGGGGCAGATTTCCGTACGTACTCGATCACACAAACATGGATCGGTGAGAAGGCATTTCTGTATTGAAACAATGAATATTAGAGACGGGAAACTCATCTTAAACGGGAAAGTTGATGGTAGAAACCCGTGATGGGTCGGGTAATGCTAATAAGGGTATTTTAATTATTACCATAAAAAATTTGTTTGTTTTCTCTTAGCCTTGTTCCGTTCTTGACCGTGTAAGAGGAGAAACCCGTCTGTGACCGGATTCACATCAGACGAGTTTCCCGTTTTCGATGAGTTTCCCGTCTAACGGCCCGTTTACACTTGCAATTTTTGCTGCAATTTTATGTGCGATTTTGATAGATACTTACTGATGTTCATAGAAGAGCTCGTACACATCCACAGATCTATATAGCCTTCAGAGCATTCGTAACTAACTACTTGTTCACATCTACCAAAAGAAAAAACTCGCACCAAAAATTGCAAATGAAACGGATCTTAAGACGAGTTTCCCGTCTCTAATATGAATTCGGCTATTGTTTTCGAAAAATCCAGAGTTGAGATAACGAGCTTCGTCCTATAAATTATGGTCTTGTCTTGATTCCTTTTTGTTTTTCGATGCCACGACGTTTGGCGTCAAAAATAGCCGTTATATATAGTCATTTTTCCTGTTTTGCCTAATATGCATTTTTATTGACTACACATGGAGTATTTCAGAGAAAAAGTGAATTTATTTAAAGGTGATGCAAGGTGAAACAAACGCTTTGGTTACATTTTAATCTATTATATTTGTTTGGGGCGTATTTCGCAATGGTTTCAAATAAATTTGAGCTAGAATCTGTTTCCAAATTCTAAAATATGCGAAATTAAGAATCCGGATGCGCAAACACCGTTGCTGAGTGATCAAGGCTTTTAGTATTCTCTCTTAGTTAGTCTGTTAAAACCTACTCAGACTACACGATAAGCCGTATGCGATTATCATTGTGACGAGTGCAAAAGAGGGCCAATGCCACGATCTTCATTCAATTTTGTTCAGGTTAGAATTTAAAGTGTCACGTTTACACGTGTGTTCATACGTTCACATACGCCAGGGTACGATCGCATAGTGTGAACGGGCCTTCAAGGTTAAATTTGCGTCTGCCTACGGCTATTCACTACACAATGCATCATCACTTCAAGTAAACCGACACCAATCGGTTATGCAAATAAATTATTTCACGGGTGCATGACGTGGCCTTAAGTTTACACATATGATTTAAGATGACGTGAATTGTGAACACAGCGACATTCGTCTGATCATCGTTATGGCGACGATAGGAAAGTTTTTCCGCGCTTTTGGATCATGTTTGAAAAACGATTTACTTCTAGTTTTCATCATAACAGGCGTTCTATTGGGCTTTTTGGTAGGAGCCTTAGTAAATGACCCGGTTCAAGAAAGCTCAAATCCAAAAGAAATTATCATGTATATTTCATTTCCTGGTGAAATTCTAATGCGTATGTTGAAAATGGTTATATTGCCATTAATTGTATCCAGTCTGATTGTTGCGCTTGCTGTACTTGACGCCAAGGCTGCTGGTCGCTTAGGCCGAAGGGCCTTGATTTATTATTTAACGACTACCATATTGGCCGTCATTTTGGGGATAATCTTGGTGGTCAGCATCAAGCCGGGCGAAGGTAAAGGTGATAAGAAAGGAACAGAATCAAAACATGTTGAACCAGTAGACTCTCTACTTGATCTTATCAGGTCAGTATTTGTCGTGCGTGTGTATTGTATACCTTTCAGCCTGGCTAGTATAAACGTAAAAAGCTAGTATAAATATATGTATTTGTCAACCATCGATACGAAATAGTTTCAAGAGAAAGACTTGAAATTTGAAAAGGCAGAAATGCAACAATTTCGCAACAAGCGAAATGTATAGGCGTATTCTAGGAGGATCAGTGGGTGTCAGCATCGTGGCATCATCAATTACATACGTAAGGTCTTACTATATCCATCACAAGGTGTCCGGTTACAATTTTATGCGACATTTAGAAGATCAATATGTTTTGTTTCACGCATTTTCTTATTTTAATATTTCTTATTTTCATCAACAATAACAATTTCATTAACGTACTTCAGCTGCAATTTACTTAATCCATTCACGCTTCAGGAAAATCTTTATTCTTCATAGCACCCTTACTTTTTTAGGGATTAAAATGGCATACTCGCAGGTATTAATTATCCACAGTTATTCGGACTATTCGGACAAAACAGCTCGGTTAAATCATGTACCCGAAAAATCCAATGAAATCTTCATTTGGACGTTTGAACTAAATTAAACGTTTAGTTACTTATATAGTTAGCATATTATCAAACTTATTGTGAACTGAATCTGCGGTCAGATCGTAGGTGGAATCGATTAGTTGAACTATAAGATCGATCAAATATGGATGGCAGGTGGTCTTGCCCTATGAATGCCTCTGTTTCCTGCACTCCAGGTTAAAGTATATACACAGCCAACTATCAACATATATACATGACGGCCCACACAATAATTTACTTTAGAAAATTAGGTTTCCTGGAAAACTGTTCGGATATAAAAGAAAAAAGCTGAGGAATATTCTCATGCATGGATAAGAGATCAGAGACCTGTAGGAACGCGAATTTTCTTGTTATTTTGTCGATAATTTAAAAAGTATGTCGTGTAAGACGTGAGACGAAAACTTCCTGTCGGATATATGTATTGTCTTGCAGCTGATGGGTTCTGCGCTTGTCTTTGACTTTGTAGTTTGTACATACATAAATACGTTACATAAAATAAACAAAGAACGCTCATGATAGGAAATAACAGCTGCCAAAAAACCTCCTGACAACTCCGCTGTTTCATGAGCAGCCTTTTCATAGCATAGGTAGAAGTTATACACGGTAGAATATAAGGAGCTTTTCTAGGAGGACAGTTTCCAATGTAGCAATCGTGGCTCGTCTTTTGTTTCCCAGATGACAGCGAGGGACCAGTCAGTTTGTAAATGCATGTGGCAGTGTCATGCTGTGTAATTTCACATTGCTTCCAGAGACATTTGTTCTGCATGTCTAAAAGTCTAAAAGTGCCTCCCTAAAGCCCACCGCACACGAGAGCTGTCAGCTGAGGTTGCGAGGCAGTTAGCTCAGCCCGAAAACCATCCGAACACGAGAGAAACTGCCTCTCGAGGCGAATTCCTCCCGAAAACTATCCGCACACGAGAGACTTGCTGAGTTAACAACCTCGCGAAGTTTTTAGCTCAGCAAATAGCCCTCGTGTGCGGCGGGCTTTACTTCCTGACTCTATGTTGCTTTACCACTGCATGTCAAATCCAATATGAAATTAATCACATATTATAGATTCATCTCTAAAATTTCATTGTCTGCGATTCAAAAAGATCGAAATCGTTATTAGGTCTTAATGAAAAAGTGCTTAAGTGTAAAAAGCCGCGAAATTAAATTTTGCTAATTTTAAACGTGCCTATAGCGACATGCGTTGCCTTGGATTTTATTTACTGAAGGAAGAAATTTGTTTAATTAATATAACGCAATTTAGTAGCGAGGTTAATGCAAAATACATTAACGAATATACCAAAGTCAAGGTCGTAGCCAATACATACCGCCATGTTGACATAGGCTTTTTAAAATACATGTCCGGCGTTTTATATTTTTAAGCAATCAATGTTAAATGTTGTTCTTACTGACTTCATCGCCGTAAGTCGTAATATACCATAATCATTTTGGCATAAAAAGGAATACATGCATGCTAAAAGTCGGACGGAAATTATTGCAAGAAATTTATGCACCACCGCCAAACTCGAAGCTTTTAAAAACTCCTTGAAAATGAAGCGGTCGTCGGCACACGGCAAATTCATACTAAACATTCGCCTAACTTTCTCACTCGTCTTCTCTCATCAAAACATGCTTGCAACATTTAAGTGTTAAAATATCATTTCTCCAACGCGTTGAATGTTCTCAAATTGAAATGATCAATTGCATTGAAAAAACAACAAGGGGCACTGCCAGTCCATGCATGCCTTTTCTATTTTTTGTTGTGTCGCAATGAATACATTTTCATCTTGCAATTGTGGATACTGAACTATATATACTGAGCTGGCTGTTATATTTATTTTTCCTTTGTAGAAATTGTTTCCCAGACAATCTGGTTTCCTCAGCATTTGTTTCGGTAAGTCGATCCGTATATACGCGACATCGTATTATGTTTAAGGCCGGCCTCCACTTGCACGTATATTATCAGTGCAGCCGATTTGGCGCATGCTCGGTGACTCGAAACTGGTCGCTAAGCCGCGGCTAATTTTTTCAGTACGTATGACAGTAGAACTGGGGCCGGTTGTAATCAAGCCCGTTTAGCTTAAACGGTGGATAAGTTCAAAATAGAAAGCGAGTATGCCGTTTTATTCAACAAGGAAACTAAATGTTTTTGACCTTAATACAAAGATACTGTTTACAACTACATATTCAGTGCATAATTTTCTAGTTGACTCATTCAAGAGAGATGTAAAAGCTAGTGTTATTTAATTTTGACTTATCCACCGTTTAACTTTAAGCTAAACGGACTTAATATACAACCGGTCCCTGTAGTCTTCTTTCAAGGCGGCCGTCAACGCGAAAGCCGTAAGTGCGATTTCAGCGCGAAGTGGAGGCCGGCCTATACGTTCAGTTTAACGTAACGTAATACGTACAACACTGCCATATTGCACTGTTAACCTTAGCTATAGTGCAATGCTATACATAGTATAGAGTAGTACATATATCATACAATGAGGAAATCGGTGAATCATATGGAACGTAAGACTCAAGAGTCAAGACTGATACTGGATAGCACCGTCCCAACCTCCTTCCTTAGAGAGGGGCAGGGGTGCCTTGAGGGGGGCATGGAACCGTCTCAGAACCGTTTATAATTAAACCAAACGTCTTCTATTAGGTGGAAACACAATACAAAGAGGTGGACGAAAAAGTTTATTTCGTGAATAAATCAGTGACCGATCTGATGACGTCACCGGAGAACATGTCCTCATTCTTATCTTCAAACATGATCAATCCTTGGAGCATTAGTTCACAGCAAGGGCAAGTGAAAGTTATAAAGACAGAGACAAAATATGTGTATGATGGGATCAGGTCTTCTCAAAAAATGAATGTTCTTGGCATTGTGTGCTTTTCTGTGGCGTTCGGTGCAATTCTCAGTGGCATGGGTGAGACTGGGCGACCTATGACTGTATTCTTCACAGTTCTTCTGGAGGTTATCATGAGACTTGTAACGCTGATTATCTGGTAAGGCCAAATATTTCACCTCGTTTCTGTAATTTTATCAACCACTAATTTCAAGGTTATGCAACTGGTTGGACCTTCTAACCCCTAAACGAAAAATAATTTAATCTTAACTTGAATCTGAGTGACTTAAAAGTCTGGACTTAAAATCATCAGTGAATCTTTGAGTTATCAGAACTGTATCACAACCATTGTTAATTAAAATATACTATTAAGATGTCACACGACAAGAATAATACCGCTATTCCAAAGTAAAATGGTTGGAAAGAAATTTGAAAATCTTAAAATACTGATACTTTGCATAGTTTTCCCCCGATATATATTTCCTTCTACTTGAAAAAATATTTGTATGCAATATTTGCAAATAACCTAATTTTCCACATGACTATATAATATGCACGGAAAGACCATCTTGTAAGACTAACATACTGTTTCTCTTAATAGGTACTCCCCAATTGGTATTTGCAGTTTAATAGCTGGTAAAGTTGCATCAATGGAAAGTATAAGTGATGTACTTACAAAGCTTGGTCTTTACATGGCCACAGTTATTACAGGCCTTGTTATACACGGTGTTATTGTGCTACCGCTGGCCTACTTTATCTTTACACGCAAAAATCCATTTAAGTTTATACTTGGTCTAAGAGCTGCTCTTTTTACTGCGTTTGGAACCAGTTCGAGGTGGGTAAATTTATGCAGTTTTGCGAGGCTTTGGCATAACTGCGTAGTTCTTCGGCATTATTAACTCATGGTAAAAGAGAAATATTAATAAAATCTCATAGTGCATCCAAAAATGAAGATGGTCCTGATATGGTATATGTAGTTTAGGTTGTACTTTGAGAAATTTCTGCCGACTTTTTCTTTCAAAACTTCACCAGTCTAATAATCAGTTTAGGATATTATGATGTTCCGACTCATATCGCTACAACCAAACTTGTATAATGTAAATTGTCATTTTCCATTTTTATAGTTCAGCCACATTGCCAGTGACATTCAAATGCCTCGAGGAGAACAATAACATTGACCAGCGTGTCTCCAGATTTGTCCTTCCTATTGGCGCCACTGTAAACATGGATGGAACCGCGTTATATGAAGCTGTGGCTGCTATATTCATAGCGCAATTGAACAATATTGAACTATCGTTTGGAGAGATTGTTATCACTTGGTAAGATTATATATTTCTTTACGTTTTGGTTTTTCCCTGCATGATGGTTGTATGAAATACTTCCACAGAGATTTCGGAGAACATGAACATCGACCTGATTTGATAAATTGTTTTAAAGCATTACAGCAACCGCTGCATCGGTTGGAGCCGCTGGTGTTCCTCAAGCAGGCTTGGTTACTATGCTGATTGTACTACAGGCTGTTGGTCTGCCGGTCAATGACGTCAGCCTCATCGTAGCTGTTGATTGGTTCCTGTAAGTAAACCAGTATAACGTTCTTGCAATCCATATGCAGATTGCAGAAGAGCAAGGCAATAAACAGCGTGTTCCAATGTGTAAATTTTACCATAATGGTAGCATTACACTTGGTAACATGATTGTGCACATCCGGCTCATTAATTAATACAAAAGCATAATTATGAGTCTGCACTATATCTTATGCATATTGGGGTGAAAAATAATTAATAAAGTAGGATTGGTAAATTCAAGACTGGAAAAATATATGTTTATACACATTAATACGCACAATCTCCAGAGCATGCAAAACCTGGATCAAAGATCTGTAGCATTAACAGCAAAATGTCTATTGTGCATAAAATCTTGTTACTTTTTGGACTAAAAACAAAAAATTTCTTTATTAAGCTGGCCATATAAAGCTTTGGTAAATATTTTATTATAATCTTCATTAAGGAAGAATTTATGTGGGGAAGAGACATGAATGTAGTAGGCCTAGCTGGTAGTGTATGACTTCACTTGCTCTTTCTTTTCAATAGAGATCGAGTTCGAACGACCGTGAACGTCTTAGGAGACTCATTCGGGGCAGGGATTGTTCAACATCTTTCTCGTGGTGAGTTAATTGCCAGCCACAATTATACGGAAGAAGGCCTATCTAATGGTGATACCACAGCAGTGAAAGACGACCTTCAAAATGGTGAAAAACCTGGTGCAATTTATGCAAACTTCGATGATGACTCGGAAACACGTTTCTAAGTTTTGACACACGAACGATTTTACTGTACAGTGTATTCCATTATTTAAATCTACTATATTTTACTCCATTATTTTACGACTGTGCATGTTTTAACGTATTCACTAAAATATATACTGTGTGTTATCAGCGCATGAATTATTTGACAAAAAAATAATGTGACGCTAAATTAATGGAGCGGGGAGGAAGACTTAATCGCATTCAAAAGTGATTGCGGTATATGCCTTTATTTTGCCGTGTGATTTTGTAGCATTTCACTTGACTTGGTGATAGACTTATATTCGAAACAGAGATTCGACACTAATTTTAAAATTTTGGCGTTTGGCAAAAACCTGACTAGCCTCGCGTGCCTCGCAACAGTCCTCTTGCTCTTTCTCGGCTAGGTCTATCACTTGATTATTGTTATTATTCTTATTATTATATTATTTAATCATCATCATCACCTTCTTGATGAATAATGATTGATTCGTGTGCATAGTCTATAATAATAGATATATTTCATTTTATAACGGCAATTATTCTATGGTAATTACGTTGTATTTAAATAAACTAACGCAATGTAAATTCAAATATGCACTAAAATTATCACTATATATTGTATTGGTGTGGCATGAACTAAAAATATATGTATTAAATTCGCATAATTCGATTTCGTCAAGCGTGAGCTTTTAATTCCATCATTCTTTAAATCATCATCAATCGGCTATTTCAAAAGTGCAAAATTTTCGGTTACATAATTGTGATATTTGTGGTAACGATAAATCCTATATGCATTTCTCACAATTATTCTTGTTTGCACAGCGTTGAATCATTAAATATGTTTCTGTTTCTAGCCTACATCATCTAGCTAGTTCAGTTACTTTATTGTCCATTGAAAATTATTATTAACTGATTATTCTCTAAATTTATGACCAAGTTGAATTGGAATAGCGGCGAGACCATTATCTCTATAATCCTAAACCATGCAGATGAGTGTTGAAAACGTGTCTATATTTAGTAGTAGTAAACTTTCACAAAAACCCGCGCTGTAATAAAGGAATACCAAATGATTTTCCGTGCAGGATTGCGTGATCCATGCACGCGGGATGTTGCGAGACTTTCGGAAAGCGTGAAAATACACGAGCCGTAGGCGAGTGTATTTTCACGCTTTCCGAAAGTCGAGCAACATCCCAAGTGCATGGATCACGCAATCCTGCACGGAAAATCATTTGGTAATTGTTTTATAAAATAACTGTAGTGAAACAACGGTTAACTTTATTAAAATTAAATTTCGCGTGCAGGATTGTCTAAAACGCGTGCAGGATTGTCTGATCCTGCACGGCTATTGACCAATCACATTGCGTGTTTCACTATAGTTATTATATAAAGCACGTTCCTGCATGATTGGTCAATTCAATCAAAAGCATGCTTCGAAAAAAGTGTTGATTCTGTGATATGTACGTCCCTCAGTCTTCAATCTCACACACAGTTCTGACAACTCTCTCGGTAACTTTGTATGGATCTGCATTTGCAGCTGGTCGTCGATCTTCCAAATAACCTCGACCATCATCAGCGCACTGCCGTGGTATACGAATACTTGTTGCACGGTCGGCTATGCCATGACGAAATGTCTTGATATCAGCTGTTTCGTGATGTCCCGTCAAACGTCGTACGTTGTCAATGCCGTCTTTCGGATCGTATGCCTTGATATGCAAATCATGAGCATTGGCCAGTTTCTCAATAGCTTCGTATATATGATTTAGACCACCTTCCTTTCTCATTGCCAATGTACTGCGAAAAATTCAGAGCAATATAGTTAATACACGCGAGTACTAAAAGTTTAGTCATAATATAGCTCCTAATGCAACTTTTGACAATTTTCTGTGGAAATGTTTAAAGAGATTTCGGAATCTTTCTGTAAAACTCAATAAATCATGCATAAAGCTCAATGTTCATATAATTTTATATAATGCAAAACCTAATTATGCAAAACCTACATGATGTCTAGTCGTATAGTCCCTATATAATATACACTGTAACGGTTCACTGACTTGCGTTTGAACTCTGGATAATATTCTGGTTTCTTCATATATCACCTGAAATTTGTGTGTGCACCAGAACCATTCCAGTCTCCTGCGATAGGTTTTGGGTCGAAAGTAATGCAAATGCCAAAGTCCTCTGCAACGCGATGCAGAATAAATCTTGACATCCACACATGATCACCGATTTCAATTCCTTCACAGGGCCCAACTTGGTATTCCCACTACAAACAATATTGGACCATGGATGATGATAATGTATATAGTGATTTACTGAGTTTAGCAGGTAAAAGGTACGTATATACTAAACAAAATGATGGTTTTCAAGCTTATATAAAAATGGATGTTTACATGCAGCACGGCTCCATTTTCCAGTTGTTAAAGAAAAAAGAAGTAAAAATTCAAAATAAGAAAGTATTACATATAACGCAGACCTGTGATGGCATAACTTCAGCATTTGATCCGGCAATCCTAATTCCAGCATACAAACAGGCTCTATAATGTGCTTCAACCAAGTCTCTTCCTAAGACCTTACCAGTGCCAACACCACAGTAGTAAGGACCTTGTGGAGCTGGGAAACCACCATTCGGCCACCCATATGGGTGGCCACTTTCGTCCACTAAAGTATATTCTTGCTCAATTCCAAACCATGGATGTTCATCCTAGGAAGTAAAGAAATTTAGCAGATGTCAGTTAACTCATTTAATGGACGGAAAAGAAAACTGAGATTATGATGTCGAAGCTCGTATATTTATAGGCGCTATGTTCATTGTCGATAGTCACTAAGAATTATAAATTGTTATTTAATCTTGAAGTAAATTTTCTTTGTCACCGGAAGATACGCAAGGGGGTATTAATCGTATAGGCTTCAATTTAAGCCAGATTAACTCTTGTTCCAAGAATCAGGAATCTTATATGTTGACATTTTGGACTGCATGAAAGGAAGTACTATATGAGCTACTAAGGAAGTGATGAGAGAAAACAACAACACGGAACTGCATGTTGTTTGATATTTGACTTTTTTGTTTCGTATTTCGTCACTCCTTTCTTGTTTATTATTTTGTTGGTTGATGGACTGCAAGTGCATCTCGAACGTGATTCTGGTTGTAATGCAATCAGGTAAATTTCGCTGTTATAACTTGACTGAATGTGGTCATGTTAGTTATATATAGCAAAAGGCAAAGCTAGTGAAAGCGCCAGCTGGGTGGGCTATGCAGCAACATTGGTAGTGTGTCCCGATAGCGTGGTTTCAAGTAGTAAATGCATAACATCTCATTCAAACCTATTTAAGGTAGGGAATAAATCCGCAATATAACTGAGTTAGCACTTAGTTGCTTAAAACTTCGTCCATTTTTAGGAACGCAGTGTTTCTATTCTAAGACTACAGGGATTATTCTAGACTACGCATGCAGTCAATTTCAAAATGCCGAGATTTTGGCCGAACAACCTCATGATCAGTGGCGTGATTTGAGGTTGACTGCATGCGCTCAGTAACAATGAAAGAGGTTTGCCTTTGTACAGCAAAAGCCGCACGCAAGTAAAATAGAAAGAAGAATCTCAGGAGTATCCTAGGACAGAAGATACAATTTTTGTATTTTTTTATTTAAAACTTTGTAGAGGAGAGGGTGTCAATTCTAAATACCACTTTGCTACATCCTTCACTTTCACTCATATCCCCAAGTATCACGCATATTCCTTCAAATCAGACCAGGACTCTTTTCTTAACTATTCGTATTCTAATTTTTTAAATACGGACCAAAGCAGGAATTATCCTAACTAAGCACGAACACCCAAATGAGCTGTCCTGATAAAATTCATATACACAGTGTAATTAGCCACTAATAAACCACCTCAATGTGACGCGCTATCAAAATGATTGCGTAAGTAATGCATGTCGCAATACATACTCTTGTAAATAGAATTTGCTAGAGGAACATGATGGTTAAGCGATTATGATACGTAATTGACGGAATGTAATCTGAGAAAGAAATTGATATAAAAAAATCAGACTGGGGCTGGTAGCCGTGCTGTGATTGTGTCTTGTAGGATCTTAGGCGTACGCTACATCAATATCCACTAGCCTACCTTGGCTTTCTCCATAACAACTTTACAGCTTTTTCTCAAGTTGGTTGCAGTATGTTTATGGTCATGGTGGTAGGTCTCGCATAAAAGTAGTTTGTTAGGACCACGACGAAATGGGTCTCGAAATAGGGCAACTGGATGGAGATATACATCGCTGTTTGATTCATTTGCCTGGCCAGTACTACGAAAATCAATGTAAAATACAGTAGCTATATGCACAAGTTTCATGCACGGTATTATAAGAACCCAATCTGAACTCAAAAGTTAAAATTTGCTGTTCAAATCTGGGATTTAACGGTGTTGATGGCATTCGAGACATGCTCAGTGATAATACTCGCTAATTTATACTCACTAATTTATGTAAATCTTATGCGTTAATTTACTCCGTACCTTGAACCGTCAAAGTTCCAAATCGGACATTCACTTGGCTCCCTGGGCTCGAAGTCCATAGTTTTGGTTTTACATCGGAGATTTTCTCCACTCCCATCAATCCACACATACATTACTTGAACATATTTTCCCTGGTCTAAATCTAGATAGTTGCGCAAGTTTTTCGTTGCTGGTTTGTCCGACATTTTGGTTGGCTTGAAGGCGAGTACAGGAAAAGCGTGTCAGTAACTATATTAGTAGATATAGAGCAATATACATGCATTATGGACAATATACAAAATAATGGCTCGAAATAATACGAGGAATATAGAATTCCCTATGAAAACTCTATAAATATCTAGTCTAAGTCGCCTATCGAAATTTATGTTTGATTAACCTTGAACCTTACCATTGCATTTATCTCTATGACTATATGGGTATTGCAAGTCATAATCTGTTTGTTGAACAATCCATGCATGTATACTCACTTTTCAGAAATTCTCTCGTTGCCTGGAAATCCTTTCCACTTCTAGATCTGGATGGCTCAGGTGACGGTGACCCGACTCACCCGAGGCCGGTAGTTCAGTGCCTTTTATAACGAGCGAACACTTGAAATCAGATGTCCTACATGATACCATATTTGTCACATGCATCTGTGCAGGAATTCAACCATCACCTGATCACCTCTGATCACGTGCTAGAAAATTGATCCTTGCATGTTTGCACGCCCAGACATGTTTTTTAACGGTTCGACTGCCCAGAGAGACGTAACTGTCAAGGATATCAGCATTGCATCAAATCGTAGATATATACTAACAGCGTTAAATTTATGAAGTATACAGTAGGATTTTTCATCATTATTTAGCCATTTGGGACAACTATTTTTTCCAGTCCAGTCATATTTCGTAATATGCCACCTGATCACGTGCTAGAAAATTGATCCTTGCATGTTTGCACGACCAGACATGTTTTTCAACGGATTGACTACCCAAAGAGACGTAATGACAACTGTAAAGGATATCAGCATGACTGCATCATTGCATCACATCGTAGATATATATTTACAGCGTTGAATTTATGAAGTGTGCAGTAGGATTTTGCATCATTTTCGGCGATTTGGGACAACTGTTTTTAGGCGACTAGTGATATCTAGCTTGTCGTGAGGTAACCGTAAACCTCGTGATAGCCGTATCTTAGCACAACAGGAAAGACCAATATGTGAACAGAATTTAGCGATCGTGTTTCTTTTCTATTTTTGAAAGACGTGAGATAAGGCCACTTTTATGATTACGAATAAAGTAAATAAAAAATGTGATGCAAGTCATGTGACTCACAACAATGTTGCACCGTGGTTGCATGCATGGAATAAGGTTCAGCCTTGTTGCCACCTTCCCCTCAAAGAGAAATGGAAAGGCGTAAGCAATTTTACGAACTACTAGAGTGCCTTCTTCTTGCCTCTGTAATTTAAGCTTTAATTAAGCTAGAGTTTGAAAGGGTCTTAATTTCGAGTGGAATTATACACTCTTCAAATTCCAGCCAGGAGCAGTTGCTAAAAAAAAAAAATCAGTCCTCCGGCAGGAATCGAGCCTACGCTTTTGGGATGCCGGTGCAATGCTCTTACACTTTGAAGTGTGTATAATTCCACTCGAAATTAAGACCCTTTCAACCTCTAGAATTTACATACATCGAGTGAAGGGCCAAAAATCACAATCTAAGTAAGCTAGTCTATCGCCTTCGTTAATCCTATTAACTATGGTTAATCAAACCAGTCGTGTGTAATGAAAAGTTCCCCTACGGCCTACAAACGTAGGCCTTCATAATTGCTAGGCTACCTTGTTTGAATCACATGCATGACTCTCAGTTGGATGGAAAAGCTTCAAAAGCCCCAAATGTAAGCTTCATTCACCTTAATTATCATCTCATTATCTATGGCGGTCTTGGTTTACTCGACGTCCATGTGCGAGGTTTTAATACAAGGCTTAATGCAGCTAATACATTCTTCCTGCGATTTCTGGCAGAGTCTCAACCCGATTCGATCATTAGGGGGGGGGGGGGGGAGAGGCAGAAGCCGTTTATTCGCTCCTATGCCCGAATGATTTTGAAAGCAGTTTTCATGGTATGTAAACACCCCCGGTTTCTGACAGATGACAACGTGTTATTATTACCAACCCACTCGATCTCATCTATCAAAAGAAGATTATCGGACGTAAAATGGGGGCAAAAATTGTATGTAAACGGGCCTAAATAGCTGAAAGACAGAACGAGCGTCGAACGACATAAGTATACAGCATACATTTGTCTTCGCAAGCCTCGGAGAAAAATTAATGCTTATCGTCTTCCCTCAACAAGGCTAAATACAAAGACTACATGAGGTTGGGACTACATGGCCCAATCGCTAGTATATACGCTTGTATATGTAGATTCATTCACAATATGAAATTTATTTTATGTTACTATTTTAGCACCATGCATGCAGTATTTAATTTAGCAATAAACCAACGACAGCTTTCATTGAGCTGATGCATGTACATCTGCGCGTAAATTAAACTAGTTAAACCAGATTAAACTGGTTTTCTTCGTGCAAAACAGATACGGACGAAGCGCTGATAAAACATGAACTGAATAGAAAAACGAAAATATAGGCTCTGCCCGCATGGTAAGAGTCTTATTATCAAAAAATATTTTCATATGCAATTCATCAGTTTTATCTATATCATGACGTTATAACTATTGGTAACATTGAAGGAGGGTCAAGAATGTTTTGATGGCAAATATTTGTTCCGTCAACATCATAACGAGAACATCTGCATCTTCCGGAAGTTTCTTAACAATTCGCGACATTAACTGATATTAGTGATAAAGGCTTCAAACGAAGATATTAACTATGCATGAGCACCTCACGGGCCAATAACTATATTTTATCGAATGAAAAGCGGACTATAGCATCTATGATAAGGCATTGCAAACAAATTAAAACTCGACGTAATGAGTTATAACTTAAAAGGTTAGCCTGAAGTCCAACAAATTGAGTATTTCAACTGACTATAGAACACATTTACATCAACAGCTGCCTAGAAGATGGCTCTCAAAGACAAACGTTGTCTACAATGGTTGCGGCAAAATCTTCTCCTGTTTCTTATAATGGTCGGAGTTTGTGCAGGTTTCATTGTCGGGATTCTGGTCAACGATAGCGTTCAGAAATCGACAGATCCAACTCCAAAAGAAGTGGCCATGTACATATCGTTTCCAGGAGAAATTTTTATTCGTATGTTGAAAATGATAATACTGCCTCTCATTGTGTCGAGTATTGTTGTCGCGGTCGCAGTTTTGGATAACAAGTCAACGGGAAAGCTCGGGAAACGAGCTATTATTTACTATATGTCAACTACAGTTCTCGCTGTTATTCTTGGTATTATCCTGGTGTCCTCCATCAAACCTGGGGCAACGAAATTTGCTGGAGAACCTAAAGAACAGCAGCACGTTGAAGCCGTGCATTCTATATTTGACTTGATCAGGTACCTGCTGTTATCGTCTGTGATTTATAAATTTGTAAAGCCTAAAGGTCAAATGATTCACGTGTCTATGTTTGCTGATGAAAATATTCGAAATAATTCACTTGTTTAGCTTTTGCATGGTTAATAACTGACATCGACGAGAGCCATTGCGCGGGTTTTGCAGGGGCGCGGAATTTTATCTCGGTCATGTTGGCAGGCAAGAAAGACAAAACACTATCTATATACACATGTCGAATGCAAATTGCAATTGTACTAAAGAGTGTAACCGAGATGTAAACAACTTATCCCCATATACATAGTGTCGATTTACAATAATATAGTATTCGGTAGATTCCCTCCTCCGCATAACCTGAATGAATCGTTTCCAGTCATTAGCGGCATTATGAATGGGGTCTTTTTATCTCAAAATTTACATTACAAAACCGCCAGATGCATCCATATGTTGAAGTCACACCTACAAATAGGACGTAGTGTCGACATACACACACATGCATACGCATTTTATATATACATGCATCATGCATGCACAACTGCACGAGCAAGGTGCGCAGACCCGGCGAGCGCCGAGTGCTCCATGGTATACAGAAGGGTCTTTCTAACTTTAGACCGAACGAGGTTAACAGGTTCCAAAAATAGTTTATATTATCATGTGCGCGAATGCGGGCATTTTAGTTGAACAAAATGTTTGACAGGAACTGAGCCAGAGAACGAACTTTTGTTCGCTCACTTTCCACTTGCAAAAACTCGGCAGACCATTTATATCGCTTGTTTCAACATGGCTGTGATATTAGCATGCACTCGCATGCATTCGCATTTTTCCTTACGAGCATTTATACCACATTTAGAAATAATTTATTGCAAAAGAATATTGACCGGTCAATACGCAGCCGATCGGCAGCCAATCAGCGTGCACCATTGATCTTTCCCATGTAAAGCCGGTTTTCCACTAGTAATATTTTTCGTGCAAAGCGACATTTTACTTTTGTTCCAGTGCTTTCAACTGCAACCATCTGGAACAAATTGCTCAAATACTAAGGAATAAAGTCGCTTCGCGCAAAAAATATCGCTCGTGGAAAACCGGCTTAATATCGTTATTTACTACACCATTTAAAGGCGGCGTTGCACTATGTGACCTTCCGGGCAACGCAATTCTACTCCTGAGAGATCTAAAATTATCAAATACGAACATTTCGCGGTCTACCAACCTTTTTTTAGCATTTTGAGCACTATTTACAAATTAACATCCCTCAAAATTATAATTGCATTGCATGTTACAAGGAAACTTTTATTGCACCTTGTAACAGCGCCTTCATTTAACTAATTGAAGTTTGTTTTTTTGTAGAAATTGTTTTCCCGATAATATTGTCGGCGCTACCTTTCAATCTGTAAGTGCTTTTGCAATATATAAGTATAATATTATAATAATTTTATCATTTCAGTTTTAATGACTTTTTTAATTTGCTGTTTTCTTTTATAGACCTCCACGAAATATAAAAAGATTCCTACGGGATATAAATTTACTAATAAATCTGCACATGACTACAAAAACTCTGCGAAAAACCTGAGTAAATTGTTAAGAAATGGCTTTCTAAATCCATGGACTATTTCACACAAGAAAGATGTATTCCAGATGATCGAAGAGTCGGGATCAAAGTATGAATACGATGGCCTCATGTTAGATGATCGGTTGAATATCATCGGAATTCTGGTATTCTCAATTGCATTTGGTGTAATTTTAAGCAAAATGGGTGAAAAAGGAAGACCAATGACTGAATGGTTTAGCATATTGTTGGAAGTAACGATGAAGCTGGTGGAAATTATCATGTGGTAATTACAATACCAGCGTCTTCAAACAACTTAGCATCAAATGTGGTATAACAACTGCCTACAATAGACAAAACACTTCTTGACGTTTCGACCCGAGGGCCCTCCGGTCGAAACGTCGAGAAGTGTTTTGTCTATTTTAGGCAGTTGTTATACCACATTTGATGCTAAGTCGTAACGCTGATAGCCTTGGATTCATTTGTTAATTTAGTTGCATGGTATACTATATTCACGGGTTTATTTCTTATCAAGGTTCAATTCTACACAAACTCCCGGTTATTTTCACGCCAGACCAAGTAATAAAGCGCGCGGGTATATTATTATATACAACAAATCGTCATCGAGGTTATTTTCAGGGGGGGGGACTGGGCACCTTACTTTCCATTTAGACCAAAGTTTGTTTTAGGTTTCTACATTCAGTTGATTTTTTTTAATTCAATTGACTGCCGATACAAAGTAGCTACATGCATGCTCGACTCACAAAACATGGTTCTTCTCGACTCTTTGACGGCTAACATAGTACAAATTATCAACTTTTTTATAGGCTTTCGCCAATTGGTATATGTAGTTTAATTGCAGGCAAGTTGGCTGCAATGAAGAATATCCAGGAAAATTTAGAAAGCTTGGGATTGTACATGCTGACTGTCATAATTGGACTTTTAATTCATGCTTTTATCACTCTCCCGGTTATTTACTTTGTCATCGTCAGGAAGAACCCTCTTCGGTTCTTTCTTGGAATGGGAAGTGCTTTACTAACTGCATTTGGAACATCCTCAAGGTTTGTACTAACAGCTTATATCTCTCATGCACGCGTTCCCAGTTATAGCTGTTGAATTAGCCGTTTATTATACGCCATGCTGCATGCATGTAATAGACTTCAAAAATCGTTCTCTCATATCGTGACTAATCATGACATGATCAACAATATCAGGGTCAACAATACTTCACTTAACACGGTATTTTCCCACAGCGCTGCAACGATGCCGGAAACCCTAAGATGTCTTGAACACAAAAACAACATCGATTCACGAGTTGCACAGTTCGTGATTCCTATTGGAGCGACCGTCAATATGGATGGAACGGCTCTTTACGAAGCTGTAGCGCCAATATTTATAGCTCAGCGCCATTATGGTGGCTCGATTGATTTTGGAAAGACACTTCTTGTGTGGTTAGTACTCGATTGCTCATGTATATGTGTTGTTTCATATGTTCCGATGTGTCTACCAGGTATATGGGGGTAGCTATAGACTGGATTAAAATTGATCTGACCTTCAAAACGGCACATTTTGTACAGGAGAGTTTTCTTTTTTGGAAAAGCATTATATAATACTGCATGTATATCATTTTATATAGCTGTAAGTAGTACCCATAAGGTATTGGTTAACATGCTGTAGCCCGTATTGTTGTTGATATCTACTTTTTCTCATTAAGTATAACAGCAACAATTGCGTCTATTGGAGCTGCTGGTATACCATCCGCTGGCCTTGTTACTATGATTCTGGTGTTGCAAGCAGTTGGTCTTCCGGCAGATGACATTGCTCTGATTGTTGCAGTGGATTGGTTTCTGTAAGTTTTTAATTCGCCTGAACAGATTGCTTGCAAACGAGAAAGTCTATCATTCTGAATATCAATTGGTATGGATATTGTCAGCTTTATAAGTATTTGCAAAACGTTTCTTTAGGGACCGCATTCGGACTGCTGTTAATGTTTGGGGTGATTCTTTGGGAGCGGCTATTGTTGAACATCTTTCACGCAAAGATCTTCTTAGTTCGGACTATGGGATTGAATCTCCTCCATCTGCCGTGGATCAAGCAAAGCACGAAGAGGAAGAGGCTATTCCACTCGAGAATGCTACAGATGAGTTCACATATTTGTAACCGCATGTTCATACGACATCGATAAATATGAAAGCGTTATACTGTTACAGACAGTGGATGTTCAATAAAATTTTACTTTATTTACAAGGCTTATAATAAAACATGTTAAGATAATACTTTTGTTCAGTAAGTACATACTGTGTGAACTGTTGGATACAACCTTACAGGTTTTGTCTGGTTTTCAGTGGTCGTTGGTGTGAACATGAATTTTTCGAACTGTATACGATGTACCGCCCTGGCATTTATATTAATCTTGTTTCAAGAATGATGATTTTTTTTTGTAATAATTTACTATACATATATACGAGCGTGTAAAGTAAACAGAATATTATAATTAAACGTATATTCAACAAGAATATCAATAAAGAAATTACATGAATGGGAACAAAAAGGTTGTATCTATATGAGGTGTGATCAGTTTTTGTATGAAATTACATTTTTTAAAAATGAAAAATTTTTTGCGTATAATTAAAACGGAACAATTAATTTCAGCGCAGTGGAGAGGACACCTGCAGAAGCTGGCGCTGTGCTAAAAATGAATTTCTCTCAAAACATCTCATAAAATATTAACTTCTGCTTCTAACTGAATCCCAAATTTTAATTCTACATCTCGCATAATTTTATATGCCAACTCTTGAATAGCTTTTCCACTTGCACCACCATAATTTACCAATACTAAGGCGTGGCGTTTGTAAACGCCATATTTCTCTTCAAAGGTAGTTCCTTTCCATCCTGCCTTCTCTATCAACCATCCTGCAGGAACTAAGACATTGGTGTCGTCAACGGAGCGGGATATCATTTCAGGATATTTCTCTTTAGCCTTTTCAAACTTCGCAATGGAAATAATTGGATTTTTAAAAAATGAACCCGCATTTCCAATTTCCGCAGGATTGGGCAATCGAGATTGCCTAATCTGAATTACTGCCTTTGAGATGTCTTTAATTGTAGGGACTTTCACATTATTTTGAGACAACTGATCTTCAATGGAGCCATAAGAAGTATTTAGCTTATGATTCTTTTTAGATAATCTATAGAATACGCTTGTAATCACATAACGTCCTTTCCCAGAGCCTTTAAAGTAACTATCTCTATAACTAAAATCACATTGATCTGCAACAAACTCTTCTACTTTCTTTGTTGTTATGTTTAAAGCTTCTAGCTTTTCAAACACATCTTTTTGTTCTACTCCATAAGCACCTACATTCTGGATAGGAGCTGCTCCTACTGTTCCAGGTATTAATGACATATTTTCTACTCCTCCAAAATCATTATCAATGCAATAAAGTACAAATTCATTCCATACTTCTCCTCCACCAATTTTCAAAACTATTTCATCTTCACTCTCATCGACTGTTTCTATTCCTTTAATGTTATTTTTGAAAACATACCCTTCGTAATCATGAGTAAAAAGAATGTTACTTCCTTCACCTAGAATTACAAAATTATCGTCCACGGTGACTTGATCCAACAATTGAATTAATTCTTGTGATGATTTAAAAACTGAAAAGAATTTAGCATTCACATCCACCCCAAAGGTATTCAATTCTTTCAGCGAGTACATTTTTAGAATCTCCATTATGCAAACAATTCTTTTGTTCCTGATATTTAAATGCTAATTACTCTTCTAATCTCAGGTAAAATGTTTTTTTGTCCACCTAAAATAAATTATTATCAGTGCCTGTTTCAATCTATCACTGGGACTATTCCTCTCTGATGAGAGGGTAGATATTTGCTATATTGCAGGATGCAGGTGCATAGTTTAATTGGTAAAATGATTTGAATCAGGATGTGTCCAAATTGGCAAAATGTTTAAGTATCAATACCATTAATCCCTAATTGTACAACCTCACATTATTATATTAGTTTATATATAGTAATTGTATCTATACTGATCAATATGTATGACCAACTGTATCTTTACTGATCAATATGTATGACCAACTGTATCTATACTGATCGATCAATATGTATGACCAATTTTATCTTTACTGATTGATCAACATGTATGACCAATTGTATCTATACTGATCAACATGTATGACCAATTGTATTTATACTGATCAATATGTATGACCAATTTTATCTATACTGATCGATCAACATGTATGACCAATTGTATTTATACTGATTAATATGTATGACCAATTATATTTATACTGATCAATATGTATGACCAATTGTATCTATACTGATCTACTGGTTCGTAATTTTCTATGAAAACATCATAATTCCTCAAGTTAGACCTAGATGTATGCTGCCATGGGATTTCCATGGAATATTTATTCTATATATAAATATAATAAATGCTTTGGTGCAATGGAATACTGTACTCCTGTCAACCAATCAGCATCCAGTAATTTTATTTTTCTAATAATAAAATCTTCTATCAGAACATGAGACTATATTCTAATAATGAGGATAAATATCTCAATTTCTGAAAAAGAATCTTGAATAATTCAAGTACATACATACTATTGGAGTTGATATTTCATGCTAAAAGGTTATACTTAGTTTTGAGCTTTTATATCAATTATGCACGCAAATAAACATGTTATTTATAAGGAAATGTCAAGAAATTACAACAAAGACAACAAGTCCTCTTAAACACAATTAAACCAAACTTCTAACATTGTAACAATAATTTCCTCAGCAATTTTACATGTACAACAATACATGATGCAGTGGTATGCATCTGTGCCACTGGACACAACAGTAGGTACAGGTACATTAAGTAGGGTTTAGGAGTTAGAAACTTGGACCAAACGTACCATTAATAGTGCACCGGCTGTACCCCTACCAAAAAATCCATGACAATATAAGAGCTCAAGACATATGATCCGCAATTGGTATGTGTTTGTAATAGAGTTTTTCCATACTGAGGTTTTTCATACCTTATTTTATAGAATAAAAACATTTTAACATTTTTGCTTTCATTTTCAATTTCAAGTACAATTTCGGCGTTGCTAGTTTAACAATCGCAGTTCGCGTTAATTTTACACAATGGACCTAAAATTAAACAGATCGAGGTTCGTAGTACGTACCTGTTCAAGTTTTCACGCATGGAAATTCGATGTAGACAGTCATTTTAACACTTCACCGAAGCACAGAGGGCATACTGGACAAAAGCTAAGCCTAAGTTCGCTAACCTCGCCAGAAGAACCTGGGGATTAGGTTACAGGTTACAGGCAGTGGTTACAGGGATACAGAAAAAGCCTCGATCTGCTGCGCCTCTGCTGAGCACAGGAAGAGAGTGATCTCGTATTTGAAGTGAAAACTTCACCAATGGCAATGTTACCAGTTACTATATGTCCATAGACCTGTTGTGGGTAGCACAAACGAACGGGTAATTTTGAAAACAATCCATGCATCAACAGATATTGGATAATTCCTGCAGGACCTGCAAATACTCAATGGCCATGTCTAAATAATACTATAATAATATATTTGTCATGAAAAGTATGTTTCAGTATTGACATTGACACAGCATTGCATTGTAAAATCGCTTTATTTGCGTTTGCCGTTTGGATGACCACTTGCAGCACCGTCAGACTAACGGTGCATGAATGAATTTCTCTCAAAACATCTCATACAATGTTGACTTCTGCTTCTAACTGAATCCCAAATTTTAATTCTACATCTCGCATAATTTTAAATGCCAACTCTTGGATAGCTTTTCCACTAGCACCACCATAATTTACCAATACTAAGGCGTGATATTTGTAAACACCATATTTCTCTTCAAAGGTAGTTCCTTTCCATCCTGCCTTCTCTATTAACCATGCCGCAGGAACTAAGACTTTGGTGTCGTCAACGGGGTGGGATATGATTTCAGGATATTTTTCTTTAGTTGTTTCAAATTGCTCCATAGAAATTATTGGATTTTTGAAAAACGAACCTGAATTTCCGATTTTTGCTGGATTTGGAAATTTGGATTGCCGAATCTGAACTACTGCCTTTGAAATATCTTCAATTGTGGGGACATCCACTTTGTTTTGCAACAACTGGTTTTTGATCGCACTGTTGGAAGTATACTTCATCTTATGATTCCTTTTCGATAGTCTATAGTACACATTTGTAATCACATAACGTCCTTTGCCGTGACGTTTAAAGAAACTATCTCTATAACTAAAATCACATTGATCAGCATCAAACTCTTCTACTTTCTTTGTTGCTATGTTTAAAGCCTCTAGCTTTTCAAACACATCTTTCTGTTCTACTCCAAATGCACCGATGTTTTGGACAGGAGCTGCTCCTACTGTTCCAGGTATTAATGACATATTTTCTACTCCTCCAAAATTATTTTCAATGCAGTAAAACACGAATTTGTGCCATAACTCTCCTGCGCCAATTCTCAAAACAACCTCATCTTCATTCTCGTATATTTTTCCTATTCCTTTGATGTCATTTTTCAAAACATAGCCTTCATAATTTTGCGTAAAAAGAATATTACTTCCTTCACCCAAAATTAACAGTTTATGATCAAACAATACCTCATCCAACAATTTAATCAATTCTTCTGATGTTTTGAAAACAGAAAAGAACTTCGCATTTACATCTACACCAAAGGTGTTCAATTCTTTAAGCGTATATGTTTGATGAATCTCCATTTGGTATAAATTCTTTTTTCTTTTTCAGATTCCAGTACAGTTGTTCTTCAGCGATTGAATTTCAAGAATTGTAGTTTGCGTCGTCTGCCTAAAATTAAATATAATCTTTAAGTACGTAATCTTTAAGAGGATAAATATACCAAATATTTTTATAGTATTTTAATTTTATTTTTTAATCACATCCCCCAATGAATGAAGAAAATTGGAATTCTAGCCCCCCCCCCTTTTTTTTGCTAGCCCACTCCCGGTCATAAATATTGAACATTTCTATAGCAGAATTAATTTGAGTTCAACTGTTCAACATTAGTAGAAAAATGAAGTAACAAGATGTAGTTTGCACGTGGTACCGAAACAACGCAGGCTCATATAGCTATCGAAATTGGGTCTTGGAAGTATCAATACTTTTCCCAGTATCGGCAGTATTGAGTAGTATTGAGTAGTATTGAATAGTATTGACTACTTTATAAGTTAGAATTGGTATCGGCTCATTTCTAGAGCGGTAAATTAAAGTGTCCCATGCCAAGATTAACGCAGCGATATTGATTGTTTCTGTTGTTTGCGTTTGCATAGCCATGGGCAACATTATGTGGTAAACTGTAAACATAATCTCGGACACGTATGAGAACAAATATTTAATTTACAAAACGTCGATAATTAATTCGAAGATGTAGAGTAAAATTTTGTTTAACCAGCAAACATTGTAAATAGGCAAAATCAAATTAAATTATGTAAAATTTATTAGATACTGAATTGAACCGAGTTGTAGATTTGCATGGCGATTCCGAAATAGGAAATATCTTAAAGAAGTATAGCTACTACAATATTAACTGTGATTTAATTTTATACATGCAAGTCTTACCGTGGGGTCGCAATTTACATGTATTCTTTGCTCAGTAATTCCTTTCACATCCAGATCCGAATTTGTAACAGTACAAAGCCCTACTAATAGACCTTTTTCATAATGACGTCAAACGCGGAAAGTCTGATGTTACACGAAGTTTGATTGGCTCGATAGTTTTGTTAAGCCAATTAAATTTCGTGTAACATCAGACTCTCCACGTTTGACGTCATTATAAGAAAGGTCTATTAAAGTAAGTTATTTGTTTCCAAATTCCAAGTAACCTTGTAACCCAACTCTTTCGCTTACTATGAAACGTTATCCTGCGAAATAGTAATTAGTTTTCCTAGCATTCCTACTTCTTGGAAGCCTTCTCCGCAGGTCAGAGCTAGTCGTTCCTAATTTTTAATCGCTAGAAGCTTAATTGAGGTAGCTTGTGTATATATTCCGATATGTTCGTCTTGTATAAATCCTTCAATTAAGCCTGAATGAGTTAATTAAACAAAACAGTGATAATAGTCAGTACAATACGTTATGTTTACAACGGGGATTGGGAATCACCTGTAACCTGTAAGTGGCTAAGAGCTACTTAAGCCTACTTTAGTCTTGGGATGGGATAAATTGCGGATGTGGACAGATGTTGAGGGATAGGCGGAAGAACGGACAAAAGAATAAAATGCGGATTGCGGACAAAAAGAATAATTGCGGATTGCAGACGAAAAGCGTAACCGCCATATCCTAAGAGAAAAAGGGGCACTAAACTTCTCAAACTAGATTTGGGATAGTCCATCAGAAGCTGAGTCGTTGTTGAGCTCTGACAGCGTCCCTGCACCAGAAAAATATAGCAAAACTGCATTCATCGTTCAAGAATGCCCACGAAATAATAAAATTTGCTACAAAAATTCGAAAAATTGCCTTTACTTTTTGATATTTGCATACTCACATGAATTCTCGCAGACGAGAGTGAAAAAAATTTTCACAAAGATTTCACAAACTATATCATAACAAATTTGGCAATATAGAATAACATTGTAAGTTTTGTCTTCATAGATTTGCACTATTTCATGTACACTCGCTGTTGTCACTATTGTACTTGTCAGAGCACCACGCTTGTTTCAAGAATGTCTGCGGACTGCGGGGGTCTGTCCTGTCGTGCGTTAATTACATTAGCCACGCAAGTAGCAACAAGCTTATGAATTTCATCATTAATAAGTTCAATCTTTCGACCGAAGAGTGTACTGAATAACTAAATTGGTTTGCCAAAATCAGACGATCATGGTAAGGTGGGGAACATTTAGGCCACAGCTTGTTTTTGCTAGTATAAATGTTCAATTGTATAATGTAAAGTTGGAAGCGTTTCAATGTTGTAAAGTTCATTCGTTTTGGTAAAAAGCTAATAAGGTGCTCAAAAGTTGGCCCCAAAAAAGATGCTTTAAGCTACTCAACCGACTGAAAAAAGTTGCTTCAAAAGCCAACTGACTTGAATGCATGTGTAACGCATTTCCGTGAACCTTGTCGTCAAATTAGTTGTGATACGCGATACAAACGTATATAGCTGGAAACCAATTCTTTTTAACTCTCTGGGTACCTGGTAATACTATGTAGACAATATAACTCATATAAGATCTATGAATCATGATAAATATCGAACTCGCAATATTATACGTGACCTTATTTATAGGCCTAACGTTTTTTCCAGCCGTGCATGCATAATTACTGACTTTAAACCAGTAAAAAAAATTAAGAGCACAATACTGAACAATCATGACGTAAAAATAATACTGGATGACGCGAGTGGCCCTTAGGGGGCCACCAATTAAATGCTTCGATCGTGATCAGGCAACCCAGCAAATACAAGTGCGCTTGTCACATGCGTAATTATTACTCCGGCGTCAGCGACGGAGTTGAAAATTCGCCCCGGTTTTGTTTTGTTTTTGTTGGTTTTTTTTTTTTTTATTTTTTTTTTTATTATTTTTCGTCGTCGCAAGTCTGTAATGGCGCGAAATATACTAGTATTTGAATAGTGTATGTGATCGTATTTATCTACGTCCCAGTCTTATCTCCCAAGAGTTGTGGTGCACAGCTTTGGCTAATTTTCCAATGCGCGATTCGATTTCGCTCGCATGATATGGCAATTCCTCCAAGAGGAACAAATAAACCGTTCTTTTTATGCTGTTCGATTAAGTTTAGATTGAATTGGGGTAAGAATATATTTAATACATGTAGACTCGGTCCTATTTTAATAATATCGCTGCTATTTCGCCGTTTAACAAGATGATGTGGTCGTGTATGGGCGCGTTGACACGTCGCGTAGTTTGCACAGGATCGAAGATTTAATACAACTATATATAAGCGCGAATTCCAAAGGCAAAGTGTAAGACGAAGCGAATGTATCATGCGGTTTATTTACATTTTTGAACAATTGAACTTCTATACTGCGATGTGCTTCTGAATTTTGCGATCGAACATTTAGGTTCGCAAGGCATCTAAATGCGAATATGTATGCGAAACAATACGCGAACTGTATTGTTTATGTTCAGAAGCTCTATATTGAAGACTGGCACGTGCGCCGGAGTTAACGCCAGAACGGCGTCTTGTTGCTTTTAATCTGGATTTCAGTTCAGTCGCTCAGTAGATCTAGGAAATTTAGAATCCTTTTGAAAGCAAATCAGTAAACATAAAGAGGAAAACCTTACGCTGGGAATACACAACAGTTCAAGAAAGAATATTATTTACGCAGAGCGCCTGATTATATATGGGTATGTCGAAGTCGTTCTTCAAAGTTCTGCGTGATAACGTTTTGTTTCTCTTCTTATTTCTGGGGGCAGTTTTGGGAATTTTTCTTGGAATATTCCTCAACGATGAAGTTCAACAATCATCGGAATCAAGAAAACTTGCAATGTTAATTGGTTTTCCAGGGGAATTATTCCTGCGAATGTTGATGTTTGTAGTTTTACCGTTCATTTCATCGAGCATTATAACTTCTCTAACAAAGATTGACAAAAATGCCGTAAGACAACTTGGAAAGCGTGCAGTAATCTACTACCTGGTCACAACTCTGATCGCAACCAGCCTGTCTGTTGTTTTGGGTGCACTCATTATAAAACCACAAACTCATGAATATAGAATTGACCAGACAGCCAATACGAGACCTATCTACGCTATATTGGATATGATTAGGTGAGTAGCGTATATGAGCTGAAGTAAATTAGTTTTAGACTTAACCCTGCGAAGGCATGCAAATATACTGCTGTTGTCCAGGGTCGAGTTGTTCAAAGCTAGGTTAGCGCTAACCTAGCTTTGAACAACCGGCGCCAGTGTAGATCATGGTAAAGCAATTATGCTATCATATATCAATTATAATCACATTGTTATGGCTAATTGTGATGTCGTGCATGACCATAAATATATGGTTATAAAAGCTCAATTTTCAAGCACAATTGCATACGGCTGAATATGTTATTAACATTTACTTTCCAGTGAGTACGACATACAACAACAGATTAAGACCGGCGTTTGAACAATGTCGAACAAGATAATTCAACTTTCGACAAGGAAATGATGTTGCTATACTTTGCATGCATATTGTTTCCTATATTTAACAAATGTAAAACATTTTAATATTTTTTAGGAACATGGTCCCTGACAACATTATCGAAGCAAGTATTTCATCTGTGAGTGCACACTTAACATTTTGTATATCAAATTACATAACACTCCTTACATGCATGCCGAAGCTTTTTAAAACGCTGACAAAAACGCTTTTGTACTTTGAGACCAAAGTGGATTAGCAAATTGGGAAATTCTGATATGAAGCAGTGGAGAAAATATATATAATAACTGCTACAATATTTTTATTATTTTATGCATAATTTGATGCGTAAACGTCGATCCTGGACGTACCCATTGCTTACTAGGGTTGCAACTGCACATCTATTCATCCGTGCTCTATCCTAAATTTTTATAGTATATCTTAGCCTAACTATAGACAAGGTCGCTGGAGCATTATAAAGGCGAAGTACCCCCCGATAGATTTTTGGGAAAGAACACTTCTAATTCACCGTTGCATACCATAGTCACATAGTACATACAAAGAGAGTTTAGTTACAGAACACTACTGAAGACAAGCTTCAAATTTTTTCTACCTGGCTTAGGGTCTGTTTACCTCAGCCTGTTTATCCGAAATCCAACGAAACCTGAGATGATTTTAATGATATGATCTAATTAGATGATGATATGAAGTGATAGTCTTAATGAAACATAACAAGCACATGTACGTTATTGTCGAGACGAATATATTTTGCGGTTCGTTCAATCTTGGCTAAGCGGCAGAATCATGCCGTAACTTGTAAACAATTCAATTCTTAAATTGTTAGAGGTACCTGGTGGTATGCGGAGTAGATGTTCTCCACCAGACCGCAATCCCGATTCCCGCGCTGTTTTCAGTGTTTTGATCTCGATCACGTTACTGCGTTCATAGGTCTTTGGATTGTCTTTACATTGCTGATTCAAGGAGATGAAGGGGGGGGGTTAGAGGTTGCCGCTGTTTACAAGCAGAAAGAATCAGAATATTATAACAAGGCCAATTACTTTAAACATCTTTAAATATTTTTATTTAGTGATGCATGTTAACCGAACCTCTAGACGAAAAAACGAATTTGTTTACATGTACATTTTTTACAAACGTAAACAAATATCTCGATGATTTGTTTCACGAAAGAAAAAGTTAAACACGGTTCACTCAGTGTCAGTGACGTAGCCCGACATCATGCTTTGCATCTTGGCGCCACTGACGCTTTTATACAACCTAGTTTGAACTTTGAACCTAGTTTTTGAAGATCGAACGAAAAATTGATAAATTGACGATTGAAAGAAAAATAAATCAAGCGAAAAATTTCGTTTTGTCGAAAAATTCTGCTTAGTGGAAACCAGTGTTAATAGTTCGACGCGACTAATCAGAAGCTAGTATTTTCAATAACATACCTTAATTTAGTCACGTATACGTGACTCACGTACCTTAATAATAAATATTATTACTAGGCGTTCTTATCAGAAGGAAAAATTGCTGCCGAGATCTGAATTAAAAATCTTTACAATATAACCAGGGAGCAGCGTGGAAGCGTCTTCAAACAACTTAGCATCAAATGTTGTATAACAACTGCCTAAAATAGACCAAACACTTCTCAAAAGTGCTAAGTTAAAAATCTTTATTTAAATGTTCAGATGAATTTTACGGATAACAGTTTTATTCAGAAACAAGGGCAACAGTGTGACATTAATGAGGGCACAATAACAAGATTCATTAACATAACTTAACTTAACTGGAGTGGAAAAAGAACCAGCAGCATTCAGTTAATCATACTTGATTATATATGATTATAAGGAAAACTTTGATATGTAAACATTTGAACAAATATATAATTTATTACCAAATATAACAAATTCAATATAACAACTATAAAACTGCTATTGGCAAGATGAAACTGACTAAGAAGTTACAGATCTATGATGCCTAAGTATTAATTGATAAGCTTTCCTGATATTCAATAGAGTAACAATATATATGTAGATATATCCCCGCTAACTCAAACTCTCAAGAAAAACTGTTCGAGTTATCGGGGGTTTGAGTTAACCAGGGTTGGTGTCAGATTATGTTTATATTTACATACATGACAGGCTGAGGTGAAAGTTAATCATACTTTCTACATTCTATTAATGTAGTAAATTTGGGCATAATTTAATTTACATTTTCTAAACACTTTGATTCGTTTTGTAATTACTGTAGTTTACTCTGTTATTTTTGTTTCATGTCCATTGATGCATTGAAGGTAACAAGGTATACACCATGCACCTTTATTTAACTAAGGTCTGCATATATCATAGGTCAAACTTGCTCTAATTCAGCCTGGCAAACATTAATTGCAGTACCTGGTAACATTATGTGAATTGCACATGATTTTATTATCTAGACATCTACAAATATTGAGGAAAGATATCATTCATAAAATACTGGTGGATTCATAAAATATGTACGATTACCCTCTCATGCTTTACTGACACTGTTTGTGTCTCAACTCTCAAATATTGGTGTCTGTAATTTGTAAATACTATTTACTCTCTCAGACTCTCAATGGGACTTGCCACATAAAATTGTGTTCAGTTGTCTCTAACATGTACAATGATTGGGCTAATCCTTTGTGTCCCTCCAGTATATGTTGAGCCTCATGGGCTAAGTCATGCTGATGACTTTAGGGTTTTAAAAAACGGGCAGATCAGCTATCTGTAGTTGTTATGACAAAACACAGCCGATATGGCGACTTAATTGAACATAATTGTACTGGTACAGTATAGAACTAAGTGTCAGTTCAGAGCTTTTACATACATTTTCTCCCTTTGATATACTAACATACGTTGGTAAGTTTTCCACAGACAAAAAATCTACACCTGACGGTAAGACTCAGTTAAGCCCCTATTAAGAGCTGTTATGTACATTTTGTCCCCTTGTAAGTTGTAATAAGACATTATTAAATGTAATCTTCGACCACGACAATAAGGGAAAATTTCGGGCCGTAAGAAGCGCCGATAAACTCATAAAAGCACATTGTTTGCCTCTCGAGTAAATACTAAAAAGTTCATCACCTTGATGGAAATCGGCAGAAAGGAAAAAACCATACTTGGCAGTTTGCATTCGCACTCCAGCACATCGATATTGCACCAGATTGCACACGCTTTACAATTTACAAGATATAATCCGTACGTCCCCCTTTAATTTTATAAACATACGCACGCTTAATTATTCCCCCGGAACAAAAATCTTTCCGGACAGACAGAAACGAATCCAAATTTCGACAATACATAAATGCGTGCAAAAGCCTGGGTCGAGTGAACTCTGAAGAAACATCAGCACGTCCAGAATAGTGTGCTGCCTCGCTGACGCTCGGCAGCAATAATTCTTATACAAAATTCTGTTATTCATGCACAGACTCGAACAAAGCTGGAAAAGAGAGTAACAAATTTCACATTTGTAAATAAATCCGCTGTTCACCTCAAATCATCTCCTGGAAACTTGTCATCGCTCTTGAAGAAAGAAGAGATCAATCCCTGGAGTATATCTGCTGATTCTATACAAATCATCAAAGAGGGAAATGTAATCTATGAATATGTTGGTCAGGAGAAATATAACTCCGCAAATCTCTTGGGTGTTCTTGTTCTTTCAATAGTGTTTGGAATTGTATTGAATGGTCTGGGTGACAATGGAAAAGCAATAGCGGATTTCTTTAGTTGTTTGTTTCAACTTTTCATGAAGATCGTTGAAATAATAATGTGGTATGTGATATATTCCATCGGAGGCCATATTTGGCCATATTTCTATCGAAATTTACATTTCCCATGTATAATTCTATCAAGTATCAATCAGTATGCCTTTGGTATAGCGTCAATCTCTTCAGCAATTCAAAATTTTCTTCAGGTTTTCGCCTATTGGTATCACAAGTATAATTGCCGGAAAGCTGGCTGCAATGAACGATATAGGTGGAACAATGGAAAATATTGGACTATATGTTACAGCAGTATTGATAACATCCGTAATTTTTGCAGTTGTTGTCACGGGTATATATGTCATTTTACTGCGACGAAATCCTTTTAAACTTATGAGATCTATTGCTAAAGCATTGCTTACTGCTTTCGGCGTAGGCTCGAGGTGAGTAATGTAAGAAGAAAATTCTTTAGAGTTTTAAGAAACTGCATGTTTAGGTGGTATATGGATAATCTGGCGTTGAGCCTCATGAGTTCTAGGGAAATTTTATCTTCATATTTATAACCATGCAGTGATATCGTAAATAGTATATATAGCTTGGAAGGGATAACGTAATTTTTCCTTTTGCGTCGCGAGTTTACGAAAATCACGAGTGGGTGGTACCCGGCTCGAACGAATGGAAATCGTCCTATATAGGATCGTTTCTCGCGCGCGGGTGTCACGAACATGCCATAACATCAAAAATTATAGGCGTTACAAGCTCAAGCGAGATATACTTAGCTCAAGTGAACGCCTGAGCAGGCTGTCTTGCTATTTTGTTTGTTTTGTAGTATATTGTTTATTTATATATTATAAATTATATAAAAAGGATATATTTGGTATTTCAAATCTTTAATCATATAGATTTGGTACAATTACCCAAATGTAACCAGTAATCACGGCCATTTTATCTTCAAACGTAACTCATATGTCTTTCAGTGCTGCATGTTTGCCTGTGACTTTAACTTGCTTGAAAGAAAACAAAGTGGTTGATGATCGTCTAGCTCAGTTTATGCTTCCCATTGGAACAGTATTAAATGCCCCTGGGACGGCGATCACTATCGCTGTTGGTACAATGTTTGTTGTACAAACATTTCATCCTTACTTGCGCACCGTGAGTTCATGCATTCTTATCAGGTAATTTTATAAAAACATCATAGCATGACATGCAAGTCAGTCCGTTTGCGTTCTTAGATTATGTTAACCATTTATTAGCATATATGGTGCTTGCAATGGCCAATGCTGGTGTATTTTGGAAGTAATCTGCCATTATCGGTAGCATGAGCCTTTTAGTTCAACCGGAGAACTAAGAATCATTTGGAAAACCAGAGGGGGAAATGTGTTATATTTACCTTATTTGGTATATACAATTTCATCTGCATTCTATGATGGCTTGTTTGCTTTTATAACGGAATTTCAATTTGCCACCAAAAATGGCGGAAGGCAGAAAAGAAAACTATGACGTCACTCCCAAGAGCTATATTAGCAGCATGTTTTTCAGCTTGTTTGAACATCCACAATTCTATCTTCCCAGAGGAAAGAATCTATTTAATCAGTATTATGAGTGCCCAAACAATCCAAATCAATCAAGAAACCTCTTATCTGGAGGGCCACTATATGAAGTTAAGAGAAATTCTGTCCGTTCAAATTTCTACAATCCATAGAAACAATCTGCATTTCGTTTGCCATTTACTAGTGTATCATCAACAATAGCAACACTTGCGGCGCCACCTATACCTGGGTCTGTGCTGATTGCTGTTCAAGGCATTGTGTTACAAGTCATTGGAATTCCAACGGCTGACGTCTGGTTAATCTTTGCTGTTGAATGGTTGACGTAAGTGTGTTTTAATTAAAGGCTTTCAGCTTCACGTTTCTATATGTCAAACTCAAACGACCATAGGCGGAAGAAATGCTATAATATGTTTTATGTTATACAGAGATCGCATTAGTACCCCTGTCAACATTTGGGCAAACAGTTTGGCTTTGGTTATATTTGAGCATTATTCACGTGACGAACTCCAATCGCTTGATGATTGTACCGAAGCACTTGAGGAAGTATCTGTAGTTTCAGCTAAAGGTGCACCTGATTCAACTCATACGAATGCTGTCGTTATTGATATTGCGGATGAAGTCGTTCAAGAAGATGAAGAGAAAAAAACATAACATTCTAGAGGCTTGGTAGAAGATTGACAAATTTTGAGTACTGTTTATGTCATTTATATTTATAATATATAGTGCTAAATAGTATATTCTATTAACCGTGATACAACCAATTGGAATAAAATAAATACGCTTCTTGTATGAATAATAAATCCACCCATCACGCATTATTATAATGTTAACAACAATACAACAATATTAAGGCTAGTTTCCACTCAGGAAAAATCTCCTTTGGATCGGAAGGAACAGGAAAATTTCCTTTGTCGGTGAATTCTCAGGCGGCCTTTATAATTATACAAAGGAACCTTTCCTGTCCTGTCCTGTCCGATCCAAAGGAGAATTTTCCTGAGTGGAAACTAGCCTTTACAATAATATATTTGCAGGGGCTTTAAAATGGTGTTTTCACATCACGGTTTGTCGAAATTTCACACGATGTCCTATGCTTTACCGTAAGTTCGTATCTTCATGCAGAGAAACATCAAACCTGTGACTTTTTCATCAACGTGACGATAATATATTATAACTAGAAATAATCAAAGATTAACAAGTGCGTTCGGTGATCTGATTTCTCATTGCTAAACACTGCAAGATACCTGATGCTTTGATAAGAATCCTCACTCACTGATATTTCAAAAACTTCAAAATCAAAGTAATCTATACAATTTCTACAATTTCTTAATGAAACAGGCGAATATGAAAGCCCAATTGCCCAGTCCTAACTCATAAACAACAACAAAATACGGAAAGCAAGTGAAATTAGGACGCGACACGAAATCCAGCAGGCGAAGCAAACGCAAAAGCACGAAAGCGAGGCAAATGCCACACAAAAATCGCAAAACGATATAGCAACCAGCCCTGACATCACGATTAGGAAGCGTTCTCCTTCGTCGAAGAAAATAATTATACAGGGTGCATGTACCCAAAAAAGCAACACTTAATATTCATGTTGTTATTATTGAGCACAATAGTCTCTCGTTTCACGTATAAGCACTTCTAGTAGACATATTCGACATCCAATTTTTTTTTGTGGTAATTTTTATCCTGTTCAATGAGGTTTACCGATTTTCTAGCGCGTGGTGAATACTCATATGTCTGCTAGACGGATTTCTTTTGTAAGTACAATAGTTTACAAAAGAAATCCGTTGGGCAGGACTGCATGAATATATAAATATTCACCCCCCAGTTATCCTATAGTTACGCCCCTGCCAATCGCGTCCTGTCTGAGTGGGCCTTTTGTATGTAAGGCTTTTATGATACTAGTGTACTTTTAGTGTACTAGTTCTGTCACGTAGCTGTCCACCAAAATAGAACCGCTTATACAATTTTCCTACAGTGATAATTTAATTGGTTTGTTTCATCGGTTACGTCGATTGCATGCAACAATCCAATATCTAGACAATGAGATGATAATATAATAATCATTTTTTAACTGACGTCAAAGAAACGCCTTTAGAAGTTCAAAAAATTAAAAAAATCAAAACCAACTTATAACTACAGTCGATACTAGATATTTGCGGGTGGAAAGCCGAAGAGACCAATCAATGGCCACAATTTTCGAGAGAGTTATCTATTGTAAATATACTAATTAACATTTAATAATTGTTTGCCGAATTAAGGCAAGGTCGAGGGTTCATTCAGAAATATACATATAGTTTACAGTGAATAACAGTTTGAGTATAATTACACTGAAAGTGATTGTTTAGAGAACCAATCCCGTAGAAAACACTTTTTTCACAAACCTGTAAACAAATATCTATAGTAATGGTACGAAAATTCAGTCTACAACCTAGCATTTTTACCTCGAATGGTTTGAAATACATAATTCAGGCCAAGTTTTGTCGCTACCTCAGTTGCAGTTTGAGCCCCATTTTTTTTCTTTCATGTCACTTATAATTCTTCATCTTTCAGTTTGACAAAAACAAGTCAAAAACATCTCTCGAAAATGCTTCTTAGTTAGTTTCTATATATTAAAATCAATGGTAATCGCGTGTTACATTAGATCGATATCTAGAATCTAATAAGAGCTCTTTTACGTCGTAGCATTCTAGAAATTAGTAAGTAAGCTCATCCCGAAATTAGCGTCGGGTAATTTAACCTTTAGACGTACAATTTTAAATAGGTTCTATATATTGAAATAAATGGTAATCGTGTAGTTGCTTTAATCTATGCTTTAGTCATGGCCAAAAATGCAGACCGACAAAGTTGACAAGCATATATACGTGACTAAGTTGACAAGCATATAATATGACAAAGTTGACAAGCATATAATATGACAGACGCACGGAATGATGTCAAAGTTGACAAGCATATAAGTTGACAAGCAAAGTTGACAAGCAAAGTTGACGACAAAGTTGACAAGCATATAATATGACAGACGCACGGAATGACGTCACATATAATTTTAACAATTATAATTTTCCATTTGCCAATTTTCGTCGTTTGCCCAAAATATATATCAACATATCTTAGTCACAGATCAGCTATGAATATACATAGCAAATAACCGCCATGTCCTAGGAGAAAGAAGGCAGTAAACTTCTCAAACTAGATTTGGGATAGTCCATCAGAAGCTGAGTCGTTGTTGAGCTCTAACAGCGTCCCTGCACCAGAATACAGCAAAACTGCATTCAACGTTCAAGATTGCCAATGAAATAATAAAATTTGCTACAAAAATTCGAAAAATTGCCTTTACTTTTTGATATTTACATGCTCACATGACTTCTCGCAGACGAGAATGAAAATAATTTTCACAAAGATTTCACAAACTATATCATAAGAAATTTAGCAATATAGAATTACCAATTGCAAGTTCTGTATTCATAGATTTGCACTATTTCATTTACACTCGCTGTTGTCGCTATTTCAAGAATGTCTGCGGGGGTCTGTCCTGTCGTGCGTTAATTACATTAGCCACGCAAGTAGCAACAAGCCCATGAATTTCATCATTAATAAGTTCAATCTTTCGACCAAAGAATGTACTGAATAACTAAATTGGTTTGCCAAAATCAGACGATCATGGTAAGGTGGTGAACATTTAGCCTGGGGCTTGTTTTTTCTCGTATAAATGTTCAATTGTAAAGTAAAGTTGGAAGCGTTTCATTGTTGTAAGGTTCATTCGTTTGGTAAAAAGCTAATAAGCTGCTAGAAAGTTGTCCCAACCGACTTAAAAAAGTTGCTTCAAAAGCCAACTGACTTGCATGCATGTGTAACGCATTTCCGTGAACCTTGTCGTCAAATTCGTTGTGATAAGCGATTCGAACGTATATACTGCACGCTGCATGGAAACCAATTCTTTTTAACTCTCTGGGATACCTGGTAATTAATACTGTGTAGACAATATATATAACTCACATAAGATCCGTATGAATCATGATAAATATCGAACTCGCAATATTATACAAAGTTTTTTTACCAGCCGTGCATGCATAATTACTGACTTTAAACCGGTAAAAAAAATTAAGAGCACAACACAGTGAACAATCATGATGTAAAAATAATACTGGATGACGCGAGTGGCCCACAGGGGGCCACCAATGAAATGCTTCGATCGTGATCAGGCAACCCAGCAAATACAAGTGCGCTTGTCACATGCGTAACCATTGCTTTTAATCTGGAATTCAGTTCAGTCGCTCAGTAGATCTAGGAAATTTAGAATCCTTCTAAAAGCAAATTAAACATAAAGAGGAAAACCTTACGCTGGGAATACACAGTTCAAGAAAGAATATTATTTACGCAGAGCGCCTGATTTATATGGGTATGTCGAAGTCGTTCTTCAAAGTTCTACGTGATAACGTTTTGTTTCTCTTCCTATTTCTGGGAGCAGTTTTGGGAATTTTACTTGGAATATTCCTCAACGATAAAGTTCAACAATCATCGGAATCAAAAAAAATTGCAATGTTAATTGGTTTTCCAGGGGAATTATTCCTGCGAATGTTGATGTTTGTAGTTTTACCGTTCATTGCATCGAGCATTATAACTTCTCTAACAAAGATTGACAAAAATGCCGTAAGGCAACTTGGAAAGCGTGCAGTAGTCTACTACCTGGTCACAACTCTGATCGCAACCAGCCTGTCTGTTGTTTTGGGTGCACTCATTATAAAACCACAAAGTCATGAACATGGAATTGACCAGACAACCAGTACGAGACCTATCTACGCTATATTGGATATGATTAGGTGAGTCGCGTATATGAGCTGAAGTAAATTAGTTTTAGACTTAACCCTGCGAAGTATATACATGCAAATATACTGCTGTTGTCCAGGGTCCAGTTGTTTAAAGCTAGGTTATAGCGCTAGCCCTGAGTTAAATTTTAACCCAGTGTTTTAGTGTTTATGTGCCTTAGAACCACTGTTCGTTTTGAAACTTTAGAAAATATCTATCGGTGAAGAAAATATTTATGAAAAAAGATACTCAACTTTGTAAACAAGCGATTTAAAAAATAGTTGTAAAGATTTGCTTTAACCCAGGGTTAAGCTAACCGGCTTTTGAACAACCAACCCCAGCATTTAAGGCGAAATATATATATTCACGTATCACGTATGATATGAACGAGTGGGCGTTTGACAGTCGAAATTTAAGAAACAGTACATTTTCAGAAAATCTTTTGTATAAGTTTTATCAGATTCACATGGTCACCAAAACGTTTTAAGTTATTTTACGTCACTCTCTCTCCACAAGACGTTATCATTCTGTAAATCATGGTAAAGCAATTATATGCTATCATTGAACGCACATTGTTATGGCTAATTGTGATGTCTTGCATGACCATAAATATATTGTTATAAAAGCTCAATTTTCAAGCACAATTGCATACGGCTGAAAATGTTTTTAAGTACTTTCCAGTGCATGAGTACGGCATTCGTTAACATACAACAACAGATTATAAGACCAGCGTTTGAACGATGTCGAACCAGATAATTCAACTTTCGACAAGGAAATGATGTTGCTATACTTTGCATGCATATTGTTTCCTATTTAACAAATGTAAAACATTTTAATATTTTTTTAGGAACATGGTCCCTGACAACATTATCGAATCAAGTATTTCATCTGTGAGTGCACACTTAACATT